TTGCTTTGGCTTTCGCCTTGGGCGTGCGTGTTGCTTTGCCGGCCTTGCTTTTGCTCTTCGCCTTGGCCTCTTTTGCCAATTCCTTCTCTTCAGCAGTCTTTGGCTTGCGCCCCCGCTTCTTCGTACTTTTCTGCTGGCCGCGGAGCTCGCGCTGCATCTGAGGAGTGATTTGGGCTCCCGCAGGCGCAGGGGCCAGTGCATCAGCGGGAGTGGTGCTTGGGTCTGTGAGTGGCGCAGTGCGGTGTGCGCCGCCGGATTTGTCCTCAGGCGTGTGGCTGGCTGTCTCACTTGCTGGTTTGGAATTGCTGTCAACACATGGCGTGCGTCCAGGAGTGCGCACATCATCAGCATGTTGCTGCAGGTTGTGCATGTTGTTGTCCTTGTGAACAGCAAGGTCACCCTCATGAATGGTGCCTGACTCATAGTCTGGCCCGTGCTGGTTGCCAGCGCTTGCAGCTGGACCTGGCTGCACGTTAGTGCACTTGCTGGCACTTGTGTTCGGTGCTTCCTCTGGACTCAGGTTTGCTTCCTTGCTCCAAGCGGCGGCGCAGGACTTGTCGCTGCCTTGCGCCGCGTGGGGCTTGCTGCCTGCGCTTCTGAGCTTGTCATCGTCCTCTGCCTGCCCGCGCTGGTCGTTGCCGTTGCCCCAAGTGAGTGTTTTCTCATCTCGTGCCTGCGCTTGGGTTTTGGCTATCGAAACCTAGCTTTTGTTTTAACACCTCGTGCAACCTAGCTATAACTTCAGAAAAGGCACTTGGCGGATCTCCCATAAATATTTTGGCCTTTCCGTCCCCAAAGTAGAATCAGCAGGATATTCTGGTAGGACTGCTTGAAAAGGGTCATAGGGAAGCGTGTCCGCCTGGCCAGCCAACAAGGGGGCCAAAGCTTAAAGCAATTGACGGTGATGATGGTTTTGGCCGGTTCGCGCCTGATCCAAGCCCACAGGCGCAGCTGAGTTGCCCGTGGCAGGACTGCCTGGGCTGGAGGAGGGGCAACGGGATCTGAGGGTTTAGGCAAACGTCGTTTGCCCAACCCCAAAAAAGTGGCAATACGAGCTTTCCAGGTGCCGTTTGAGGGGTTATACAAATGTCGACATTTGCCCCCTTAAGCGGCGTTTAGGAAGCTAACGTTCCCGTGACCGTGGAAGCGCTTTGAATCCCCGAAACTGTAACCTGGATTTGCCTAACCCCCCCCCCAAAAAAAATGGCTGTTCTGTTGATGGCTGCCCCGGCCGCCGTTTGAGGGGTTTTCCCTGGCCGCTGTTTGATGAGCATCGTCAGCAACACCCCCTTAAAAAATGATGGAAAAAACTGTAGTCGGGACACGTTGGGCCCGACTACATTTTTTTCCAGACCCCAGCGCCAGCAACACCCCCAGCATCACCAGGATCACCCCGAGATCGCCAGCAACACACCCCTAAAAAAATGATGGAAAAACTGTAGTCGGGACACGTTGGGCCCGACTACATTTTTTTCCAAGCATCTATGAGGCCCCAGCGCCAGCAACACCCCCAGCATCACCAGCATCTCCCCTAGCAACCCACCCCAAAAAAATGATGGAACAAAACTGTAGTCGGGACAGTTTTTTTTTCCAGGCCCCACCGCCAGCAACACCCCCAGCATCACCAGCATCACCCCGAGCATCGCCAGCAACACGCCCCAAAAAAAAAGATGGAAAAAGGGCCCGACTACAGTTTTTTCCAAGCATTTATGAGGCCCCAGCGCCAGCAACACCCCAGCATCACCAGCATCACCCCGAGCATCGCCAGCAACACGCCCTAAAAATGATGGAAAACTGTAGTCGGGACACGTTGGGCCCGACTAGTTTTCCAAGCATTTATGAGGCCCCAGCGCCAGCAACACCCCAGCATCACCAGCATCACCCCGAGCATCGCCAGCAACACGCCCTAAAAATGATGGAAAACTGTAGTCGGGACACGTTAGGCCCGACTACAGTTTTTTCCAAGCATTTATGAGGCCCAAGCGCCAGCAACACCCTGGGCAATGTCGACGTTTGCCTAACCCTTCAAACAGTGCTTGGGCAAACGTCGACGTTTGCCTAACCCCTCAAACGGCGGCCAGGACACTTTTTGGGGCTGGGCAAACGTTGACGTTTGCCTACCCCCTCAACAGCACAGCTTACGTTTGCCTAACCCTTCAAACAGTGCCCAGGACAGCCACTTTTTGGGGCTGGGCAAATGTCGACGTTTGCCTAACCCTTCAGGCACTAGGACAGCCACCAGGACAGCCACTTTTGGGGGCTGGGTAAACGTCAACGTTTGCCTAGCCCTGGGCGGCATTTGGGGGGGTTAAGAAACGTCGGGCGTTTTTCAATATCGAGGAGGGGTCACACATTGTAAACATGTTTGGGGCCCGGGGTGGGAGGGGAGGGAAGATTAGAAGAACGAGTACGAAGTTGTTTTCGCGTTTGCGCATTTCCTCCCGGCCGTTTTGTGGGAAAGCCTGAAGAGAGGCAAACAAGTGAGCACAGAAACAAGCGAGCCAGGGCACTTTGGGATTTCAACTGGTTGAGCTGGGCGCTCAGGGCTGCAACCGTCTCCCGCAGAACTTGGCGCCGTGCCTCCTTGGAAGCCACCCTGTCTTCTTTCACAAAGACCACTTCATCAAAGTCAATCTCCTTGTTGTCGGCATTGGTGACTGGCTGGGCCTCCACATCAACAACTTGGGGGTCCAGATCCTTGATCTTTTCCGGAGAGTCTTGATACTCGTCATCGCTTGCCGCATCGTGGGAGGAGCTCGATGGTGCACCAGCCTCTACATCGGAATCCGAAGGGGGGCAACCGTCATCGTCATCGTCCGACTGGTTGTCGTCGCCCCTGTTCTTGGGTTCCTTCGAGTTACGTTGGCAGGGAAGACCACCACGCTGCTTGAGACCCTCAATCTCTTGAAACACCTCGTTCACACCGGGATCCTTAGATGAGCGCAACCTTTACAAAGAACGTGATACGTTCCGATCCCAATGTTCGCAAATACAAATCGATTCATGCGTTTCTTTTGATATTTTGGAGCATCGTTCGTGAAATGCGTGCTTGCCCAATCTAATTGTTCAGCGCATCAAAACATGGACAGGCGAAAGGACACACTCAAGTTCCCATAGTATATAAATCAAAGCGACCGAAGGACGCAAACAGTTGAATCCCGCAAAAGGCTGTTAATAGCCAAGATTCACGGGGGACCTGACTTCGCTTCACACAATCCTTCTGGCGTCGGATGCAGAAGCGGACCAACTTCCGCAAGGTCCACGCATCCAAGTAGGACTGCTGAGCATTGGTTGGCTGAAACTCCAAGAGCTCAAAGAGGGATTCCACCTGCACGGGGTCTTCAAATGGGTTGTCTTGAGGAGACCCCCAAAAACTGCCAAACGGTTTGCCGTTCGGTTTCCCTTTTTGGTTCCCCTTCGATATGTTCCTTTTGGTTTCCTTTTAACACCAGGTGAGAACCAGCTCCAAAATTGTGGTTGTGGCGGGGTCAAACAGAAATTCAATTAGGCCGGCCCATTCTATATCGATGAATCAGTGACCCTTCAAAACTGGCCTCCTTTCGAAGCTTTTTGATCGTGGGCAAGGGGCGCACACCCCACGCCACAATCAGCTCCTTGAGAATGGGGGCGTTGAGCTGCACGTACTGAGTGCTTGGCTGCGGGTCATCTCCCTCATCATGGTCTGGTTCCCTCAACCATTTCTTTTCATTCTTCATTCGTTTCCTGACTAGTCCAAGCTCTTCCCACCGACTTGAAAGCCGCTTTACCATGGTAAACAAGGACCACCCCAGCTGAAAAGGCTGCGCGGGAGTTGAAACATATTCATGCAAGCTCTTGCTGCATCATACCCTTCAATTGCCAATCCAATGATGGCATGGGCTTTTGATTGGCCCAAGATCCGGCCTTGCAGGTGCATGCTGCTGGACGAACACCAGCGCCAATCCTGCCAGAGAAAAAAACGGTTACATGCTGTCCGCGCGTTGGGCGGCGGAAAGGCCCTGCCTCTGCCCAGACTCCATCATCGGGCATAGATCTACTCGAGGAACCGGAAAACCCAATCGCGTGTGCGCATCAGAATTTATATTCTGCAGCTTATTGTTTTGAATGGTCTTTGTAAGAGCGCAGCTTCAAACCCGAGTTGGGCCTTTCATTTGCAAAAAAAAGCTGGCAAGCCCTAGCAATCATGAACCAAAACGGCTCAAGGCAGGCAGGTTGCATCCGCTTGGTCACAGTTGCAGCCTATTGCTTGTGGCTGCTTTTTTTGCCACTTTCCCCAAAAAGAGGCCACTTGCCACAGTTGCAGCAAAAAAGCTGCAACTGCAGATCTCCAGGTATCCAATGACTCACGCCAGGAAAAGAGCGCCTCGACCTGTTGCTTCGAGGCGTCCGCAAACCTGATCCACCGGAATCGTCTGTTCTGCCGCTTGTACTCGTCGACGACGATCTGTTGCAGAGTATTGAATAACCGGGCACGCGGCCCTTTCCCACCGCGAGTGCCGCGGTGAGGGCCGGCTTCCATGTGCGACCAACAGGTCGCAGTCACGGAAGGGTTTGTTTACCCGAAAAGCGTTACGGCTGATAACCACTCAAAGGAGAGGGAAACACAGTTTTGTCAACAACGGGGAAACCCGGGACCTTAAAAGGAACGAACCCCTCCGTGACTGCGACCTCTCCCTTAACCTTGGGGTTAGCGCGAGCAACGCGCTGTTTTCAGCACTTGAGCCAAAGCAGTGATTGGATCATGCTCTGGCATTGACTTGAATGTACAACATGCAACTGACTACATGAGAACCTACCTCATGTACCTCTGGGCCATAAATGTCATCGTGATAATTGACTTAAAGAACGCTAAATGCAGCAACAGAATGTCAAAAAAGAAGAAAGCCACACAGCAACCTCATTGGAATTTGTCTCCCAGGTATCCTTGTAATACTGTGTGTGTGTGTGTGGCACCAGGCTTCTTGAAGTAAACTAGTTGATGCTCCTCCGTGCCGAGCGGCTGAGAATTTCAGCCTCCAGTTCAGTGTGGCCTCAGCTTCACTCAGACTGAGCAATTGACCACGAAAGATCTGGGCGAAGGTTCCTGCGATCCGTTGCCCTGCATGGCTATGGGTCACAAATAGGTACCCAAAATGGAACCCTAGCAAATGGAAACATAGACTAAAACCTGCAGTCCCCTAGTGGTTTAATTTTGACCCACACCCACATGGGAGAAAATGTTGGCTCAAAGCTCTTTCCTCAGTTCTGCATGGGAAGCAAAACAATATTGGAGAGCCGGCTTGGTGAGCAAATTGTACGAGTGGAACAGGCTTCTCCTGTACCAGCCGTGATTACAAACCTTCACTGTTGGGATCGATCGCTCCGCAAGTCTTAGGCCGTGAACTCCAATAGCCTCAGCAGGATCCAAAGCACGCCTAAAACATGTATCAAAAGTGCCCAAGCAGCGCAGCCAGAAATTGCGTGGGTGAACTGTCTAGCTTTCTGTACCAAAAAGCCCTGCAGTAATGTTACGAACGCTTCTCTTGCCTTTCAGAAAATGCCGTCCGCAATGCAACTGTCAAAAACAAAGTCTTAAGCAGTCTCTGTGCTTGAAGGTGCCAGTAAGAAATATCCTCAACATCGAGGCGCAGTGCCGTCATCGCAGCCAAAGTGGGTATCTGTCTCCTCGTAGAGTTCGGTGCCATCATCCAAGGTAATTTTTCCACTGGCCTCGAAAGCAACGGACAAAAAGTGAAAATCGGGCACTTTCAAATTCTACTCAAGTCTTCTCCTGTGGACATCCTTCAACTCCAAGAACCCAGCAGCACACAACAATGACAAACCCTGATCAGAAAAACATTGCCGCAAACCACCAATCCTACTCAAAACTTGAGACAGTGCGGACCGATGCCGGAACCGTTTGCCGAAGGGGCCAACGCTGCACATTCACCAACCTGCTTTAGACAAGTCCTCTTTGTAGGTATCGCCCGAAGATCCCAAAGGTTGAACCAAGAACGTCGCGGCGGCAATTCTCAACAAACTGCCACGCACGTGGCCGACCGAATCCGGACAAACGGGGCAATGGGCATGCGGGAAACCCGTCCAGCCCGGACAGGGTTGAAATTGAATCCCTGCCGCGCCCCCAAATGTGCCAAATGCAAACCACAGGCACGAACTGCAAAGCAGTTAGCCTCTTCGAGGCCAGCTTCTGGGACGTCCCAAAGGTTCTATAGCATTAGATCCAAATATGCTGCAAATCAATGTGCAATGTCTCCTTTTGGATTCCCATGTAACGCCGAAAGATCGGAGGCCCTATACTGACTTGTTTGCCCGCGCCTTCACCGAAGGCTCTGAAATGCCCTCTGGCGATAGGATATCCACCACCTGGCCATGACACGCCAGCCAGTTTGCAGTCACAGGCTGCAAACCTTTCAGGGCCCTAACGTTACGGCTGCTCCTCCTACTTGTGGGCGGTGGACAAAAGGAGGTAGGAGGCCTGAAGGTTGAGTTGGAATAATCCGCCCATGAAAAAAGAAAACGAGCCCGACCCAGAGCCATTTGAATTCACCAGTGACCAGTGCCAAGCACCCAGATTTGACAGGTTACAACTGCCAATGTTGACCCCTCAGTCGTACATGTGCCGTCTCACGCAAATTCCAGGCCGATCCATCAACAAATCGACGGATCCTCTGCCAACCCAGACTTGCATAAGCTCTGACCGTCTGGCTGCGCCAAACGCACCCGGCCTTGAACACGGCCAGCCGCAGCTCGAAGGGCAAGGGGTCTGTGGAGGGCAAGCACTCGATGGGCCGCTCCTGGCGTGGGTCCGTTCCGGCCAGCGACAAATGGCCATGGGTCAAAATTCCGTGCCCCCAGTGAACATTCCAATACCCACTAAAATAGACTAAAATGGGTGGTGCACCTACCCCAAATTGTACCATTGGTTTTGACCCACAGCCAAATGGGTTTGCCGAAGAAGCAGGGAATGCCCCAAACTGGTCCGCAGAATGTTGGCCTGCCAACCTCACGATGCTGAGTCCTGGAATGTGAGGATTATACTGGCTTTGCTATTTTGCACCATGTCATTTTTACAAACCGCAGGTGAAGCAATGGAGCAATAACGGCCAGACTGAGAAAGTTTTCCATCAGCCCTTACAAGAACCAGCCCAGTGGCTGCAGCAAACCCAACCCAGAAAGCTGTAGGGGTTGGTGATTTGTGGTTGCGATTCTCGATTAAGCCCCAGCCTGTGCAAAGGCTGACGGTGGTGGACATTCTGCACCCTGGCAAAGGGCTCTGGCAGGTTGCGTTGCATGTTTGACCGCCAGGAAGTGGCAAATACCACAAAGAAAGAGCTGTCCCGACCTTCAGTTGCCACGGCGAGCAAGTCTTTGCCAACATCCTTCTTGAGCCAACGAACCACTCCCCCGAATGTCAAGGACAAGCTCCACCTGTAAAACAAAAAACTACCGCGTGATCGTTGCAGAATGTGAGTCACACATATTCAAATCACCTCCAGCGCAATACACGTAGGACCTGCAGTTGAAGTGTCTTTTGTTGCCCCTTGGTTGGCTTTCTTCCATTTGGTTAAGACCCCTGGCAAAAAAATATACAACATATTTCCAGTAGTGATAGATTCCCTTAAAACCAAAAGGGGAAATAAAACATTCTTAAGCAAAAGGAAGCTTTGAATTCCGCCAGCTCTTGGCTGAGGCTGAGCGGAGCGCAAAGCGCCTGGGTCTGGTTGTACATGATGTCCAGCCATAGACGGATGTGACCTCGGCACGGGGCGAGGCCTTGGACCTGCCCTAGGCCTTCGGTCTCAACCATCCTCAACAAATATCAGGCAGCCAACTGGCCAAAACAGCCGAACTGAAATTTGCAGGGGGCCAGAAACTTCAAAAGGGGAAGCTTTGTTCCAGGTGCAACTGCAATCCTTGTTACTCTGCAAGTTTCAATTTTCTTCTAGAAACCGCAGCTGGGAGCCGCTCGTGAACCCCAATGCCCCACCAACGAGTGCTTTGCCGAAAGGCATGCGCATAAAACTGCCGATTGTATCATCGCAATCACCACCAACGTTACGAAAATGCTGGGCATGCCCTTGAACGATACCCCGATATGATGCCTCACATTGCCGTTCATGCGTAACACACATGTTATTTTGACGACAACATGCTCCAAGTGCTGCCGGGCTTCCTTTGCTGAAGATGGAGCCAGCTGTCCTCGGGGCCGTGCCGCTCTTCGTTTCAATCGAGCAGAGCCGGTTCCACGTGAAACATGAACATAGACCTGGACAGCGTATCCCAACCGACGGGAGCTGGCCAGAAATCGAGATCAAGCCTCCATTGCATGCATCAGTTCCTCATCCAGCACGGCAGTGCAACAGCGAACACGCCAAGCAACTCAAAGAACCCAGCCCCAAGCATCGTCAGTTGGTTCGAGCAAAAGACATCATCTACACGCACCGAGTGCTAAGCTTCAATTCCTGCTTCAATATAGTTGTGAGGGCGTCTGATTGCTACAAAGCAAGTACTTCCAGCAAACACAGAGAAAAAAGAGACAAACAAAAACTAGCATTCCCACCCAACTGGAAATCGACCAAGGGAACCACAAATTGAATTGAATCTTTGTTTGTGCAGCGAGACGAGCGCACTGGCTGGAAACAGCCTTCCGGGTTTTCCCATGCTGGGAAGCAGCACTCTTCAGCCACGAAACTGCAAATGCCGCGACTCAATGGGAACCTCATCTTCCTGAACCATGTCCTGGTAGTGGGAATTGAACCACCTTGCGCGTGGGGTGATGCATCTCACATGTCACTTGCAGTCGTTGCCTACCCTATGCCTCTGACTGGCAAATGGCAAGCTCATGCCTGGTGGCTTCCTTCCAGCCACGCCCGAAAAAGTGTCGCGCCTGTCTTCCAGGTCGATCTCCTTAGCATCAAATTGAGAGTCAGCCGGTCGCAGTGAGGAAGCCCCACAGAACAACTCTCCGCCCATGCTTGAGCATTGCTACGCCTCGGCAGGCGTAGTCTACTGACCTATGGGCAGGATGCCAGTTGCCGCACAAGGCAATGGCCAAAGTAAAGCACTGCTTCTGGGGCATTCTGCGCGGTTTTGTAAGCGAGACTTTTGAGAGCCTGCGAGGTCGTGGGGAGCTGGCGGCTGAGACTGAAATGGTGTCTTTGTTGTGCTCTGAGCCGTCTTTGGCAAGGCTCTGAACTCGCTCCCTGTCTCTCCCTCCCTCTTCGTGTTTGACCTCTGTCTCTCTCTCTCTCTCTCTTTCACTCTCTCACTCACAGGGCACTCCCAACATGGGATTTTGAATCTATACTTCCGTCTTGCCCGCAAGGCACGTGTGGTGGGGAGCCCTTACATCTTCCGTTCGCCCGTGATGCAACAGAGCCGCGAGCCAAAGCCTCACATGCAGCTTAGCCACTGTCGAGCCGATGACCTGCCTGAGACGCGCAAGGGCGACAAAGAAGTGTGACTTGGCCATGGGTCAAAATCCCGTACACCCGTTAAACATCCCCAAAATGGGTACCCTTGGTCGCACCCACGGCCACTTATGGTCGCTGGACCTTTCAGCCGCATCTCGATGCTTAGTACCCCGCAATAGTAAGTCACCCTTTCGAAACAGGTTGGCACACATCCTTGCCAGAAAATGCCCGCAAAGGATGGCAAAGCAGGGTTCGTGGGGCACATTGACCTGAATCGACACTGTGCAGCTGATCACACGCAAACCGCAGGCACATGCCCATGCAGCTTGACTTCCAGCCGAGATTCGCTTCCGGTCACCCGAACAAAGCAGCATCGCCAAACCGACTAAAAGGCAAGCGTCTCTTTGGCTGCAGAGCCGAAGGAAGCGGGCACCACCTCCACCAGTGACAAGGTCATCATGCCTGAGACCACATTGACAGCATACTGCCTTTCCTTCTCCTAGGAAAAGGACTGGCGTGCAGCAACTCCAACTGCGGAGTGTGGACCAGTTCACGCTGTATTGCGACTGGAAGGCTTTCTATTGACTAGTCTGCGCTAGCACCGCTCATGCCAGGTAGATTTGTGTGCAGCCGGGTCAAAGCCGCTTGCAATGCAGTAAGGCTCTGCACTTGCCAAGGCACAGTGATCCGGGAATTTCACCTGGGCAAAGGGAACAGCTGTGCGCAGAAGCATGACAAAAGGGTACTTGCCAAACAAATGGAGCAAACATCAGCTAATATCAAGCCTGGAAACGACATGCCACAAGTGAGCTACTCCCAAGCCGTCACACGGTCACCATATTATATTATTGCGGCACAAAAGCGCAGTGGCTATCTCACTTCTAACGCAGCTCTCTCAGCTTTCTGATGAAGCCATTGATGTACATGGCAAAGCCGAAGGTGTAGAATAAGATTAGGGTGCTGGACTGCATGGATCAAGGCTTCTGACCCCATGCTGTCTGTGCGCGCGTCAACGCGGGGCCAGGGCGGCCAGGGTGCGGAGGAGAAGGCATGGCACTTGTTGAACTGCGGGTGGAGGGTGTGCTTCCGCACTGTGAGGTTGTCCTTGAGGTTGTAGACCTCACAATCCGGTGTTCCGGAACTCGATTGGTTTGCTTGAGTTCAAACCGCAGTGGTTCACCACCAACCCCAAGAAAGGTGGTGGGCTTCTTCAACGACCCAAAACACCCAACGGGTACAACCAGGCGTGTCAAAGAAACCAAACATAAACAACTCACCTTTGGCATGACTGACGACGGCAAAACACAAAATTCAGCACAATGCGGGTGGCTTTGTACAGCTGAGAAACAGTTGTGTTGGCTTGCACATCCTCAAAGCGTTTGCGCAGCAGCCAGCCAAGCTTAAATCAAGAGTCAGGAAAGGGCAGGGCACCTTGTCAACCAGCAACTGCTTCAAGGGAGTGTTCCGAAAACAACCAAGTCTTAAAATCTGGCCACATGAAGCTTGCAACACCACGGTTTGGAAGATCCACCACTTCCCTCTTGCAATCTGCTTTGAAAGGCACTCCAGAACCGAACTCCGAAGCCAGGCTGCTGGGTTCTGCTCGGCACCTGAGGCAAGCCCGGGGGGCCACATCGATAAGCCACCAGCGGAAGTATCCAATATTTTGGAAGTCGAGCGCTCTTTCGCACGAAGCGCACACCACACGCATTCCTCGAATTGAAGTATCCATTCACTCGGAATACTGGCGTCAAACAAGCTACGATTACATAGTTCCACCATGTTCCATCCCATGCAGCGTTTAACTGTCAATCTCTTTCCAGCACGTGCATAAGGGTTTGCACCTGGGGCCACCTGTTGTGGTGCACGAACTCCGATGCGGCAATTTTGGTCCAAGTCCCAAACCGCGGCCGGAGGCGCCTCCTCCATCCACACGGCTCCAAACATAGCTGTTACAGTCAGAGCTGCCCGAGGGGGGCCGCAAGCCATCGCCCGAGAGCACGTACCTGGGCTTCAGCCCATTGCAGGGGGGCGGGGAGGAACATGGAGGAACGTTTCTGCGACCCTTGAAGTTCCAACTCAATTCTTCGCCTCAAAGTCAAAGGCGCGGAGCAGTCTTGGCTTTTTGCAACCTGGCTTTGGGGCGTGCTCTTTTCGAAGAAGGTCCTGCTGGGGCCATCTTTGCGAGAGAAAGCTATCTTTTAATTTAGCTGCACCGAACTCCCAAGGGTTACACGAAGCGTTGTTGCGCAACGAAAAGTCTAAGTCCAAGTTGCGCACGTACCACGAGATCTTTCGACTTCTCAAAGCGCCGCTGAATCTTTTTGATGTGATCTTCCTCAGGAGATGCGACAGGTGATTCTTTGCAACATAACTGCTCAGCCTGCTGTCAATGCTGATCCAAGGCATCATGGAGCAGGGTGTTGACAACTGGCTTCACCAAGTCCCTCGTGATACATTCAACCTTACGACCTCCAAAACACCGTTCAAAACACGTGTCTAACTTGTTGAGCGCGGTATAAACATTCATTCTAAACATTTTGAGTGTGATGAGCATGGAGCAAGGCTCTCTGAAACTTCCAAGCGGCCCATTCTTGCTGAGACATATCTTCCTGAGGCCGAGGGTTAAAACATCTGCCAGTAAGGTGGCACTCCTTGCATGAACCCGGACCTTTGACCAGCACCCAGCATAACCCAACATCAAACATGAAATTCGAAAGGCATGAGCAGCTGGAACCCCACATGGACGTGAACCAGCTTTGGGCTAGACTTGAAGCAATCAGACCTTGGGCACCTTCAATGGAGAGCCCAAAGGTAGGTTGCTTTCAGAATAGTGGCTTCTTCTTTCGTGAAGGCCATGGAGGAAGCTGCAAGCTGAGCCCCAGGCATGAGCTGAAGGCACTGGTTTGTCGTCCCTGCAGGGCCAAATGCTCCGCCATGCGCGATGCGAATCTGAAGGCGAAGGAATATGTCGGGGGGAAGCCCTTTCCTTTTCTCCAGGTTAGACACGAGTTCGAGGATTGAGCAAATGAGCTCCATGGAGCCATGGAATGCCCTCTTTTTTGCCATGCCCGGCTTGTCCAACTCCACCACGCGGACGCAGAACCTCGGCGGAATGCTGGAGGGAAAGCAGGCAAACACACCATAGGCATGGCCAACAACCAGAAACTGCGACGTGGAGAGGTACAGCCGCTGCGCTGCCCGATTGCAGAGCGACATGATGGTGAGACCTGGTCGCTCTTGATTCTGCTACCAGGTATGTGCATTGTCTTCCGTATCATGACTGGCGCAAAGTTTGATACACTATGCTCTACACTAAGCCCCCCCAAAAAAAAACGCAGCGGTGTTCTAATGGAGCCACAAGGAAACCCACAATTTTGGGAGACCCCGAAAAAAAAATCACACACACACACACACATGAGCAGTGTTCTAAGTTGAAACCCGAAGGGAAATACCAAATCTCTTCAAAGGCTTTCACGGAGCTGCGTTGATGAGGCAATCGCTTTCGTGTGGCTTTCGCGGATGGAGAAACGGGTTTGACGTTTGTCCTCGTTCTCGCGGGGACAGGAACGTACCACAGCTTTCTAGGTAAATAGGCCCTTTCCCGACCCTTTCGCGAATACATACTTTTCGCGAAGGTTTGTGCTTTCCAAGCTCCATGCCCTGCTTAGAAACGGCCCCAGATCTGTCACAGGCTGAAAGCACCGCAGTTCCCGCGCCGGGCAGCTTCAGCTTACCGAGGTTCCGGGGCTCGCCCCACTCGCTGCCCAGGAACAGCATCCTCGCTCCCAGGTCAGCTTTTGTTCAAGTGGTTTGGAGCCCCCGTGGTTTGGAGCCGTTTAGGAGGGGTTTCCCATTTGCCCTCCACAAAGGGTTCGAAGCCCCAAACCACCAATCCAAACCACCAATCAAAAATAAGCTGAGCAAACGGTTTGCATCCCTGCGCATGAAACTGCTTGGCTCCTGACGGGCCCAACAGCAAGTATCATCAAGTAATTCTCGGAACGTCCCCCTGTCTCGATCAAAAAGAAGCCAGCAAACGAATCGTTCAGGAAGGCCCTTGCCTGAATTCCGTGACACACGCGAGGGAGAAGCGTGAGGGAGCCCCCCCAAAAAAAAAACACACACACACACACACACATGCCAACAAGCCGATCAGAAGCAAGCGCCAATCAATCAAAGTGTTTGCAGCAAACTGGTCATTTTGGATGCAAACAGATTTGAGTGCAGGTGCTCAAGCTCGGCTGAGCACTTCAAGGATTGCGGCCAGGCATCGTGGAAGAGTAGTCCGTCCTGAGCAGCCAGGTTGCCAACTTGAGTCAAACCAGAAACGACCTGGTGGGGAAGAGAGAAACCTACCAATCCAGCCACTCGCAGCTGGTTGCAACACAAATGTTGGCCTGGATCTGCTGGATCCCTGCAATAGAAACAGCAAGAAATATCGGAAATGAGCTCCTCTACATTTGAGCCGTCCTGATGAGCCAATGCGCTTGAAGCGCCACGGTGGCTTCCAGAAAACCGCCACCTGGAGATTCCAATGCCGAGGAATTCCTAGGCGTTCCGGTTCTCAAGGCATTTTAAGCGTTTTAGGCGTTTTGCGGGTTGTTGCGGCTTTTTTGTGGGCGCTTGTCCCTTTTGTGTGGGCGTTTTGCGGCAATTTGCGGGCGTTTCCTGGTTCTAGGCGTTTGCGGTAGTTTGCGGGCGTTTGCGTCCAAGACAAGGTCAATGCCGAGAATGACTAGGTGCCCACCAAGAACCTTCAAACCCGAGCCAACTAAACACAGCCGGGTTTCGACTGTCTTTTGGGAAGTTGGGGAAGGGGTATATCCTGTAAGCTTGGTAGGCTGCTTGTCTTTGCCATATTTGAATTGCCCAGTGTTGAAGTGGCAATAACTATAAATAGTGGCTGTGGGAGGCGCATGTTCATTTGATCAAGTGACTTGCTGGCGCGGAATGTTCCAGCTCAAAGCTAGGTGCCCCAACTTGCCAACCATAGATTCCCAAACGAACGCACAAAAACAACAACAACTTGCAATACCCTATCTCAAATGGAAAGCTGGGTGGGTCATACCAGGCTTGCTAACCACTTACCAAGTACCTGACCGCCCCTTTCACAAAGTGCCCAAATGGGAGTGATCATACGTGTCAAATGGAATAAACCATATCTATATAAACCAGTGGGACCCATCTATTTTTAACCAAACTAACCTAAACATACACCTACATAGGTGTCCTTTTGGGGCAAATAGATGGTCCTGGTAGATGAAACCACCAGGTAAACCAGGGAAACCCATCTAAACAACCTGACCAACATTCCTTGAAAGAAAACACACTTCCACGCAATGGCAAGGCTTGCCACCATGCCAAATCTGGCCAAATATGGCCAAATCATTGCTCACCCCATGTCGCCACCAAATCACGCCAAATCTGGCCAAATCATCCCATCATCCCCAGGCCTGATGTACTGCGTCCTGAAAGCAACAGTGGACACCTGCGGTCCCCACGGGTATGGCGACGAGCGGCTTCTCGGGCTCCAGGTGCTCCTCCAGCTGCGCTGCGTAGTCCGCGTGCCGGTCGATGCCTCGGACGGGAGCGAGCGAGCGAGGTGGGTGGGTGGACGTAAGTGGGTGGGTGTGGGTGTGAGTGGGTGGAGTGTAGGTGGGTGTAGGTGGGTCTCGTGGAGATTCATGGGAAGTACACAAGGCCATGGGTCAAAATCCAAATCGTTACCCCCCAGTGAACGGGACCCAATCCAACCACTATTGACTAAAATGGGTGGTGAATTCCCCTACCCCAAAATGGTACCATTGGTTTTTGACCCACAGCCAAATGGGTCTAGCTGGGTATGCATGTTGGTATGGGTGTAAATTGGTATGCATGGGGTCTGAATCGGTGGGACCGTTAAATTGCAATGAATGGGTCTAAATGTGTATAAATGTTGGCATAAATGGGCTTCAACTTCCCCAAAGCGAAAGATCCATATTGTGATTGGTGATGGGTCACGCCAAAGACCAGTCGTGAAAATTGAAAGACACCTGCCAAAAGCACCTGTGCAGGATTGCTGCAGGCACCTTGGCACCTTGTGCCTCAACCTGGACCGTTGCTTAACCCCTTGCAAAGCATTGGAAAGGATCAAGCATTTGACCCAAACCTAAGGGTAGAAACCAGGCATTTGGATGGTTCGAAGCCAGAGTTAACCCAACCTAAGGGTAGAAATCAGGCATTTGGATGCTTGCCATGCCAAAAAAAAAGACTCGAGCCCGCCGAACATCCTGCAGGAGGGGCAGGCCCCGCGAATCTCAGATTGCGCACTCACTCAGGGCGGGCCCACTCCAGCTATTGCAGGGATGTCGATATCTGATTCTTCTTTCTCCAAGCTGCCTTCGTTGGCATTGTTGCGCTGCGGCCACGTGAAGCCTTGGGGCGGGGGGGGGAGGGGGAGGATTTGAGATCCCAGGCAGCCAACGGTCCGAAAGCAAATCTGGGGCAACGCCGCAACTGCTTCAGCAACAAAATGGCGGCACCAACACTGTTAGATATGTAGTATGCAAGCTTCGCTTACTCCATGACCAAATCAAACAAAAAAGAAGAAGAATGATTTCCAAGGGACATGGTGCGCGTGGGAGGTAGTGCATCTTGCAGGTTGCACGTTTGGCGGGCAGGCTTGTCGTGAAAAGCGTGGCTCTGCCAGCGGGCCACGAGTTTAATCCCCTCAACTTCTTGAGTGACCTGTTGGGCTGGGCTGAAACTTGCAAACCGAACAATGACGGGCCATCACCGGTCACTACCGACAACGCAGGACAAACACATGCATAATATGATGGAATGAAAGGTGCAACTCTTATAGCCCAATACTGGATGTTGACTTACTTTAAGACATATTTATATGTGTATATATATATAAATATATATATATATATATAGATTAGTATTAGTATACGTGATACATCATGTTATGTTGTACCATGTCATAAAATGATACATTACAGTTCTGTTGCCTTCAACATCCCCAGCTCAGTCCTAATCTTTGCTATGCCAAGCAGCTGCGATTGAAGTGCAGCAAGGTGCTGTTCCACTCCTTGGCGCCGAAGAGAAAACAAACGGGAGGGCTGGAGTCGCCTGTCTCAGCGGGTCACGCAGGCCGGAAGCACACAACCGAGAGCACAAACCTGAGTGACCTGGATCCAGAAAAATCGGCCACCCAAAGCCAAGCAGCACTTTCGTCAGCGCCTTCCAGCTGGGCAATCTGGTCCTTGATGAAGGCAGCCTTCACAGCACATGCTAAGCTTCACATCAGGCACGCCCACTCTTGAGGCTTTGCTGACTCAGAAACATCTTGCCGCATTTGCGGTACCCGCTATGCTCTGACCTGGCAAGGAGGCAGCAACCTACGCGGCCAAGTCCTTTCCACTGCTCTGGATCCCCCCCCCCAAAAAAAAAAAAAAAACATAGAAGGCAACGGTCGCGTGCTGCAAAGCCTTGAAAAGCTGTCACATTCTTGGCGCGAGTAGCTTGCAAGTCGCCCTTTGCACATGGACGTGTGCCCGTGCTTGCCGAGCTTCGTTGTCTGCCTCGGTCTCATCGTTAACCACCGCATACCTGAGTGCATGCCGAAAAGCGAGGAGCGAACTACGTACATTGTTTTCTCAAGGAGCTTCCTTTATCGTGGGCACGGTCGTTTCACATTGAACCTGCAGGCAATTTCTGCCAGCGCCCTACTGTGGATGGACGAAATCCGTTTCGCACCATCTAAGAAACCCTGGAATGTTGATTCCCCTGTAAATACCAACCATGGTTTCCCATGGTTTCCAAGTGCTGCGAAATGGATTTTGCAACCATCCACAATGTGACTCCTGTGACCCGCCCGCGCCAGTCGAGGCACTCCTTGAATCCCAGCTTGCGGGCGTTGGACTCCTCGATGGAGTCCACGTCCCAGCCAATCTGCTTGCAGATCCTGGGCGGTGAAAGGGCCATAACTCAGATGCCCAGTGCCAGTGGATTTCCATGGGAAAAAAGGGCATCCTTTTTTGGTTGGCTGACTTTCAAGGGGAACACTTCCCAAAAAAAGACAAAGGGTTCCACTGGGCAACTGGCGTAACACGACTTGGTGGCCGTGCTCCTCTGGCAAACTCTTGGAATGTCAGTGGCAGAATGGCCAGTTGCGTTAAGTGTGCTTTGAGTCGTCAATAACTCAAAGTAAACTGTGCCATTCAAATAACCATGTGTCGTCTACCGGTGCCACAGAACGAGAGCAGACTGTGCCAAAAAGCATCAGCAAAATGCAGCAGCACTGCTTGCGCCGAGACTCAGCTGATCACTTTGACCTCCACCACCTCCGGGCTCGTGCCATGCCCGCCCCCCCATCACACGCCAGCACAACCACATGCAAGTCCTCCAGAGCAAGAGATTGCTCATCTAGTTGACGAGCTGCGAAATGGAACGCAATCTTCAAGCAAGCGGCTTGGATTCAACATATCTTACAGAGCTCCAGAAAGGGATGGCAAGCGCCATTAATTAATCTTTAGCAACAACAACGAGCAAACACATGATCAAATGCGTCCTTCTCACTTGACACAGGCGCGAGGCAGCCAACCAACTCTTTATGCACACATGCTCGCTAACCTCAGAATCACACAGCCCTCTCACCAAAATGACACGAGCGCTGGCGCTGCTTTTCTATTAGCCAGAAGTTGTTGCCAACATGCAACCCGGTTCCCCCCAACACCAATATCACCCCAGCCTTTGAGCTGCGTCACCTTGGCATTGAGGCCTGGGTGCAGAAAAGACATTGGACCCAACCCTCCTTCGCACGGCTTGCATGCACTGCATGTGGCATGTTGGCTGCTCAAGTTCGGCGGGCTTACATTGGAAGACACGCCAATGTTCAGCTTGAGAAGTTCTTATCTGTCCAATGCACAGGCAACTCGGAAGAACCAGCCACTTGGAAAGACTGTCAGTTGGCCCCAGCGTTTGCCACACAAGCGACAAATTGTAGTTGGTGACAGGCTGACACCAGCTGCCCACTTCTACGAACTGCTGCCACGCTGCGATCCCACCCACTTTTTGGATTCAAGTCCTCCTCCAGGTCGCAGTCGACCTGCTCGCCCTCGCAATGGGTAGGCGATGGAAGGCGCGTGCGGTGCATCCTAGACACTTACCTTTCGGGCTAATTACGCAACAAAAGTGCGAAGGCCCCGCGCAAGAAGGCAGAGCTTTGCCAAGAATGGTGTCCGGACGTGGCACTTGGCGCACAGAACAAGATCTGCCCGCCTTGTCCTCGTCCTGATGCTTGAAGGAGAACTGCTGCCTTGGCAAACAAGTAGCCCACTGCGCCTCTGTGTAGGCTAAACACATCTGTCAAACTCTCATGAAGGGGTGGCTTATGTCAAAGCCGGGACAAACACTCATATTCAGAATTCGGGCTGCCAAATGGGCACAGACCGACTGCCAGGGAATGCCAGGGATGTTCCCATAGCTTTCTTGCCTCAAGCAGATTGCCCGTACTCCTTCCTCAGGCCCATTATGGCTTGTAGAATACTCACAAGCGAAGCCATGCCGACGCCGGTCGAGCCCGCCAAGTTGCGCAAGTTTGGCACCTCAGTGCGGCAGCACGGCGAGGCTTGAGGCTCTTACTCACCATACCCTGATAGCGCAGGTCACGGACAGCTGCCAGAAATCAAGCTTACCCGGATGTCAGATTTCAATTGGCCCCGCCATGCTTCCGAGCACTTTCCACAAACAGCGGAGATGGCCATGTGGGATCGACATGCCTGTTGCCTTGGCAGACTACCAAAGCCCTTCCATAGTCAAATGCCCAGTGGCCATGGGGAAAAAAGGGCACCCTATGGCACCCTCTTTTTGTGGGTTGAGTCTAAAGGTGAACCCTTTCCAAAAAAAAAAGACGGAAGAAAGGGGCAGCACTGGGCCACGTCTGGGCGCGGCGGTCAGGATCCACCCAGGGGATGTGGGGCGAGAGGTGCACCGCCGCGTGGGCCACTGGCTTGTACTCGGTCTTGCCCTGCGGATTGCACGAGTTGCGACCTGTGGCCATGGGCTTTTCAAAACCCAAATCGGTTAGCCCCCAGTGAACGGGACCGATTCAATCCAACCACTAAAATAGGAAGCCTAAAATGGGTGGTGAATTCACCTATCCCAAAATGGGATCCCATTGGTTTTGAACCATGGCCATGTGGTTCTGAGGTTCAGCTCCCATGCTCGACTGGCATGCCTGAGGCAGCCTCAGATGTCACAACAAGACTTTCTTCCTTCAGTCTCCAAGCATCCTATCCCAAACAACTCCAATCTCTGTAAAGCACGGACCGGCTAAAAAAAGCATGCAACAAAGTCTGGATGCCCCCGGTGCTGTCTTGCTTCCATCCGTGTGCTCCTTCTCCCCAGGGACTTCTGTCAGCAACTTCAGCTCCAAGTACTCCTGGCCCATTCTTGCTATGGGACTTTGAAGGATAGACCAAGGGAACTGAGAGGCCTCACTGGAAAAACGGGTGCCACGGTGCCACTGCAGATCTGGGCGCCTAGGTTTCCTTTAAGCATGCAGTTTGGCCAGTTCACAGTGTACGGGCGAAAGGCCGTCTGGCACATCTGGATTCAGGGCCTTGGCAGCTTAAGATGCAGCTGCGGGGAGGGCACGTACACCAAAAGCACAGAGTTTCAGGTGGCTTATGGTGGCCTGTTGATGCCACACTGCAGCAGTGGGATGCATTTCTAGATGCGTCCTCGTCAACAATCCTGGAATGTTCACAAACAACGCTCTAGAAGAGTTCATCACAAGGAACATCTGCTAGCTGCATGTGTCACTGCATTGCTGTCTTGCCAACGTGTCCAAATCAGTGTCACTGGATGGGCTGTCTCCAAAATCCAAGGCCCCAATTCTAAAGGTATGTCAACTTCTTGACCAAGCGTTCACCAGGCAAAATTGTTCCCTTCAATTGTTTGGGGGGAGGTGGACACCCTCAGAAAGAGACAAAAGCTCGCCCAATCCTCATGCGAGCGCCTCCCCAAAGCACCCCAAGCATCCCCGACTCCTGAAACATGTCGTCCTCCATCAACTTTGCTTTCCTTGGGCAAATGCGTTTCAGAACTGCCTTAAGCCCGAGAAACCTGAAAGGGACCGGTATAGGTGGGCTTCTGCGAGGCTTGAGATGAGCCCGCCCACGTTTCGACTAGGCGGCACGCACTGGCGTGCAAAAATCACTGGGTGCCTACAATCAAAGTCGTGGTTGTGCTTGCCGGCGCGTGTTCTGTCAGCACTGTTTGCATCCAAGCCGCAGAGATATCGGCTTCAGCCAGTTGAATCCTGACAACCAAGCAAGTTCTTGCTAAGTCGGATGCTTGCTTCATCTTGGCTCATCACATTTGTTGACGCCTTGCGTCTTATGTTTGCTCACCTTCCATCAAGCCAAGTGCTGCAACCCTGTTGCCTAGCGGCACAAGCGTGCAGCCAAGCATCGATTGTTGACCACTCGGGTGGCAGCATCTGCGGGCCAAAGGTCGTCTGTCTCAACACTCTTCGATGGCCAAGCGCAACCAAGTGGGATCTTAACAATCTCGCCCAAAAGCATCTTTGAGTAGACTGACCTCAAACCCTTGCAAGGCCCAGGTGCAACTAGGCTGGATGCAGGCAATCCAGCCTGTGTGCTTGCATCTCCTTGGCATAGCGCGATTGTCCTCTTTCCTGCCCCATGCGACCTCCAGAATCGGGTTCTCAGCATCTATGCCACCTGGGAAGAGCGCGCTGCCAATCGCACTGAATGGCTTCTGGCTTCTTGGAAGGTGTTTTGGTATGAAATTAGAATGCGCACTAGTCAAAGCAATTGAGACCCAACCCCCTGAAACTGGATACTCACATATTTTTGTAAGATCCATGACTGTAATGTTCATAAGCCTCCCGTCTCGCCTTGTGTGTCACGTAAACATGTCTCCACCAAAAGCAAGAACATCCAAGTTTGGACCAAGTGATTGTTGAAATCCCGTAGAAGCCTCAGGCAAGTTGCTATCATGCCGCAGGCGTGCGCCGATGGCGAAAAAGTCGATGCGGCACTTCCGCGTCTTTGAGTCCATGCCCCTTGCGCGTTTCAACAGCAATGCTGCTGCCACACCAGCTGCTGTGAATGGACGAACTCCGTTTCGCACCACCTAAGAAACTTGGAATGATGCGTAAGTACCAACAAACTGTGGTTTCAACCATGGTTTCAAATTGGTGCAGGATTTTGCCCATCCAGTACTTTGTGCACTCTTAATTATCTATCAGGAAGTCATTGGGGGCCTGCCAAACAAATCACCCGAAAAATTTGAACGACGATTCCTTGACAATCTGTCGGATTCATAAAACCCAAAAGACTGTGTAGTTACCGTTTTGAACACTAAGTATTGTGACAAGCTATGATCCTTGTAGAACATATGTCTATCTGTGGCAAACCTCAAACTAGCTCCGAGCGGTGCACATCAAGCAAAAGCTGCTTCCAACACTGAATTCAGGACGAAATATCGCCGTGATTCATCAAGAAACCCATCACAATGAATCCTGATTGAGAAGCGAGCCCTTTGCAGTAGTGCTGCTGCACCGAACCCTGAACACTGCGTCTCTAAACCACACGATTGTGTCTTTGAGCCGCGGCAATCCTTTTTGACACCCGACCATGACTAACATAACTCCCGCCGAATCCACCATCTCTCCGCAGGCAAAAAGGTCGTCAAATCGAATCATACCTGGATGTCCGTAGGGAAGAATAATGGTTGCAAATGGGACCAGCGGGGTCGGTGAACATGCAGCCATGGTTGAAGATCAAGCTTCCCGCTGGTCCTATTTATAGCTCCAACCCCGCTCATCTCATTTTGGGTCATAACGCCTGGCCCAACAGAACATACCATGGGGCTCACGCTGAAGGATGCCATGGTTGTAGCGCAAAAATTGGGTGGAACATCTCCAAGTTGCCCGGCCTAGGCTCGCCGGCCTGGCGATTGGGCACCAGCTCAAAGGCTGCCAACCTGGAGCTCGCGTGCGCACGTCTAGGACTCGTGCACATTCGCAAGAGCAAGAACACATCTATTACTCCTCTTGCTTGAGCAATGTTTTCTTGAGTAATGTGTTCTTGCTTGAATAATGTTTTCTTTGCTCATCTTGCTGTCATGTCGCATGTCAAACATGACGTATGAACAGCCAGTCTCATCTTGCAGTCAGCTTGTTGCAGCTTTGACCGGACTTAAAGCATTGAACAAGTTGGGACCTACATTGCAGCAAAGCTCGACTGTGTTCAATGTTGTTTAGTGGTTCGGGTTGGAGAGCCTACGCTGGGCAAGAAAAAGAACATGTTTCCCGTGATGCCTCTTCTGAAACGCATTAAAAACGGTACACGTGTTCCCGTGGATGTTGCCTTCTTCTCCCGGAAGCTAGAATCCTTGGTCTGCAAAAAAACACGTCTGAAAAAAAGGGGCTGCTCAATTGCACTTGACTGATGGCATGTTGCAACCCACTGCACCTCCATCACAAAGGCCAACAACAACCAACGGCAGGTTGTCATGGCACTCCGCCATGGGCATCCAAGAATCCAAGCTGATACGAAAGGTCTTCGCTCGGTTCGGAAAGCCCTGCTCAGTGTTGGCAAACCCTCGGCCCGGCTTCGAACAGGTGACTCCCTCAAAGCGAACAAGGTTGTTCACTTTTCTGAGATATGACCATGGGGCAAAAGCCCGTACCCCCAGTGAACATCCCAATCCCCACTAAAATAGACTAAGATGGGTGGTACACCTACCCCGAAATGGTACCATTGGTTTTGATTGAGTACCCACTGGCGGGATGGTCCAGGGGTGGATGCCGAGCGTTTCTGAAGTCACGTCTGACCAACTGCTGGTCCAGCAGCAATTCATGAATACATCACATGCCGTGGGAGAACGCACTCGCAGCGAGAAGAATCCTAGCCACGTCCACCAAGCCTAAGGAAAGCAACAACACCAAACGTGCCAACAGTGACATCTCTAGGTGGCACTTTGCCCTTGGCCGCCCATAACACCCAGCCAAGCAACAGCTTCCCCTGTGTCGCAACTCCCCCAGGCACTGGTTCCAGCTGAAACCACCTTACCAGCACTCAGGAGAACCCCGCTCCAGAGCAGTCCACATGCGAGAGAGAGAACCCTGCAGGAAGATACTGGACCCACAACCGCTACAATGAAACAACATGGGCCAGGCCCCCCCGATGGCCGGTAATTGGCGTCCCGGGTGAAGTGCCGGCAATTGACCAGCACTTGCTTAAAAATGGTTTTGTAGTCACATAGATGTTTTTGCCATCATCAAAGTGCAGTGAAAAGTCACTTTTGTTGAAAGGGGGGAGAGGGGGGGGCGACACGCTGGTGACACGCTCATATCATATCCCAAAAAAGTGACCGTTCAACGTACATGGTGGTTGTTCTAAATTCCTTTGTCTCGAAACGGCCATTCTTCGCGAATAAAAAAGTTACTTTCGCGAATCTTTCGCGGATTCATCGCCGTGCCCTTTTCCTTGCTCAAGCCAGAAAAATCGCTGATTTTAAGTGCCAGCGTAGTGCGCAAAATTCGATTCCCCAACTCCCGCTGTAAAGTCGCAACTTTCATCACTGGGTAGTACATGACATGCACGGGCTGGAAAGACGCAGCTTTTCGTAAGCCGTGCAGCTCCAGCTTAAAGGCGCAACTTTCCAGTACCAAGCTGGTATACTGACAAGCGCGGCGCTCAGAAAGTACCCCCTTACAATCGAAGCCGCTTTCGCGGGGGCTTTCGCGGATCTTTCACGGAACTTTCGCGAAAAACCACCCACGGTTCAGAGCGGAAAGGCGCCGAGCAAATTCACAGGCACACATACACAGGCTTGGGGCACTAACCAGCCAAGAAGGGTATCAAACTGTAGCCTCACCAGGCTTTTTCGGTGCAAAATCAACAAAGTGTTGTAATCAGCGCAGAAGGAAGGCTCAGCAGCAAAGATGAATGGTTTCACATATCATTGATTTACAAGACACAGTTACGCAAAACTTTCGCGAGGAAAAAACTTACTTTCGCAACTCCATCGCGAATCTTTCGCGGAGCTACCTCAACCAACACTGATGGTCACCGAATACTAAACTCCTTACAAGGACCTTTAGAACGACTCCCACATGTGCCCCCGACACCCATGACACGCCGTGACACGCTCCTCAAGAACCCCTCCCAACCTCAAACTTGCCCTCCAAACCTCAAATTTGCTGCTCTCCCCTTTCCCCTGCAACCCCATTCCAAAGGACCCTGAAAGGTCACTTGTATCATTGCACAAATTGCACTAAGTACAGATGAGTGATACTTGATAGCAAATTGCTTTTTCAGTCACTTAGACATAAAGTGACATCGTTTTGCCAAAAATCGATGTGCCGGCAATTGGCCAGCCATTGGGGGGTGCTGGGGCCAATTCGCAGATCTCTGTGCATGTTGCAAAATGGGCCCATGGACAGGAGCAACAAAGCAGCAAAGTCCGTCAAGTGACTGCCGTGCCGGGAAACTCGGGGATTGCATATTGCGGGCCAACCTCATGTTGCCCCGTCATCGGTGACACGTCTGCAAATCCATTGGTGGACTGTGCTACAACGATTGGCACAGCTTTCTCAAAAGTGTTGCATCTCTGTTTTTCAGAATTCGGGCAAATGAATCCACCTACACCAAAATACAAGGATCCCGCACTTGCCACACAAATGGACGTTTGTACACAGGGCAATAACAAGCCTGTGAACAAGTTTGGTCTCTCTTTGACAAGGTGGGAACAAAGGCAGCGCGCAAAGCAATCAGTTGACACCAGCTAATTGGTCATGGCCAAATCGAGACAATGCATCCATTTGCATCTGACAAGACATTCCAAGCTAGCTTGGAACTGAGATCTCTGTGAGGGCCCCCCAAGTCAAGGAGTCTTTGGTCCGTTGCAGTTCAAGCCATCCTGTCTCAAATTGCAGGGGTTGGCTTGAAGAGTCTTAAATTGCAACGCAACATGAGGTACCCTTCAAAGTGCGCGGGCCTTCAAGGCGATCAATTTGCACGACCGGGCCAAAACCATGGAACTGACCAGAAGCAGCTTTGAACCCCCCAGAAGCTCCGCCAACCCTATGCTGCCGTTCTCGCCTTGGGGACTTCTTCCATTCCGTCGGCAGCGCACCTTCCTCTGAGGTCTTATACCTGCAACCACGTAATGTGACAAACTGATGTGGGGCTCGGCCTTGCATTCGACAAGCCACTGGGCATGATTGGTGTTGAGGACAGCTCTTGGCAGTGGTTTTCATGCAGAAGGAACGTCCCATGCGCAGTTTTCCTCCAAAGGGCTGATGCTGGGAACCCGGTTCGGAGTTCGGGCTGCCTCATCTGCACCATGGGCTCGAAGGATCCTTCATCGCTGTCCTAAGGGCACCAAGCACGCGAGTGAGAAATACGAATGAAACGCAAACATATTTTGGTGGAGGCCTCATGTGAGGTCAAAGAACAAGTTCGGTCAATGCCAGGAAGGTTCATTAGGGCGTGATGGCTTCGTTTGGTTGGCCTGTGGCCCAGCCGCTGACCAAAGAAAATAAGTGTCCGGTCACTTGCGACCAAAGGATCCAGAAGAGTAATCAATATATCAGGCCGTAAGGACACATCGTCTGGCAGCGTCACGTTCTCCTCTGCAGGGCTCTCAGACAGGAATCTTTGCCCAGCAATCGCGCCTCCAAGATCTGATTCCAGCTCGGGTTGATGCACTGCGTGATGATTTGTGTCCTTGGTTGAAAGTTTGCCACACTGTGCCTGTCCAGACTTGCTGGAGCCAGGTTGGGTCCCCTGAGAGTTTTGAAGCTTTGCGGACCCTTCAACATGTCAAGTACCCTTTCCCGCTTGAACATGGCAAGAAATCATTGCAACGTCTGCAGCTGTAGCCTTTTGTAGCCAAACTAGTCGCCGCAGTCTTGCCGAAGTTTGCCGAAGTGTTCCGAACTTCCCGCAGTATTCCAGGAGTATTCCTATTATCAACAGTCTTTCCTGCTCCTGTAGTCCGGTACCCTTCCAGAAGTTTCGCGTAGTCTTTTCCGTTGACGCGGAACTGCCGGAGCTGGCAAGGAACAGTCAGTGGGCCAAAAGGCTTGGCATGATGCCCACAATCATGCGGTGTTCGATATGTGTTCGATTGTTATCGGGCAGGTCGCTAGTGCTTCGTGTGATTTCGCGTGCTTCCAAGTTGCGTGATCTTACAATTCTAGAACTTCTAGCCTTGAACAGGGGGCGTGCCAATTACATAACAAAGAGGCGGACCCCCCCCCCTTCGAGCCATCCAAAGCACGCCTTTTTGAAGAAAGCAATCGTCCTCACTTCGGCGGACTCTCTCACTTCAGCTTTGCCCTGTAGCCTCATGGCCGAGTGAAGGACGTACTTGGTCGCTTCAGGCTCCGAGTCGAAGCCTTTGAACAACAGCAGCTCGTCGTCGCGAAGCTCCGGGAAGTAATACCTCCAAGCGTGCATTCCGTAAGGACGGCGAGCAGGACATAGCAGGACTGCAAGAGCAGGGGCAGCAGGAGCACAGCCAAATGACAAAAAAAGGAGGGGCAAAGGCAGAACAATCAAAGTGAAAAAGGGAGGACCGGGAGCTGCGGCAGCAAGCAGCAAACCTTTTGCTGCCCAAGCGCCACTTATGCATCGCGCTGGCTTCGATCCGCGCCATTGGGCCAGACACCCACTCCACAAATGTGTGCGCTGAGAGCTTGGCGGAGGGCTTGTAATCCGATGCGCCGGACAGCAGCAAATGATCCTGTGGGCATCAGCCGGTTGGCTTCACGGCTGTCTCTCTGGCTTCAGTCTCTGGAAAATGCTAACACACACGGACACACACACACACACGAGTGAGCGCAAGGGGCATGCTGAGTAAGGAATTGCGAGGAATTACCCGCTGGAGGCTGACAGAACAGCAAGCCACAGTGTGGCAGTGAGCCAATGAGAAAAGTCAACACGGGATGGAGAACGTTCACTTGTTCTGTCACGTTCTGGCGACAAGACCTTGATACTCACAACATCTGGGATGGACAACGCTCACGCTTTGTGTCACGTTCTGGCAACAAGACCTCTGTACTAACATCCATACCCTCGAGCCCATACCTACCGACGTGGCCTGTTGCTTGTGCTCCACAACCTCGGAAACAACAGGTACTCGATAATCCTTACCCAAAGCATCTGACTCGCCTCCGCCACCGTGGAGGCATCGCAAAGCGCCAGGTGCTCCCTCTGCAAAGGCTCAGGGCGTAAGTTCCGCCAGGCGTTGATCAGCAAGAACCGGCCCTGGGACGGGGGGCCTTCAACGAATGTGCTCCCAAGACCAGGGCGATCACGGAAGACCCACACACAAGCACAAACAAATACAAAAACATCAACAAATTTATACCCCTACGCGCACACGAACACTACAGTCCCGCTGAGTAGGGGACATCTATCTGGCTGGCGTGGGAATCTTCACGAACACTAGTTGAGAGCTGTGCTTGTCATTGAAGCCCCTGGAAGTCTTTGTTGGCCTCTGTCACGGTGCTCAAACCTGCAAGTTACATTAAGCTTGCACAGGCAGCCATGGCACAAAGATTCGGGTTTTTTAGGGTGAACAGCGATGTTTTTTCCTCCAGGTTGTCCAGGTGCACAACCTGAATGGAGATCTAAGCAGTTAACTGCACACTTCCCTCTCGTGACCGACTCCAACTCGCCTGCCGGTATGCCTGCATCTCATCCTTGTCCGCTGTTGCCAGCGGCAGCTGCCACTCGAAGATCTCTTGCGCGCTCTGCGGCGTGTAGTCGCTGTGGACCCGAAAGTCGTAGCTTCTGGTCATGAAGTCGTTCTCGCCATGTTCCTGGCAGCGGAAGGTGCCAAGCCGCAGCAAGAGGGCCCAAAGAAAAAATCAGGGCACAAGACAAGTGAAGTACTTGGATACCAAAGCTGCCCTGAAGCGACAAAAAGACATGCCACAATATAACCAAAAGCGTTCCATTTCTCTGCTTTACATGGTACTAAAACCCCTTTGAGCCAAGCTACTGGCCTCTGATGCCGGACATTGTGGTGAAAGGCTAAGACCTTGTCCGCCCCGGTCGCTTCCTGCACCGCGCTGCAAACCTCCCCGTAGTACCGCCCCATGGCCTTCTCACGGAAGAAGCTGTCGCTGCAAAGCGCCGTCTTGAAGGCGACCACGCGGAAGCCTTGCCTCAAGGCGTTCCATGAGAAACCACTCCCGTCCCGCAGAAACCAACAGAATCCTTGAAAGAAGCGGCCCATGACCAAACAGTCCTTTTCATGGATTGTCATTGTTCGCCAATGTCGAGGGCATATTCTATCAGGAGTCCCTGGGCGCAAATACAACTGGCTTTCAAAACATCATGCATCAAACTGAGAAAAAAGGGATAAGTAAAAGGAATACAGCACATTTGTTGGCAAAATAAAACCATCGTCCGAGCCAATGCTGAACCAAAACTATGAGTAACGTTCCAATACAAAGCAATGGAAGGATGCTTGATTTCCGCTGTTGAAACATACCGAGGAAGAGGACAAAAGACCAATTGGGCAGAGCCGGGTCTTACTCAAAATCGTCTTCACTGCGAAAGCTCGCTTGCAATCTGTCAAGCCAAACTCAGCTGAGCTGCCGCTCCCACGACAGCCCTGCGGCTGCCCGTGCATCTGCAACGGCAACCCGCGCTGCGCTCATGCGCCGACCGCATGCTCCGTCACGAACATAGCGGAGGTCGACCTCCACATCGCCTGGGCGCGGCCAAGCATTCGGCGCTTGGCCACTTGCTTATCCAGAGCCAGAGAAACGCCTGGTAGTTGTAAGTATTTGGCACTGGGTGCCCATGGCTGCCCTCCTGGACAGATCGATGAGAAACACGCCTGCCCGTCAAAAACAAACACTGCTATGTTTCAGGGCTCCTGCCTTGACAGCTGCTCCACTCAACACTTGAAGCCCAACAGGCCAACAGCCTGCTTATAGTATTCGACGCATCTGACGTGCTCGTTCTTTCTCGGCTCAAGTTGCGGATGCAACTGTTCACGGAATAGACCTAATTAACATGACCTAACACCGGCAAATTCAAGAAGCTGTCAAGAAGCTACAATGTACATGGCTTGATCCATCAGCAGAAAGAAAGTTAACCACTTGCGCTCAAGTGCGTAAACTCAGGATGCCACATGTTTAGAAGCAAACTGAACTCAAGCATAAGGAACGGCACACATGAGAAAAGTATGCGTTCAACCGAGGATGCCAAGCAATATCAGCCGAATGGCGCGTTGCTTCACACAGCGCCAAAGAAGCACCCAGGCCGACGCCCGCTCCAAACCAGCGGGCGCCAAGACGGCGCATGGCTCTGCGAGAGAAGCACTGACCAAGGCCCATCTTGGAACAGGCAACAACAAACCAATTCGGGCAGTGTTTCTTCAATACACGTACTGAAGGACTTCATGTCCGCATTCTTCGGATCGGTTCTCATCCATTGAAGCGGCCAGGCATACACGCTTCTTCGTTGCGTATGCGTTCGGCTCTTTCGGAATCACTAATTGGGTCCACTTGCGGCGTGACTTGAGCCGCACAGAGATGAGAAATAGTTTGGGTGACGATGCGCATGTTGACGTTGGCTGCGTCACTGCAATGCTCAAACTGTTCGTGTGATGGTTTTTCACATCAGTTCTTTGAACCTTCCTGGCCGCTAATGCGAAGCTTGGCAAGGTGAGACGTCAGGGGGTCCCAAGCAAGTGATCCGGTGCCGCCGTGCAGCAAGGGGGGCCCAGTTGTGGAAGCCACCATGCAAAGCACAATATCACCAATCACCACAATCACCATCAAACCACCATCAAACCACCATCAAACCACAAGCGCCACCGGCACCTCCCACACCAACACCTGCATTCCCATTGCCATATTGCTGTCCAGGAAAGCCGCATGGTCGCCTTCATCACCCGCCCAGTGCCGCCAGAGCGTCCGCATCACCACGGGACCGAAGCTGAGCGCCACCAATGGGTCCGAGCTGCCCTCCTCGTCCTTGGGGCCCGAAAACGGAGATGCGGCTCACGTGGTGTGCTAAACGAGGCATGCCACCGCGTTCTTTGTTGGCTGAATTGAATTGAAATCTAAAATCCTCACCTGCTATGTATATAGTTTCACCCCGTCAATCAATAACGACTCGCAGTGAGGCCAATAATGTCACGTCAGTTGGGGGTGATTCATGGATTTGTAAGGTTCCAGGAAAAGCATCAGAGGGTACAGCCACACCTTACAGGTGCAGGTTTGGAAGGCCCCATTGCCTGCAGCAAGCTCAGTGTGCACTGCACCAAAAAAACTTAGCAAACCATACTTCCCTGTCTCGCTGATTTTCTGATGGGTATCTGCTTGGTTGCCACGCCTTCCCAAAACCAACCAGCAGACTAATGCAGCGTCATCGCATTTAGAAGCAACACGGATATCAGTATGTCTCAGAACTAACCCCTTCCGCTTTCTTCCCGTGAAGGCCAGCAGAACCATCCAAAGCGTAGCTTAGGCCCCTTCAACACTCAAGACCCAAAGACGCCTGAAGGGGCAAAGCTGATGGGAAGTAGACATGGCATGCATCTCTTTGATTCCCTGTGAACATTCCCGGCCTTGGCGGGCAAGTTCACAGCCTGAGTGCATCGACAGTTTCAGGGAACAGGACCTGCCCTTTGGCAAAAATGCAAATGCCAACCTCCACCCTGCACAAATCATCACATATCCAAGTACAATAAGTCAGCTAAGTGGCTTGATAGATCTTGGCGCGAAAGCAGTAGTCCTTCCACTTGATCGCCATCTTTTTCTCCCTGTCGCAATGTGTTGGACGTGCTTGGGCTGATTTGTGTTCAGCTGGTGTGGAGGTTTGTTGTCTTATCTGAGCATTTATATTGCCCTTAGCAGGCATCGCCTTGTCTATCACACGCTGCCTTTCAGCCAGCGGACTCACCTTTGACTGCCTCTGAACCCCTGCCCCTGAAGCCATGGGTTGTATATATATATATATATACATATATATATATATATAGAGAGCTATCTTAATACCATATGCCATATATACATGCACACCTTGCCTTCCAGAAATGTTGCGCCCTTGCGTAGCAAAGTATCCTGCCTTGTTGCTGGGATGTGTTCGAAGATGATGAAATGTCAGATTGGCTCGAAACTTGGGGCACAAGAAAGGATACCAAAGCAGCAATGCAGCTTGGAACGCGCGTTCTGCTGGATTGGGGGGAGTAGAAAAAACGTGCATTTTCGGCAGTGGATGCATATCCCCAGTCTCATACCCTCGTTGCGCGAGCAGCAGGGGTCTTTCAACAAGCACGAGCGCTATTCTAAAATATCGGTGTGGAAAAAATGGTGCATTTACCGGAGCTCCGTTGCACAAAGTCACTGCAACCCTTCACTAGCTTTGAGTCTATGAACTTTTGACCACCTGAAGGCACATCCCGTCCAGCGCCCCCAGCGCCACCTCTTGGGCGCTGCTTCAGCCGGACCCAGGCAAATGGTCCTAAGTCAGAAGTCGCTGAATTCGGGGAAACTGCGGGCCCCTTCATGTTTTAGCTCGTGGGTGACTTCAATTGAGGCTTCAGGCAGCGACTAGCGCCTCTTGCTGTAAGTGCGACGCCTACCTTTCAGCTGTTTCTGGTGCTTGTGCTTGAACATATGTGCTAGGTGTCGCCGCGCCGAGGCGGCAATTTGCCACTGAAGGTGGTCCGACAATTTATCTTGGGTAAGGCAATCCGATGGATGCCTTCAGGGAACCACGCGTAGGTCCCCAACACAAAAAGGCTCCTGGCAGCTGCCCTGGAGCCGCGCGCTTTCCCCGCCGCTGTTGAAGTCGTAACAGGCCCACTCCGCTATCAATATAAGTGTGTGTAGTCAAACGTGGAATGCAATATGACGTCGGCAAATTTAGCTCATTGCAGGCTTGTTGGCTCGCTAGATAATGCCAAGTCTCGAGAGCAGAAAGCCTGCACTGCCTGGAGAGATGCACTCAAAGAAGCCAAGGCATGCGACGGATTGCGTCTGGGTTCCGTCCTAGTTGAAGTTGGCCGTGACGTTGTGAATGGAAGTGGTATGTTGCAACCAGTCAAATCCGCCAACATGCTCGTGCAATCAGCGACTTCAAGCCTTGAGGAAAGGCTAAACTATCCTGAATTGGCTGGTTTGGCCAGCCATTGCCAAACTGCATGTCGTTTGCACAGCTTGCAATAAAGTACATTACTGATTGGAGAGCAGCGCTTTGTGCTAAAGCGAGGGGTCGCTGCACATTTGCCTACCAGGATGGCACCTACATCTGCACCGCCATTGATGACCATGCGCATGTCTCTCCTTGGCTGCCCATGGCAAGGCCAGGCAGTGCTCGTTTTGCATCACAGCTAAACTCAAGTAGCCGCAGCAACCATGATAATTGAACTTGGCCGGCCCCGGTTGTCATCACAAGGCAAGGCCCTCTGAAACAAATCCGCGTCTAGACCTTCCTGATCAAATGCTGCGGTCAAAGATTCCACTGAGGCTGCTGTTCCCACTCGCTGACTTCGCTGGCGGGCACGCGCGCATACCTCCAGCAAAATCAACCGGCAGGAAAACGAGCGCACTATTCAGCCAAGCGAAGTCCAAGCGGATGTGTGGCAAACTTGCATCTCAGAAGAATTGCTCGGCAATAAAGCCACAACTTTTGCCTGTCCCACCATGTTCGCCCACAAGCAGATCCCAAAAAGGAAACCCGAAGAGCAAGTCACAGGTAGCACGCTACTGTAGCTGAGGCGCATGTGCCGCTCGTATTTGCCTCCGCCAAGTTTGATCCCCTTCTTTTTCCACTTGGCGAAGACCTCAGCAAACCAACTGCTTGGTAAAGCTCAGGCATCTCAGGCGAAAATTGCACGTACCTTCGCCTTTTGAAGTCACATGTGCGAAAGTGTCAACCTCGGCGTCAGCTGCCTGTCAGCTGAGCTGCGCTGATGATGAACTCCCCACAGTTCTCCGGTGAAGGCAGGGAGAAGTTGGCACCCTGAGCCAATTTCGCTCGCACTGAGCCCTCTGATCCGAAATGTCTGACATCATAGCCAGCTCGAATTTGTCTGAAGGGCGGAGCATGGCAACCGGATGTTTGTGGACGCCTTCCATCAAGGACATCAATTCCAACTGTCTCTCATTGACCCTGGCAGCGCATGGCAGGACAAAGCGCCAAGCGCGAGTGAACTAACAGCGGCAGGAACGAGACTCAAAGAACTTGATCACCTACTCCCACACAAGTAGTAATGAGTTGGGTGAATCCTTACCGGATTCAGTAGAAGCAATCTGCATTTCCAACTTCTTGATGGTTTCCTGGGCCTTGATACCCAACTCTTCCCCCCGCCCGGACACATATTTCAGTCGCTCCCTTCTGACCCGAGCTGTGGCACCAGGCCGTCTCCAAGCGGATGGCGTCTTTCTTCCAAACGAAGCCGTGGCCCTCCGGATCCGGCGGGGCTGAGACGAGGGGCTGCTCGGACTCCATGATGCGAGGCAGCTCCTGGGATGCGCGGTGACACTTGGCACGAGGGAAGTCGCGACTTCGCGCAGGCCTTGGGTGGTGTAACCTGCAGCTTCCCAGGCGCCCATGTCAAACAAGGACGCGAAGGCAACGTGGCAACGTTCTGTTGGAAGATACGCTAGGCCATGTTTGCAAGTCCAAGCATCTCATTCAGTCTGACTTGTGCTCAGCATGGGGGGCAGGAATGACTTGCCCAAACCGTTTGGTGCAACAGTATGCACAGTGAATGCACTGCAACTCAACCAGGATGAATGTTGTTCATCGCCGAATGTGGGAACCTTACAATGCACACAAACAACTGTCCCCACTGGGCAGCTTGCTTGCCAAGCCGCAAATTGCACGTATAGCTCCTCTGGCTGGTCCGTGCTGTCAAAGCAGACCATGTACAGGTCGATCCATGCCTTGAATGTTGACATCATTCGAAGCCGACTTGCAAGAGGCACTCGTGTCATGATAGACCCTGTGTCTCAGGCAAGGAAATGCAGTTAGAAAGTTGATCCCCTCTCTCGCTGTCTCTTTCCAATTCTTTCTCTCTCCCCCTCTCTCTCTCTCTCGGATGGCGATCCTACGAAGGTCGCAAGGTCGCAGCCTATCACAAGTTCGCAAGAAACATCCCCACAGGGGGCGGACACAATGCTACTGAGCAAACTGATGCACTTCAGGGTGCACTGCAAGCAAACACATTGCAAAATATGGCCATAGTTGGTAGTAAGTCGAAAAAATGCAATTGAAATACGAGCAAACCTTATCTCCTTTCACCTCCCTGTCACTCTCTAGCTCGACTCTCACTCTCTCTCAGCCTCGCGGCGACTCCCGCCGTGACTTTGGGCGGGTTAGCCATGGATCCAGGGTTCACCGTCAAAATCGGCTTCTCCTCGCACCGCGTGAGACATGCTGTGCGCAGCTGTTGAGAACCGGTTGACGCAGCCTGTGAAGACAAACTGATTTAGAATTGGCATCCGGCACTTGCCCCCGTAGACTAGCTGTGCAACAAACAAAGCCAGGTAAAAACTGGGTTTGTCAACTCATGAATCTGAAGTTGTGTTTCTTTGGAATTATTGGGAATTATTTGGATTTATTTGGAGTTGTGATACATATATGCTGCAGTAAACAACACACACGCACAATGGATTTCCATGAAACCAGTCGCCTGGAGTTCACAATTAAAACAATAAGGGATTACACAACTACCATTATTTGCTTTTCATCCAAGGCTCAACCATTCTTTTCATGGGGATTGAACCTTAGGGATTCCTTTCCGCTGCCTGTTCCTGAGTTCTGCCCAGCCGCAGTTCGCTCCATTTGCGCCGCTAACAGAAGCCGCCCGGCAAACTCCTGGGCTCGACACAGGAAAGGCGCGAATCGTTGGCGGGTGGGGGTGGCCCTGTCTTCATGGGTGTCGTGTTGAGGCAAATAGATGGCCCTGGTAGATGATGAAACCACCACATAAACCAGAGCCATCTATTGAAATCGCTACGCGATCCGCCGACGCCAGTGGACAGTCCCCTATTAATAAACTGGGGCTGATCAATCTGGAGTCAGCACTGGAGAAGAACACTAGGGTCTACTCTTTAAACCACCCCCCGAAAGGGTATACAAGCAAGGCCCCAATTTTTTTTGTAAGTACAACAAGGCCTTCTTGGCACATTCCTGTTTTTTATGTCCCAGATGCTGAGGATGCTGGAAATGCAAGGAATGCAACCACACAACTTGCAGGAACAGACCCAATCTTCGCGCTCAAGATTTTAAGACTTTCAGACACTCAACATTGACCAAACACAGAAAACACCAGAGATGTGGGGAAAGCTGGGAATGCAGCCGGCTAGCCACCAAAAAGTGCAAAAAAGACAGGGTTGTTCGATATTTCCCAAAAGCAACCATCAAAAACCGATACTAGCAAACCCCCCTCAAATACTACAAAAAAAGACCTCCAAAAGCACGATAATGCAGGGGATGTTTCGCAGTAACTGCTCCGTACAGGTGGGGAATTGCAAACAACACTCATTTTTGAAAATTTCAACAGTTTCTCAAAGTATGACTGCACTTGGCCCCACCCAAACCCCTAACAGGCAAATTCCAACATTGCTTGAAGCAGCAAAACACGACTAGTATCTGCAAAAAAAGAGCCAAATTCATGGCAACAAGATAATCCTGATAATGCAGATCCTGCGCGTCCGCGGGAACCCCCCCCCCCCTGAGACCTAGGCGAAACGCAGATGTGTAACACGAAAGATCCAAAAACACTTGAAAAAACACAGGGTTTTGGACACCTATCACAGCATGCCCAAAAATAGCAGTCCCAAAAGCCTTCGGCTTTGATAAGAGATTCCGAAGGAAGACCAAGTTGCGGACTGCCATCTACACGCTCGACTGGCGTCGGCGGATTTTTGGACCAAAACAACCAGAAAGGACACCTATGCCTGTCTCACTTCCCAAGTGGATGGCCCCAAAAGGGTCCAAACTTTCCGTATGCCACTAAAATGGTATGTACAAAGCCCATAGACTCAGGAAGTAAGCTGCGCACGGGTCTGCACATGCATTCTGGACACTTGGACCTGCACGCAAAACGGGGGCAAAACAGAGATGACATGCCATGTGGCCGTTGCATTAAAAATGCATGTGACATGCTGCATGTCTGTCACGACAGTCCGACCCAGGAGAAACACTCAACCATCAACCAATACCTAGAAAATTTGGTTGGTCCCCCAGGATGTGCGCAAGCGAGTGGATCACATCAGTCAGCTTTCAGGCACATTTTGTCTCGTGGCCAGTGTGCATTGCAAAATGGTGTGTTGACAAGGACGGTTGCTCTATTTGTCGCTCACCGGGCAAACATTGATCCGATCTCTGCGCGGGCAAGGTGCGGACTTTTCTTCATCCTTCTTGCCGTCTGGCGCCTGCCATGCCATTTTGCAGCTCGCGCTCTTCTCCAACAGTGGCCATAGTGGCACTGAAAAAAAACAAAGAAAATTGGACCCGCCAAAAAACGCCCACTGCTTGCCACAGTGCTCACAAGCGCCGCACTGCAAGCTGAAAGCACCCTGTACGAGGCATTCAGGCAACAAGGTAAAAGCCATTGCAAGCACCACCTAGCCTTGTAGAAGTAGAACCAAGTCGGCTCCAAGCTCCCATTGGCCAAGTCGTCAATGTCCAGAGTCACCTCCTGAGCACTGTTTGCACCAATCTGCTAGTGCGGGATCCACCAGGACTTCAGCCAAATTCCATAGGGTGTGGCACACAAACCTGCCTAGCAGCGGGAGTGGGAAGCCGGGCACGCTGCTGCCCTGTTTCAATCTGGGTTTGATGGACTTGATCGATGCTTTCCTGTCGATGTTGGCTAAACGGCAATCAGTGTCTCAGGTGTATGACACTTGGTCTTGAACACTGCAAAAACCTCGCTGCTAGATGACATGCCCTCAGAAGTAGCTTGAGTAAGGACTACAGAATGAGAAAAACACTCAACGGCGTGCAAGCAATGCAGAATGCTAGGGAGGGAATATATGGGATCTTCAAGCCAGCATTGAGACGCAAGAAGTCCATGTTTGCCTTTATCAACATGACCCTCTGTCTTGGACTGTGGCGCGGGCAAATTTGCTTCGCCACAGGTTGCTTAAAAAAGCATGGCTTGGATTGAACAAGTAGCATGGCCATCGAGGCTGCAGTGGGCTTGGAAGAGTATATGATGTATGATATGATAACTGACTCATGTTGCCTGTTTGGAGGCCTGAACGAAAACAACAGTTTGTAATCATTGCTGGTGTTGCTGACGCGGGATGTAGGCATGGCGGGCGAGTCGCAATGAATTCCAGGGGCACCAAAAACGTATCAGCGTCAGCTGTGCACTGCCTCCACCTTGCCACAAGCCAACCAGGTCAGCCAGGTAGCGCCAAGCTCTATTTTGCTGCCGGTCAGGCCGCCATCGTGCATAACGACAACATTGACGCTGTTGTCCTGCAGGGCAGAGGAAACCTTCTGAGACAAGTGTTCTCACCTGGCAGGCCATGTTTGAAACCTGACTGCAACACATGGAAGTGCGCAGGTGCGGCGCGCCACCTTCCTGCTTCCCATCTTGGCACTATATTTGGCCCGCTTAAGCGACATGAGCGGACTTCTGAATCAAAACAAACAACTTTCGTGTCGTTTCCTTGCCTCTCAGTTTCACCTGGGCCCAGTTGCACCTCGCTGCCTGCTTGAAACTTAAACAAATCTGCGTGCCATCTGAGCCCCAGGCCCAGGCAGGCATGGAGAAAGGCACTTGCACCTCCTCGTTCCAGATGGGATTGTTATTCCTCGGGAAAAGGTTTGCATGAGAAGATTCAACAACCGGATTTGTGGACCTGTGTGGCCTTAGCTCCTGCTGTAGAACCTGACACTCTGATTTTGCCGCTGTCCAGGCTCAAATTGCGAGGCATGGGTCACTGTCACGCTTCCTCACTGGATATGGATGTGCCTGCAGAAACCTCATCCGACAAAACCGAGGGAAAACCAAACGCCACCGCCCGATCTTCTGCCCATGGCAAACGATGATGAGCAACGAGCATCTGCCCATCTCCCAAAAGCACGAGCACACACACACACGCATGGCGCTCAGCACCCTTACTTCACCGCCAGCGAGGAGTTCCACTGTGTTCGAAACACAATCGGAGAAGGGCGAAGAACTGCAAAAAGATTTCAAGCCGCAAACAGCCAGAGGAGATGACTTGCACCAGCCAAATAACCGCTTTGGAAAAGAACTGTGGAATTACTTCAAGCCATAGAAGAACTTGCATCAGCCGTTGAAAATGACTTCAAACCATATGGAAATGAGCACAACAGCTGGAAACCAAATAAGTTGCAGCCAAGGATCTTTTGAGTTTGTGTGCGCTGTGATGTGCCATTGAAGTCCACTTGCACGTATGGACTGCATGAGGTCGATAAAACACCTCGGCGAGGCAAGGGCAAAGCTTGCCTCGACGCCAGCATGCTCAGGACTTTGAAGTTTGGGGGTCTTTTTGTGGGTCCAAGCGGGTGGGGGAACGGGAGCCCTTGGGAACCTTCGGGTTTAGGGAGCTTTCCCAGGTCCTCAAGGCATTTCTGAGATCGGCTGAGCGTTAACCCCATCTCGCGGCTCCAACTCCTGGCGAGTGGCCCTTGTGCATGGGAAGCTGTTCGGCCTGGCGCAATGACCAGCGCCGCTGCCCCGAAATAAGCCACACGTCGACTGCACAACAACGTCGCAGCTCGCCGTCTCTGGGCATTTGTCATGCTCACGATTCAGACAGGGATCCTTACATTATACACCTGAACATTGCCTTGTAAATGATGGTTTCCCTTTTTTTTGGTGGACCAAGCCATGATTCAAATGGGCAAAAAGTATCTTTTAAGGAGCCCTATTCAGATGCCCAGCGGGGAAATGCAGCGGCCAGTGCCTGGAAGACTTGCACAGTGAGCTGGAAGAGCGACTTGGCTGCATCCTTGGTTGGAAGCCTCAGCATTGGATGCTGCAACCCTCAAGTGCAGCACCAACTCAGCCAGCGCACTTGACTCTGCTAGTTTCGCGTTGTTGGGAAAACTGCTCAATCAGCCAAGTGCTTGTTGGTAAGCCCCATTCATTTGTCCCGGACATAATCCTTTCAAACTGACCCTCTGTTGGGTTGCATGCTAACCGCTAGGCAACCAGCAAACTGCTGCCCAACTCATCGTTTCATCCAATTTTCAGAGATACGTGAACCTTACAACCCCACAGAGAAACCCGGTAGGAAAGCCTCTGTTTTGATCAAAATCTAGTGCAGAATCATGGTTTCATCACATCTATTTTTCGGGCAACAGCTTGGCTGAGATAACTGAGGGAGCCCTGTGGCTATACCGCCTTCGGCCCTCAAAGTCGCGGTCAGTATGACGGCATGAGACAACCTTTGTTTCCTTTTGAAAGTGAGGGTGATTGGGGGTGTGGCCAACCCTTGCTGCTGATGCCAATTGATCAAACTGTGATCAAATCTGCTCCATGTAATGCGCAAGTCCACCCTGGCGGTCAATCCCAGTAACGTGACTTGAGCAGCTTGTAACCCTCCCGGTTTAATCCTTTTTCCTTCTCGTGTCACGTCTCGTACACGGCCTGTGCAAAAAGTGGCTAAGACGCGCTGACTTCAGCAACATCAAGGCATAGGCTTCTCCCAGGCATCCTTTGAGCACTTTGCGTTCAAAGCTCCATCTCTCTGTGCTGGGCTTACAGGAGCTCTGGCTTGTTGAAGTAGACCCAGAACAGTACCTCGTGATCCAAACCAGCCCATCTTCAGGGGGTCAAAGCGAGTACGTGTCGAGCGCGGCAAACGATTGAGAATGCCCAGCTAAAAACCCTTTCTGCATCAACACCTGCCGATCCTAAGCAGCCCGTCTCAATGATGGGCTTACGTGAGGGTTCAAAGTTGAAAGGGTCCTCAAGTTGGACCTTGGCTCCCTTGTACTCCTGGCGTCACCGAGGGTCCAAAGGGCATCCCCCTTTTGAAAAACCCTTCTGTGACGTTGCGGTCAAACACGCGTGGCCCAAGGTGCTGCGGGGCCAAGGGAGATGATGAAGATCCTCAGCTGCGAATGCGGGCATGGCTCAGGAGAAGGAGCTCTGCATGCCCTGACTTGCCCTCCGAAATGTGTGGTGCCCGTTTGCGACACAGCCCATGGCGGGCACCTGCAAAGTCATCTGAGCTCTGTTGAAGGAACTCTTTGCTGACCCCTGAAACCGAACCAATGGAGCTTGCCTCCTCTTGTTATTTGAGCACAAGTACTTAACTGACAGGCATGGCAGGAAAGCACAAGTACTTAAAATATTATTCCCACTTGCTAGGCGAGCCAAACATTCCGGGAATGAGTGCCTTGGCACTGGCCAGCAGAAATATGCTTGCCCAGAAACAGACCGAAGCATGAAAATCGTGATTCAGCGTGAACGACTGCAAAGCTGCAAGCATCCCACAGCATATCCTTGAGCCCAGGCGTCGCCCAGCCCAGCTGCAGCAGCGCATAGCCCGAGTTGCCCGCCATCGCCACCTGTGGTGCCGCAGCCACTACGGCGCCCAACAGCGCGGCCTCGCCGCCTGAGTCGAGGCAAAGGAAGGAAGACGAAAGTGGAAAACTAGCTAAGCAGGGTTCTGGAAACACCAATTTATGAAGTAGCAATGGAAGGCTCCCTCTCTCTGGCGGTTGCCAAGTGGGGCAGAACACATGTGCCACCTCCAGTTCAACCAGGTTGAAACAGGTTGAAGGACAAAGCTCGCAAGGAAGCTCCGCAAGGATCAAAGAATTAAATGCCGCGGAAAAGAGAACCCTTCCGTACGACCTCCCAGTACCCCCTGAGAGCCATCGCCTGAGTTGGACTTCCCCCTATGCAAACAACATGACTCCTTGCAGGCTCAATAGAACATGCTCTGGTTCGTTGAAACAAGTATCCCAGTTGCCCCTCTTGGAAACAACGTTTGTCCAAAATGATTGATGTGGAGCCCGGCTGCATCAACCCATCCTACCAAGAGGGGCAGGCGTTCCCCTGCAGAGGTGATGCATCCCCACTGGGCCAGGGCTCGGAGCTGCTTCGGCGCGGCTGTGGGGCTTTCCATCGGCGCCACGAAGCAGGAGACGCCCCAAGCAGCCACGAGGGCCACCACCAGGGCCAAGAGCAGGGACTGGTTGCGAGCCATGCTTCAGGGACGGTAGCGGGGGCGCGAGCCTTTGAGCCAAACTGCGGGGATGGCGTCTGCCATATGCACCAAGCGCTGTTGCAAAGAACGGCGCGGGTGGTTGCAAGCATTCAGAGCTGGCGTTGCGCAGATATTCCTATGGCGGCTGAGCGAAGTTCCTGCTTCCAGGAGGCGCTGTTCTTCGCGAGGAAAAATGCGAACCTTTCGTGGTGCAATCGCCACGCTTCCATTTCCAGCGTGCTCTCAGCATCTCAGGTAACCATGCGGTTCACTTGCGCCGCAGGCTCGCAGAAGCGTCCAATGAAAGCTGACACTACCATTCGCCCTTCCCCCTTGCGCTTCCCGTGACTGCCCGTCCGGGGCCCAATGTGCGGAACCCTTGCAACAAGCCCCATGTTTTTTGCAATCTTTCGCGGTTCTTTTGCGAAACTTGACAGTTTGCCTAGCACCGTTAACAGCACAGGCAGGGAATCAAGGAGGCAAGTAAAGGTGCTGCACATCTCATCGCATCTCCCTGTCCACAAGGGAGTAGCGCCTGCAAATATGAACACGAATGCCTCCAAGACGCTTTTGCTAAATCTTGCACGAAACAAGTCTCTTTGACAAACTCCTTCGCGGACCTTTCGCCGGCCTACGGCGCTATGGTCCACCACGGTATAAGTCCTTACAAATCCTTACCAGGACCTTTTGATCAACTCCCATATTGCTAGAGAAATATCTGTGTATATATATACATTATATCAAGTATAGCTAATACATCCGAAATTAATCCATGGAAATCGGCGTCTCCAGCCAATGTGACAATCAATCTGAGGGTTTAGAACCCAAGTGAACCGATGTGGCCATGGGTCAAAGTCCCATGCCCCCAGTGAACATGCCAATCCCCACTAAAATCGACTAACATGAGTGGTGAATTCACCTACCCCACCATGAGATCCCATTGGTGTTGACCCACAGCCATGTGAATCGATGGACGGATGTGCCGCCGCAGCAACTTGACGACCCGCGTCTTGATGGACTGCACCTCTGCTGCTTCATCCTCGTCGGCGCCTCCTGGCAACGAGGCTTCAGCCGGGTCGTGGGAAAACGCACGCGCAAAGGCAGGCAAGTAGACTCCCACAGATTTGGCTGTGTGTCAAAAATAGGTACCCAAAAAGGAACCATGCTGGAAAACCTGCGGTCTCCTGGCTTCATTTTGACCCATACGCGCGAAAGGAGAAAGACGGTGTCAAGCTTATCTGGCTGACTATGGACTATGGCCATGCCAGCAAGCGATTCCAACCCAGTCCTGACAGACTCTGCGGCACGATGTCGCCTGGCCAAGCGGACAGGCCTCTGAATGCTTCTGGCCCAGGACTCCGCAGATTGGTTGCGGCCGAGGGCAAAGGCCCTCTGGAACGCCTCTGTGGCAATCCTATGAATAGACCTTATGTCAGTTACCAAACCATTTTTGGGAAGGTCCGTCCACATATCTTGAAAAGCCGCCGTACATGACTTGACGGGCAACACATCTTCCAAACACAGGATGGGTACCCGTTTCAACCAATTTCAGTGGATGCTCGCTCAACTGCGAAAATCCGTCAACTGATCTGCAAAGCCCGGCGGTGAACCCGGTGACAAACACTGCAACTGGGTTAAACCTCTGTCATTGCCTCGCCTCAGACTTAGTTCAACTCCAGCGCAGGTTGTCGCTCAAATTTGCGCCCCCAAGACGACCACTCATACAAAAAGGTAACATTGTTTCTTGACAAACGCCCCCCAAACTCCCCTCTTACTGCGCCAACAAGGCCCAGTAAAAGCAGGGCAGCAGCTACTACCAGGAGTTGTAAAAACCCAGTCCCAGCCTGGAGCGTAGGCGCCCAAGGACAACTCCACGTAACCGCAGCCTTTGCCTGAAGGCAATTCATTGTGGTGCTCAGGGAATGGGAAATGGAGTGACCCCGGAAAACAATCCCTTGTCGTTTCCTTTAAAGGGAAATTTTGGGTTCATTCCCAACATGCTGGGTCCTTATTACTGAGCACCAGCAAGGTGTTCAGCCTTTGGGGTTCTGGCGTTGACCTTTGACGGCCCGGGATAAGACCATGGAAGGGGGGGAAAGATTTGGCATCAGACTGATGGCAATTGCAGAGTTGAAACTTGAGACAGGGCCGACTGAAAGCACTGAAAGCTGGAACTGGATGTAATGAAGGTCGTGCATTCCGTTGCGCCCAACAAACGCGCCACAGGCACCCTCAGAACACCTACCGTGCCCTAGTCTCTCTAGGAAGCAAACAAAAAAAAGGTCGTCTAAACGATTGTTCCGAGTTTCCAAACGCTGCGTTCAAACTCTTGCCAAACATTATTTTAAAGCCCAGGCAAAGAGGCAAGCTTGGGGGCAAAACGTGCTGATGCATCTCTGGGCAAGTGGTGGTCCTAGGAAACAATTGCGTTGAAAACTGAAAATGGTGAACTCAAATCCTGGCCTTTCCAAGATCCACTTCCGGAGAGTGAACAGCTAGGCAGTAGCTTACAAAAAGGCTCGCCACAAAACAAACAACGACCAGCAATACAAGAGCTTGACCCAGTTAACAACCATGCAGCCCTTGCTGAGAAAATTGAGAATTTACTCCAGGCAAGCAGGCAAGCTCTTGACTCACATCCTCAAGCAGGCCGCCTGGGTCATCTGGCAGGACAATCACAAACCAGTCCTTTGGCACGAGGTGCCCGTCTTGATGGTACCTCGGCGGCAGCAAACAACTATGCACACGACTGTTCCTTTGCAGAAAAGATGGGCTGGCGCTTACTGCTTGTCTTTCTGTAAGCAGTGGAAGCGTTGATTGAAACAAATGTACCCCACTTGCTGCCCTCTTCCCCCCCACATGCTCATCAGCATGCGAATGAATGCATTGATGAGGGTAAGGGATCTGCAATCAGGAGGCCATTATTTTTGCCTGACTGCGCAGCATTGCCTACGTTGACCTCAATTGAAAAGCCTCCATAGAGCCTGACAAACAAAGTCAGCGAAGCATGGCACGGGATGCTTCATTGCGCATGTTGCACCATGGTGATGCTCATGAAGCCCATGGAGCCTATGGCCAAGCGACACTTTCTCTAAGCTGAAGGTCACTTGGCCCAGCTTTTCCTCAGCTTGGCGACTATTGAGCTAGGCCTAGTGAGTGGAAGTGTTGACTTGCTGCCTTTGACTGAAACGCATATCCAGCACGGGCAAACAAAATGAAGCAAAGCATGCGACGGTACCACAAGATCCACAACCCCCTCTGGGCCTCGTGGCCCTGCAATGCTCGCCAGGCTTCCTTGCGGCCGAGGTTGTCGGCGCCGACTCCGGGGATCATGCGCTTCTTGTGGTACACGGCCACCACGGCATCGCCGCCCGTGAAGTCGTCTTCGCTCATGCGAGCGGAAAAGCCTCAGGTGCTTAACGCGATCGCCAGTGAAAGGGGCTCAACTGCAAGCGCCTGGGAGCGCTGAGTTGCGCCACACGATCTAAGCAACTTACCCCAAGGGTTAAGGGTTGATGACAACCCCAGTGAACACAGCACCAGAAACGCACGCCTGCTGACTGTGACACAAGTGGCTCCAAAAGCAATACTGCAATACTGCAACACCAATTAAATGGGCACGTTATGCACTGGGTCAAATGCACAATGCGAATGGCATCCCATGGTTACAGAATGACGAAGCCCACGGTTGCAAGCGGTAGGTTTGCAAACTCACTCCATAGAGGCAGTCACACAATCTCGTGCATGGAACCCCGACCAAGCCAAGCAGCTGTAGAAGTTGTTGAAGGTGCAGCCGGAGGCGCCCATAATAACCTGTCGTTCAGCGAGTCGCCGGCAAAACAAAAGCGCCCCAAGACATGCCGAGAAGCTGGGTGCTTGAAGCGCGGCGAGACCCGACAAGTCAAAAAATGCAAAGTTCCGCAGGTGGACACGCTACTCGCAGATCAGTCGGATTCATCACCCCTGCAAATTGGAGTAGGAACAGCCCAAAAACATTGCAACCGATTGCAGCGATGGGAAGGACGCTAATTAACGATAATTGACGTGAAGAGTCTACTGCTGCCCATCCTGCACACTAAAGTCAACTCCGATCGTACCAGCAAGCCCAAAACTTAGCTTCCTGAATTGTTGTTTCTCGGTACCATCTGGCAGCCCCTAGCAACACCAATGCAGCTTTGAGAGTCTGCCCAACACTGCGCTGCTGCTTGAACACTGACGCGGCAAGTCAAACACGAGGAACGCGATGCTTGCAGGGCTTCCTTGCTTGTCATTTCAAAGCTCACCCACTGGCCACCCACGCCTGCGTCGACCTCTTCTCTCCCAGGCACTCGACCTGCCAAAAACCAGGACACATGGCGAATGGTGCGCAGGCCGTAAAGCGATGACCCCAAGAGGAATCAACTGAAACACGGGTGAACTGAAAAAGTACACCCCGAAAAGCACTCACCCTGCACCAGCTTAGAAACCTGGCTCTAGAAGCAAACCCGCCATGCATAGGTGTCCTTTTGGGGCAAATAGATAGGCCTGGTAGATGGGGAGACCACCAGGTAAACCAGCGCCATCTATTTTTCGACCAAAACACCCAAAACGGACACCTATGCCGACTACCAGCCAACGGCAACAACAACGGCACCTCCACAAAGGGATTTGGCATGCCGGCGCCATCTCCTGGCACTTTCAGGCCTGAGATCGCGGCAAGCAACCCGCGAGCGGAGATTTTCATGCCCTTCGGCGTGAATTCGAAAGGCAGTCCCGGGTTTATTGAGGTCAGGCTCGAAGGAGCCACCAACCGAAAGCCGGGAAGCCCGGAAGCGCCCGGAAGCCCGGAAAAAGCAAGTTGGAGGGGTGGTACGGGCAGCCAGGAATTCAAGCCGAGATTCCAGTCAAGACATAAAAACAAAACCCGTCAAATCCTGAAACCAATCGAAACGCTCGATCAATCCGGCACCACCTCTAGCCAGGCGGCCGGCCACCGCGTACACCTGAGCATCTCTCCAGCCGGGTGCCGAATGCGTGTGCGTAAGCGCTGGGGCGAACAAAAATAAACAAAAAAATACAATAATATTCTTGGTTGACGTTGGAAGGGGAGCAAAAATTCGAATCTTAGCAGTTAAGGGGGGATTTCAACCACTAAACCACAATCAGCAAAGAGATGAAATGTTTCCCAACAACAACCATGTATTGCCCGCACCAGCATATCCATTCCAGCTCAGCAACAAACTCTTCCCTGGTGAGTGGGACAGGTCTGTCTGGGCATGTCTGGGCAGAACACTTTGCCATGTTACGCGGCATGATGGCAAATAATGAAGAGGCGCGCCAAAACTGTATGCCATTCTGATTGTCACAAAGCCCCCAGCATTTGCCACATCCCCATTGGTACATAATCTTCCCATTGGTCCATTCTCGGCCTGAATCCCTGAACAGGTGCCAGGTCAACATCTTAACACAATTTAGTGACATTGCATCGAAAAAAAATAAGTTGGGAAGATCCTTTGTCTTGGGGTATTATATCGCTTTGCAGGCTCACTTCAGCGAAAACAACATTTGCTGGCAGGGAATGGCAAACTTGTGGTTTGCTTAGCAAGAACAAAAGCCACGACTGTGGCGGCTGAGTGTAGGCAATGCGGAATACCCAGGTTGTTTGCATGCCTGAGCCCTCATGTCATGTTGTTGCAACGGCATCTCGCATCTCAAAGGCTGCTTAGTACATGTGCCGCCCTGAAACCTCTCCAAATACTCTGAACAAACAAAAACAAACCGAAGTATGCCAGCACAAACCCATATGCAAAGCACCACATAGCACAACGCAACCACAACAACCCGCATGTGCAGCAGTGCCCGCAAACACACGAACAAGTGCAGCCCCAAGCCCAAGCAAAACAAGAACAGCTGCAAGGAGCTCCACACCCTCGCCCCACCGACGCAACCACATTCAATCATCCGCGCTGCAGAGACATTGACGAGATATTCGGAGCCCATGGTCCATGATGGGCGCTATGTACAAGGCTCGGTCACGCGAGCTGGAGATGGAGCGGCGACATGCGAAATGCACCAAACCGACGGGATTCAAATTTAAATGATAAACGGGTGGAGGGACAAGGCAACAAAGAATAGCTCAAATGTAGCGCGGGCTGTCCTATTGTTGCTTTGGGTTGGAGAAGTGGAATGGCATGTTCGCCCTGGCCAGGGAGCTTGCTCAACCCGGCATTGAGGCATTGAGCCTATCTCAAACACATTCAAAGTTGCCACATGCTGCGAACGCGAATCGCTTGCCTTACAACACCTGGCTGTGGGTCAAAACTCTGTACCCCTGGTGAACATCAAAATAGGTGGCACATGGGTGTTCATCCGCTTAAAAATGAAGGCATAGGTTATGACCCATCTGCCACTCTCTCAGCCCCAGCTCCTGCAAGCCCAAGCGTTTTCTGGGCTGGTGGCCAGCATGAAGCGCCGCACTCCCAAATGGCAACCGGATCAAGGAACACCATAGCGTACCGCATGGACATCGGCGACCAAGAACTTGAAACACCGAATATCCTCATGGCCTTCCCTACTGCTTCACAAAACATATCCAAGAAATGCCACACATGACAAACAGAAAGCATCCGAAAAAAATAAATAAATAAAAATGAAGGAGCTCATGCACCTACTTTTGCACTCTGAGGCTTCCGCTCCAAGCGCTCAATGAGGCCGTCAAAGGCAGAACTGCGAGAGCCCATGCCGCAACACACCCCAGGCCCTTATGCACTTCAATCCCAGTGCCCCTCGGCGAATCCAGAACCACAAACCTCTCTTTTTGAGCTGTCAGCCCTTTGTTACTCCAGCGAAATGTAATCCAACAACGTTTGTTCAATGGTACGTGTTTGTTTCTGATTTTGTGTGGAGTAATCTGAAGGCAGTGAGTGAGCCAGCAAGCATGCCAGTAAGCACGCTAACCGGGCGGCAGGCAGAACAAGCTGAGCCAATCAAGCAAAGCAAGGAAAGTCAGGATGGTGGGATGCACGACGTTTGCATGGGCGTAACGCCAGGCAACACTATGTTCACTATGTGTCCTATGTTGCAGCCCAGATTTTACATGTACGTACACATCATCACCACGGTTGTTAACTGGCAGCCAACCCAACAAATCAAGAACCACAATAATCATTATTCCAGCCAAAGTGGCCAAACAGCGCTGCGTGTTGAGAACGACACAATTCCTCCACCTCCCTGTCCGGAAGGCTGCATGTTGACGGTCAATCCGTCGCACGTCATCGCTTTGCAAAGCACTGCTGAACCACAGCCAAGTGGCGTCTTCTTCGCAACACTGGCCACAGGCCTGACATCGGTGAGAAGTTGATGGGCAAAGACCGCTTCAACAAGCAGGCCTAGGAGTACTATGGGTTCTAGAAGTCATACTCTGAGGGCTTTTGCATTACACCCTGGGATGAATCCGCCCGTGTGGGCGTGGATATCACCAGAATCGAGAAGAAAACAAGAAGGAAAGACAACCATCTTCCCGTTCAGCATCATGCACCACTGTTGAACAACAACCTCTTCCTTCAAAATGTAACTTTCCCCCCCCCCCAAAAAAAAAACTGACCGAACAACCTTCCCACAACAACAAACCCTCGCAACAAGCCCCCGAGCCCCACCCTTCTCCACCCCAACCCCCCCCTTCCCCCCCCCCCCTCGGCACGAGTGGTCTTGGGGGGTAGCTCTTTAGGACTTCAGTTGGCATGCGGGAGGGTCCACATGACTATGTAAGCGTAACCATGCAGTTTCCTGCAGCTGCCCCTCGTGGGATCGCCAGTTCCATGCAGATCAGACCTTCAGCATCTGCAATGCAAGTCTTTTACGAAAAACTACTTGCACAACTCGACTTCTTCTTGCTGGCAGCGAGTGGCGCCAGCAATTCAACACCCTGGCAAACTTCTCCAAACGCTAGTGCAGCCTGCCTGTATGTCACTGGCGACACATCCGTCTTGTGGCCTGACACGCTGGCAGGGAGCATGAAAAACAGTAATGCCATCAACTGCAGGCTCCAGCTGAATCCAAGAATGTTCGCGGAAAATCAAAGCAACCAGCAATACAAAACACATCTTGTCAAATGAGCGTTGGTTTTTATTCCCTACAAACTTGCTTGGACATTATTCAAGCTTCCGCGGACCCTTCCGCGTCCTTGCCGCGGGCCAAGAGGTCCCTTCCGCGAACTTCCGCGGCACATGTGTTTCATTGTTTGCTTCCGCAAACCTTCCGCGGGGCATGGTTTACAAGTTTTGCTTCCGCGAGCATTGGCGCAGAAAGGAAAGTCATTTTAAGTGAGGTAGTGTTCCGCCGCAGCTTGTGTAGGCTTGGGCTCCATTGGGCTACCCATGCTACTTGGCCGCTTGCCTGCAAACACGGGGCCACCCTTCCGCGGAGTTGCGCAAACCTTCCGCGAAGTACGCCGGCTGTTTTGGCCTTCTTGGCTGCTGTTGGCATCTGCTCGAGTCAGCGTTACGTTTCTTGTACGCAGCAACACCTTTTCTTCTACTGGAATTGTTTCTCCGAGCTTTTCCATGCACGCACTGAAACATTTGATTAGTTGTATATCAGCCACCAAGCTTCCGCAAACCTTGCGCGAACAAATCTCTTCCGCGAGCCTTCCGCATGCTTCCGCGCGTGTAGCGCGGCGCACATTTTCAATAATAATGTCCCTCTCCCCACTAAATTAGCTTGCGGGTGAAAAAACCGCCGCTCAAATGCGCTCTGCAAACCAACCCCTCCAGACCGGTGCATCTCAAGTAGTGACAGGCAACGCCAGGCAAGTGAGAGGCAATAGAGTGTCACCTCGCCTCTGAAGATGTTTGCAAAGTCTGTCTTCTGGCCTGGCCATGATTCAGGAATATTCGGAAGGCTGAATCAACTGAACGCTTCACATGCTCACCACAGCCATGAAAAGCCAAAGGCGTGCCTCCTCCCATGCTGCAGGTGCGATTCATACTCATGTAGTCCTCACACAGTTCACACACGTGGCGTGGCAAACTTCTCTTCTGACCAGTTGGCCAGCAGTGCCTCATGGTGGGACCTACCCCTTCCGCGGATCGATCATGGCCCGGAAGCTAGCTGACCTGAACGAAGAGCTTCTTCACTCAAACCGGCTCTAATTCGCGGATTCAGTTGGCTCTGGATGCGCGCTGCCCATATTATCACAAGGGTATAATGCAATTGCCCCCTTTTCATCTAGTCGAGGTTGTAAAATGCCTGTTGCTTCACTGCGGCAATTGCCAGCAGCAAGCAAAGGCTGGTTCTTTCGGCATTTTCTTGCTGGTTGAATTGTGCCTGTAATTGCGGTACAAATCCAACAAGTCCTTGTAGGAGAGGAGTCGGAAAACGGAATACAATCGAAGCATTAAAGCGAACGTTGTTGTTGAGTAAGAGGGTGTGGTGCTCATGCCCATGTACTTAACGTTGAAACAAGCTAGGAGGTTTTCCAAGTGGCAGGAGGCTCAAACAAAGCGAGGATTTGGTGCTTGGTAGAGCTTTGGGTTTGCCTCAAATCCAGTCCTCCTGGTCCAATAGCTTGGAGTGGGCATAGTACCTGCACAAGCAAGATCTGCGAGAGCTGCTTTTCCACCCGCTGTAGTGTTACTATGTTTATTGTCAGCTGAACTGGACAAAGCACCTTGCGGGCATTTCATCTAATTACCGGACTTGGCATCTGAGATGAAACCTGCAGCGTGCGGGCTCAAGTACGATGACATCCAGCCATGGCCCAGGTGTCACCAAGGGACCTAAGGGATCTCGTGGTATCGAGTCATGGTGCGACACAGCCCTGCAAGCATTGAGGTGATCTCTTTCTTTTGCAGGGTCTGCAAGCAAGCCTGTTTATAACTTTCTTGTGCCCAGCCTTCCAAGCTCTAGGATAATCTATATTCCTCTCTAGTAGCCCGCTGGCCATGGAGCAAGTGCTCATGAGTGCTCCGTGCACGTGAGCGCTGAACAAAGCAAAGATTCGCCATCCACCAGTGCAACGGTGGACGGACAACATCCATTTCGCACCACCTAAGAAACCCTGGGATGAGTCGATTCCCCTGTAAATGTACCAGCCAACAATGGTTTCCCATTGTTTCTCAGCGGCGCGAAATGGATTTCGTCCACAGAATGAGCGTTCGGGGCACATGTCGCCCCAGGGGCTGGAGGTCTGCTTGGAGGCGGTGAAGCGGTCCGCCATACCGAAGGTGGACTTGATCTGAGGACTTGGATGTTTTTGGTTTTCCTTCAACTAGGTCTTCACGTAGAGAGGTTAGATTAAGGGTACCTTTTTTTCTGTTGTCTATTTTAGGGCACTACTGGGGGACCTAGTCAAACCGACCAAGAAAAGGGTGCCCTCAAAAAAGGACTTACATTGAATGAACCCACGAAACCCCTTTCCCTTCTCCTTCAAGTTAAAGGTCCCCCTAATACTAAAACCGATTTATTGAGAATCCCAAATCCGGGAATACTCCTTTTGAATTGCTAAACCAATTCTAAAGTAGGTATTTTCCCGCCCGTGGTCAAATCCATGCCTATTAGGGGCACCTGGGAGTACGTTTCCTTACTAAGGTTGTACTACAAGTTGCAACTTTCGAGCCGGAGCTCCGGGAGTACGTTTCCTTTACTACGGCTGTACTACAAAGTTGCGACTTTCGAGCCGGAGCTCCGGGAGTACGGTTCTCCGAAAGCGAGCAGGGGGCGCCCTAATGCTAAAACCGGTTTTTCCCCGGGGACCCATCTGGTATTAGGGAGTGGGGGGGGGTTTAGCTTTCGGGGGAAGGGATTAAACAACACGTTGAGGAGGAAGCGGTTCTTGACACACACCTCGTCTTGACCCGAGGGCCCACTCAGGTCGCAGCACAGCGCTTGGTGCCTCCAGTGAAGTTCGCTGAGCTCATCCTGAACCGGCAAGTCCTTTTTAGAAGCATCCTGCTGGCCCTCAGGGCCCTTGAGAGTCTATGCGCTGAGAGATCTTGAGTGATCCTAAGAATCATGCATCAATGTGTCTGCTTGCACGAGCGGGCGGACAAAGCTACATACTCAAGGATACTAAAAGCTACAGCACCGTCAACATTGATGTTCAGCTGAAGGACCAGCCATTTCTTCAACCAAAAGGATGCCAGCCCCAATGATTTGTTCAGCAAATGTCGTTGCCAAAGCAAGTGAATTGGCCTTAGTCTGCCCGTCTTGCCAAACGTCTGGATGGCCTTAGTGCTGCCACCTGAGCATCCAGGATCCCAGCCTCATCATCCCCTTGGCCTCGCTGCTATTGTACGCCAAGCCCGGCCTAAGCGGGGATGAACTTAACATGCCAATTCTATGCAGCCCTTTGCTCCGTGATTTCGGAGGTGATGGGCAAAAAAGGCGCACACCGGGATTTCCCTTGCAGGAGAACCAACCCATGTGTCAGAAATCCTCCGCGCAGACGATTAGCGCGTGCCACCTATCAACACCTGCGTCGCCCATTTTCCGTATGCGCACGCAAGAGACAGTCACAAATGCCAACCGACGCCCTTCAAGGGCTGGTCTTAGCTGCGCCTCCGGCGCGCCAGCCCAATCGAACAAAAACTGGGCCACACGGCACCTGGAAACCTGCAGGGCTCTTGCCAAAGAATGCTAGGAAGCAAAACAAACTACAAAATCAGTATCATCAGAAGAGTCATAATTAATCTCATAATCAAAACCTGGTACTAACATGGTATTGTGGCTCAGTGAAGAGATTCAAAGTGAACATTTGATGGAGCTTTGGGTCACTGAAGGGTCCAGGCTGGTGGCACATGCAAATCAATTGCTAGGAGCCCCGATGGGTTCCGCTAAGGGAAAAAACAGGCACGGGGCCCTGCCATTTTTGGCACCTACATACTTTCTGGCCATCTTGGCCACATGCATTCTTGGGGCAGGGGGAGGGGGCATTTTAGCCTCCTTGGCGGATTGCACCAGCCAATAGAAATCATAGATTGACGGACTGGAGTTCCCGGCTTCGGCTTTGGGAAAAAGGATGGAAAAACGGGCGCTCCGTGACATGCTGAGTATGGAGCCAACGATTGCCCAAGCTGTCCGCGCATGCTGCTTGCACCAGAGCCATGGAACGCAGCCGTTATTGTTGCGGCCAAGAAATAGCGATTTTCTCAGCCGCTTCAGGATCGCTTGCCCAGGACATTACCATTCAGGCAACCCATTGGCAGGCATCCTGTGGCCAGGACACACAAGGCATGTTCAGCCCTCCTTGTCTCCCATGCGCAAAGGATCCCAACAAGGCCTTGCATCCTTATGGAACGAAGTCGTGTTCCCCCACAAATTGCAAGAGGCCTGCCATGCGCATCCTGTTTAAGAGCCAATAATAAGGGGCAATCTGAAGGGCGCAGGGCCTTGCTTTCGCCAAATACATGATGGCGGCGTTGATTGCTGACTGCCTCAACGTGCCTCAGAACGTCCACCTAAACCTACGCACACAGCAAAACACATTCCAGAAAACGTCCATTTGCAGCCCCGTCCTTGGTTCAGTGAGCGGACCTGGTCCTGCAGAGCCTGAAGGGAGGCTTTTGGAGCACAGCGCAAAAACAGAAGCACTACTCAAAGCAAATGAACTGAAAAAGGCACACTTGCCCCGAAACAAGTAGGCAGTAGCAGCCAACCTGCAAAGTTAAGGTTCACATCAGATATGGGAACAAGCATCAAAAGGCTGCCTCAAGACAATAAACATATCACCAGATGTACTGATTGATTCTTCTGAGTACACTGTCTTGTCCCTGCTTGGAAAGGACTATGTGACACAAACACGGCGGTAACAATATCCTCTCAATATCCTTGGATCTGGCTGTGCTGCAGCCCTCTATCAAGTAAAATTGCCAAAGTATGATACATAGTATGTACTCGAACCCTTAATAAGTTCAAAATAACAGCGAGCAGCAGCAACTGTTCGAAGCATATACGCGATGAAAAGCCCACACATAGCGAAGCAAGAGGATCCCTCAAATCAGGATCCCATTAACCAGTCGTCTGGGGGCCAAAAAGCACCCACTTGCAGCATTTAGCACTACCCGGCACTTCCTAGAACCTGTGTCGTTGGAGTTCTAAACGGCAATGTCCGAATACGGAAGCACTCGGAATTCAAGCATCCTGAAGCCCAAAGCACAGCAACCCCATTTGGTAGTTCTTCCTGATGACATAGTCAGGGATGAGCAACACATTGTTGAATCAATTGTCTTCTCATCAATAAGTAATTTCAAAAGGCTAGACTTCAGTGTATGGCCGCAAAACATCAGCATGCCTCACTTTTCCCCCATCGTTGACCCTGTGTCGCCGTCGTTTTCAGTACAGAAAACCAGAAAGCCGGGAGGGCCCCCTGCCTTGTTCTGCTCTTGCTGCATGGTCAGCATCTGTTCTAGCCGGGACAGGCGATCATTTCCGAAGAGGGGCACATCCTCGTGGTTGGTGACACCACCTTAGCGTCCGTTGCACTGTCCAGCCTGCTTTTGCAGCCCTTCCATTTGCTTAAGCCCCCTGGAAAAGCAGACGTATTTCCAGTAGTGATAGATTCCCGTGAAAACCAACAGGGAAAAATAGTAAATATTCTTAAACGGAAGAGCCTTTTTAAGGACAGCTGTCATGCATTGAGTTCAAGTTGATTCGAGTGGGCCCAATTAAGTTCTGATAGGGCCGACTAGGAAAAACAAACTAGAACCCCAAAGGGTTATGGTTGAGAGATTCAAGTTTGCTCTGTTCATGCAAAGGAGTGGTGCAATATGTGCTATTGACTAATATTACTGAACTGGTTACAGGTCTAATATCAAACCACATTACTGAACTCAACAAAGGAATAGCCGTGTTGCTGGGAGTGACCGGCTCTCCTGCGTCATTGTCAGTGGTGCTGGTAGTCTTGGCACTGATCAGCTTGTGCCTCCGAAGGATGACTTCTAAATCCTCAAGGGCGCCAAAGCATGCGAAGGGAACCTCCTGATAGGAAACGAAAGCACCACCTCCCATGCCGAGGCAAACCTGCCTCCCGGACCCGGGCAATCTCCAGGTTGTTAAGCTTGGCACTCGACTTCAGGCTTCTCACAAAATAGATGTGCTTGGCACCGGCATCATCATTGGCGGGGTCGATCTGCGCACGAATGATGGTGATGTGATTCTTCTTGAAGACGTTGGCAATCTCGCTCATGATCATGGGCACGTCCGTGACCAAGCTGATGAAAACCATGCTGCAGCTGGCGTGTAGGTCGTTGCTGAAGCCGATCTCATTGCCGCAGTGCACTTGGATTGAAGTCACATCGAGCTCGTCGCCCGACTTGCCGCCGTCATCCTCAAGATGACTCTGAGCTGGCAGCTGTGGGGTGGGTAAAGAAAAACACAATGCCCTGGGCTCTCAAAGCCTCAGGACCTGCCATAAACATGGTTCCCACAAAGCTCCCTCTGACGCGGGTTCATGGCTTTATGCACCACATGCTGAACATTGGACACAGCGGCAGCCATCATATTTATAGATGACATCAACTTGCTTAGGTCCCCGCCTGGCCCAGAACGCCTGAAGCTGCACGGCTCCTGCTCCCCTCTTGCCGGCGCTTGGCATGCTGGTGCTTCACGCAGTACTGCACTGCCTGCCCGGATGCACGCCCAAGCAACTCTTGCCTGCTGAGCAAAAGGAAACAAGCCTGTCACAATTCATTGCCAAATCTGCTGCCTCGGCCCGTGCATTCACACAGCATGGTTTGTTCGGCTAGTGGGGGAAGACTGATGCGACTTGAACCATGCAAGCAGTCAGGAGCCTGACCGTACTCAACAAAGAGCACCGGCTGCTCTTATAGGCACTTGGCATTACCAGCAATGCCAATGAGCAACATGTGACAAGTGACAGACTATATCGGCATGGGTTTTACATTTGAGGCAAGTCTCTGCCCATTGAAAGTTGAATGGCCAGTGCGACTTTTTCCCTTTACAGCGCAACAGTGAAGCCAAGCTCGGGCTAATCTGCAACCATCACTTCGGCGACACAAACCGCAAAGACCCTCAGGACACCAGCCTCTTCCACTGTGTGGAAGAACCATTGGTCACCAATGAACCTGCGCAAAAACTCAAAATGCATGCAACGCATATACTACTGGTGTGAGTGGTGGCTACGGACACCTTGTCGAAGTCTCTCAAGGATACTTCGCTCAAGCCTTGTCTCAATGGCATGATCTACCTCGCACCTGTTCCCCTGCCGCATGCCCGTGAAACTACTTCAGCTTTTGCCGCCCAACCTTAAAATCTAAATTTATGTTCCCAGCCTTCCCACGCAAGAGATATCAGCTACAAACTGAGCCTTTGGGCCCCACCTCTTCAGCCCAGCTTTGCGGAAAGTCTTCTCCACGCGGTTCCCCACCATCGCAAAGGCAACCTGCAGCTCAAGGGCTTCCTTCACCCCAGATAGGACAAAGCTACAAAGTACATCCCAAAGCTGTCCCGTGAGCTCAAAAACGCAAAGACCAGGGGCCAATTCAATGTCCACTTGCTGTCATGTGCCCAGGCCTCCAGAAGCACGCAACAAAAGAAGACTCGCTGAAAAGAAATGCGGACCCACAGGCGGCCAGTGCCCATGTACTGATCCCATGCCCTCGAAACAGGTGTCAGGTGCCTGCAAGCCCCGCATGCGGAAGTCGTTCACCACGTCCTTGATGACATGGACAGCCGTAGCGTCAATGCTGATCACCGGCGTCATCTCCAGGACAACGTACTGGGTCTTGTTCACCTCCTCCAGGTCATTGACGTGGGCCAGAAGCATGTCCTTCACAAAGGAGGCATTGGCAAAGTAGAGGGAGGAGCCAATGCGTGCAATGAAGACCTCGCAAAGTGCATATGTCCAAGCAAGCTGCTTCCTGGCAAACAGCGACATCCGGCGAAGTTGACCATGCTCAGTCTTCGTGGGAAACGCCGCAGCAGCAGCAGAATCAGCAAGACCAGCAGCAGCAGCAAAACCAGCAGCCGCAGCAGCAGCAGCAGCTGCTGCTGCAGCAGGTGCAGCGGCAGCCGCAACAGCAGCAGCAGCAGCAGCAGCAAAGGCTGCAAACACCACGCCAGACCACAAGATCTACAATGTGCAACACATGAATCAAAACTGAATGGAATCGTAAGCACACCAAAAAGTGCAGCCTCAGTCAATGCAGCGAAACACTTACTCAAATCGAATCCATATATAGCAAGACAAACAAAAACTTGCACAAGCTCCCTGAATAAAATCGGAAAAAGGGACGGCTTCGGCAGTTGCCTGCATGTCTGCGTTGGCATGCTCGCCAACTAGCCACCACCAGGCAAGTGAGCAAGCTACACCAGTCGCATAAACGAAAACAAAGTTATGCACAAACCAAACACAGCAAAACCTAGCCGGTATTTGACACTACTCTGTCGCCATTCCTGAAATCAATACTCTTGCACATAAAGCTTGCATCCAGTACAAGGCACGTTCTGGATGAAGGTGCCCGCACTCTCTTGCTTCATATTTCGGTAGATGGATGTCCCCGGGATGCGCCAAAGGATGGTGATCTGTGGGCGCGCGGACTCGTAGATCACGATGATCAAGGACAGGCCGACCGCCACCATGATCCCCATCAGCACTCCCAAGAAGAGCCTTGCCGAGAACCGGCCGAGCTGACGTCAAGAACGGGGCTCGACATCAGAGTTTCATGCTTCGAGCGTGAAGCTGGTGCTGAAACAGTGTTTGCTTGCTATGGCAACCTGATTTTTAACGTTCATCAGGGAAGGCAACATGAGCAGTGTTGTGTTGTCGTCTTTAGCTGTGGCCGCTGATATAGCTTGGAGGATTTCTGGCAAAGTCATGGGCTGTGCCCACCGGCCAGCCCGCATCACCAGGCGTCAACTCCAAGGGCATCCGAGGAGCGTCCCGATGAAAGCGGTGCACCACAGGATGAAGTCGTGCTTCTTCACGTTGAAGAGGTGCCGGGCCTCTCCGAAGGCCACCAGCGGAATGACGGAGTTCATGACAATCGCGGCCAAGGCGAACTTGGGCAAGTAGTAGAACCTCAGACTTAAACCCTCCCAACACATGGAAACACAACCCCATCGGGATATGCGGATATGCATGATCATGCGGTATAAGCGTGTGTTGTCCCAGGGCAGCCAAGTGTGACCGAACCACATGCCTCGAAAATCAAGAGAGCAAGCCGCTTCTAGGCTTTCACGGTTTCCGAACACGTGTTGGGCCCCATTTGTCTCAAGGATGCCATGGGCCAAAGGCCCTCCATTTGCCTCGTGTCCTCACACCCTCGAAAGCCCAGTGCAACAAATATTTGGTACATGTGCGTGTTCTTCGGCTGGCAGACGGCTGCAGATGTTCGAAATCAATCTGCATCAAAGAAGACACCGGAAATACTCAAGGATTTGACATTGGAGTAAACAGAAGTGCCGAAGGGCAAAGCACCTCTTCAAGCAAGGGGGCCAAGGCTGGTGCTTGAGGCAGGGACCATTGATGGCTTCTGGCATCATGTTCCAGGCCACTTGTTTTGGGCAAGCATCTCCCCCTGACTCTTCGCCCCAAACTCAAATGGGTCGTCCAAGCAGCAGGGGCGTCAGGAACATCAGTGTACAAAACATCACCACGGCCGTGATGACCCCTGAGAGCTGCGACATGGCGCCGGTGGAATTGTTCACCGCGGACCGGGAGAAGCTCCCCGTGACTGGGTAGCAGGAGAAGGCCGCCTCAGCACCGCGTGGCTCTCGCCCAGTTTAGGGAGTGGCCCACGGCAAGTGAGGAAAACCACCCCTGGTTGTCTACCGAATTACCAAGTCTGGACCAAGTGATAAGCCAATCCGCTTGAAAGCATGGCAGGGAGCACATCTCGCAAATGCCAGGGTCGCACTGTTCACGAGGGGACACAACTCGCAAAGCCCTTCCTCATCTCGAATCTGGAAACGTCTGAAGTTCAGATTTCTGGCAACAGCTCGCACTCTCCACTGCCCGGAAGAATTCTTGGTTGCTGTTGACCGTTCTGCAAAAAGTTTTAAACAAATAACAATTTGTGGTCCAATGGAAAGTCCAATGCTTCCCCAAAAGTGACCGTCCACCGATCCAATTCGAAGGGGCTCAAGCCCTCGATCCGAGGATCCCCCACGAGGTTGGCGATGCCGATCGCCAGCATCTCCTGGCCTGCCTCGATGTCATAGCCGTTGGTGGCCGCGAGGTTCTTGCCGATGGCGATGGATTCCATGTACCCGATCAAACCTGCGAGGCTTTTCTGCGAATGTACGGAGTTTTGGTCGGGTCCGTGGCATACTTCACCTATATCAGGGGTGTATATTCTTATATTTGTCTATGTCTATAAATGTAAATATAATCATCTATATGTGGTTGCCCTCCAGGTGCCAGGGTCTGATGGCTTGAGATTTTGCCCGGACCTAGTCAGAACCAATGACCAGCCTGAGGTCTGAGGGAATCACTGAGGCAAGAAAATGAAATCTGGCAAAATCTGAGCAGCTTCCTCATCAGTCAAGGCAAAGACCCAAGAAAACCCGCATGTCTTCAATGTTGCTGACTGCTGACTGCATGCGCTAAGCAAAGGGCAACAACCGATGGCATTTCAGTTCCCAAAATCTGTCCCACAGCCAAGAGTTTTGACCACACAAGCTTCAAACAGGAAGCGCATTCCCATCTACGCTTCATTACACCAAGACATGCACGCTGAAAATAAAGCGAGCAGGACTCAAACAATGTATGAAGACTACCTGCCCCATGTTCACTTTTGGGATGTTGCTGGCCGTCTTGTGGCAGGACATGCTGCAAATGGCGCCGGCGTCTGGATCGCTTACAAGCGCTTGACGGGCAATTCCAGGGGTACCTTCCCCATTCTTTCCAGGGATCCTTCTTTTCAGGAAACCATCAAAAACTTAGGGAAACAGATCCAGTTGTTGAAAAGATCGATGGTTGAAAGGAATAGGGAATCAACCAAGATAGATTGTTGACGCACAATCGTGGCAAAGCTCGAAACTGCCAAGCTGCAAGAAGACACGGCAGTGCCCAAGACGATGGGCACCTTTTGAAAGTCCCAGCCTCAGACTGGACAGCGAGCTGTTGCAAGTCAAAAGCCTTCCATCAAACCGAAAGTGGACGGACCGGTGACAAGCAAATGGCAAGGCAACCAATGGCTCCAAACCCCGACTGCCAATGATGGCCGTGTTGCCATGGTACAGAGTTCAAGGTACCTCTCATCCTATTGGCCGAGGGGTTGGCCTGGTTGGCTTGGAACGGCTCGCGCCAGTTCTGCTCCGGAGAATTGAGGTCACTTGAGGCATGCAGCGTTGCAGTGGCCTGGGAAACTGGCCACCTTGTAAGTCAAACATAACGGACTCACTGTCCGGTCTGTAGACAAGTAGCTGTCAATGCTGATGGGAAAAATGCCTGAGGGGACTTCCCCCACATACTTGACGTGGTACTCATCGATTAAGACCGGAAATGCCCATAGGAGTACCTGGGTTGCACGGCCGTTCCACCTTCAGGCAGAGCTTGTGTGCTTGTCAAGTGTGCATGCTCAATGCAGACACAAATGTTTGCCAGCAATCCTCCGGCTCCAGGAGGAAAAAGTGTGTTCTCCAGATTTACTCGGAAAGCTATGCCACAAGAGAACTCGCTTCAGGGAACTTCAAGCAGAAACGATGTGAATTTGTCGATGCGTATATATATATATATATACATGCATTACCTGAATATATATATATATATATTATGGATAAATATGTGTGTGTGTTGGCAAATGTGTGTATATATAAATGTTGGTATTATATACATTGCGACCATCACTTTCCGAACTCACTACCACAACTCTTAGGCCTTGGGCAAGGCACTGACCCAACGACGCAGCTGATGAGAGGTCCCATGGGCGCCAGCATTCGGAGGCTCTTGAACTTTGCCGCCATCTTCTTGTTGAGGATGAGGTAGGCCAGCCATACCAAGCCCAGCAGCAAGGGCATGCCCTTGGTCTGCTCGATGTTGAGGGCCACATTCAGGATGGTGTCATAGATGTACTGAGACTTGGGGATGTCGAAGCCCAGGATGTACCTCACATGTGGGAGAGGAACCATCGTGGCGGTTCTTCCACTTCGGGCAGGAAGGGGAGGCACTGCGAGCTGCAAAGAGAAAGCGAGAGAGAGAGAGAGAGAGAGCGAGAGCGCTGCAGAGAAAGCTTGGGACTAATTAGTCATCCATACTTTGGACCAAGGTGCCATGCTGATACTCAAATCATCTAGCTGACAAGGGCGCGATCACCACGTGAACATTGAAAACAAGTAACGGCAATACTGTTAGACCATAGGCAGCTGCCTTCCATTCATCGTTCTAGGCTTGACAGCTCTGAACAAAGGTGATGCCGCGAGGGGCCAGCGAAGCTGGCGGAGTTTCGGGGAAACCACTGTGGCTGGTACCACTTCAACGTGGTCCGACCGTTCTACCATGTCAGACGCCCATCAACTATGCTGGTCCCCTCACTATGTTTTCTTTTTCTAATTTCAAGTCACTTCTTGCAGGTGTCTATGCCCTAGCGCCATCTATCCGTCATATCCATCCGTCATGCCTGATCTCAAGATGTGCTCTTAGAGTTGAACTGACGCATTCACCTGACCCTGGCAAGCCCATTGTTCACGCAAGTTGCTTGAGCTGACTGAGGCCAATGATGATGGCAGCACCACTGGTGAAGCCGCTGATAACCTTGGCAGAAAGCGCCGAGCGCGTGCAAATGGAGAGCAATCCGTAGAGGAACGAAGGCCACATGCCGCAAGCTTCCAGGCTCCCACCACAAATCTCGCGTGGATTGATCCTGGAAAGCTCACGTGTTCACAGCAACCATGATTGAAGCTGCCTGCTCGTGGTTTCACGCCGGCCTGGAGGTGAGCAACGCCCGATGCTTTAGGATTCCCTCTATACAAAGGCTGTCTTGGATTCGGGCAGGATTTAGCCTGCGGCATGGAGTGGAGTTTCAAGACATCCAAGTTGGAAGAACGCAGCTGGTTGAGTCATGTTGGGTCTTTCGTGGGAACCAAAAGCATGTTGCGTGCTAACCCCAAAGGCTGTCAGTACTTCTGAAGGCTCAGCTCCAGAATCCCCAGGCCCTCACCGAACTCTGCTGCGAGCGTCAGTGTTTCACCTTCAATCATTGAAAGCTAACAGTGGCCTACATGAACTTCCCATTTTCCGGGTTCCAAATGGCTGTGGGTCACAAATGGGTACCCAAAATGGCTTGCCCTGGAAAACGGAACCCGCTAAAATCTGCGGCTTTTTGGTGGTTTAATTTTGACCCACACCCAACTAGCTGCAGCTCACCCTGTTCGCGAGGGACGTCTCTTTGCTTGGACAAGACGCCGGATGGCCTAGGAAGGTCACCAAGAACCCCAGCTTCAGCACGCTGGCGAGGATCTGCATGGCCCCCACCACCATGGCAGTGAGACAGGCCAAGCCCACGTACTCCGCGGTGCACACCTGAAGAGCTGAAACAATGCAACTCGCAGCCTGGCATTGGTCTAGGGGTTGATTCCCCATTCTTTTCAACCATCCTTCTTTTCAACAACCGGATCTGTTTCCCTGGGTTTTTTGATGCTTTCCTGAAAAGAAGGATCCCTGGAAAGAATGGGGAAGGTACCCCTAGAATTGGTGGCAACTGACTGCCAACGAGAGAGACTGCCAATCACCAAGCAAACTTGATTTTCCATCAAAAACATTGTACGTCGAGAACCAGGATTGCAGGGAAGCTGGATTGCGCGTCTGCCATATCCTCTAGCGCTCCAGCATGTCAACCTGCAACATCTACATTTCTCAATAGCTTGGCGGTTTGTGCTGGGCCGTGTGACAAAACAAGAATGTAATCCGGATTCTTCCCAGCACAACAAATTCAACAAATGGCGTGCCGATTCGCGCGCGGCCAATTTCTGTGGCGGCCCAGGCACGGGGCGCGGGGCCCCGCGCCTTCTATGCGGTTCAGAAAAAATGCCAAACTGTCACAAGCTGCGACATGACTCGCACGCGGCCGCATGCCCAACGGTACTCAGCCGCAGCCCATGTGTCTTGGCATGCCACATTGCTCGGCTTCATTGGGTGCATCTTTGCGAAATCAATGGAGCTAGCAGGAAATCTGGTGCCAAAGAACGGGTACGGTCAACGAGACCTGCTTTCTTGTACTAGACCGCTACCTCTCAAACATCTGGATAAGTTTTCTCCTGAAGCAACCCGACTTCCTGGCCTCATACTGAGCCTTGCCAGGCTCATTGCACTCCGGCCCCAGGTTCCCGTTGAGGCCAGCTTCCACGAGCAAGGAGACCATCGCCACTGGTCCAACTGCCAATTGTCGCGATTGCCCGAAGAAGGCGTAGACCAATGTCGGGACGCAAGCCGAGTACATACCATTGATGTACGGCAGCCCGGCAATTGCACCATAAGACATACCTGGGCTGCACCCTCAAGCGTGTTCACACATTCATGGCTGAAAGAAACAGAATTCGCCCAGTTGTGTTGCTTCAACTCACTCTCAATTTCACATCAGGGTGAGACAGGGGTTGTTTCCGACATGCTGGGGGCCAGAGACTGGCACAGTGCGTGGCCCAAAGTTGCAAACATTAAAACATCAACTGCCAGCCTCTCACCCACTAAATTCACACTTGCACGGGCATTCCATCCCGTCACCGCATGAAAAACATGAACAAACAAACGTGGAAGTGCGCAGACTCTCTTTCCCAAAGCAAAACTTTTGCTTGTGGGAACCATGTCAAGGCAAAGCTGCGGATGCCTGTGACTTGGCACTTGTCCCCCGGGATGCGCCTAATTGTATATAATATGCTGCACACAGCGTGAAGCATCATCTCAGCAAAGCCAAAACACCCACACAACCCTGAGCATCTTCCACCAGGTGGCTCTGAGGGATCACCATGACTCCCACTGTAAGGCCAGCCACCAGATCCGCGCGGACCTTTCGGAAAGTCAGCGCAGGAGCCCATTCCTCGCATGGCAACATTCAATCCATGAACATGTCTGGTTGACGTCAACCGCACAGGTGACAGGCGTTGCCATGGGCAAGAACAAACAGTTTCCCGTCTGGTGGGGAGAGAAGCAAACCTGCCTTGCATCCTTGAATGCCAACAATGCAATAGGCTCGTACGCGAACCTGTTCGGGAGAACCGCTACTTTGCAGAAATTACTTGTTTTTCTGTGCCAACAAACAAAATCTTCCACCGTCCACCATTTCAGTTTGGTGAAGTGCCCAGTGCATTCCAAGTCTCAAAAATGGTGACGATCTTGCTGAGCTTCTCCACCATGGACTTTTCCCGTCTCGGCCGCTTGCTCCTTGGTGCGATATCCAGCCTTTCACTGTTGGCGCCGCCCCTTCAGGCGCTCTATCGAGGCCAGGTCTTGGAATCAACGTGACCAGGTGACTTTTCCAGTGTTTGTTGGGTGGCCTGAAACATGGGCAGGCGACCCACCCACAAGGCCAAGGATCTTCTTTGGAGTGGTTGGCGGATCATCCACCACGCCATTGATTGAGTCCACGCAGGAGCGAATGCACATTTTCACCTGGGCTGAAAACAATTTCACCCACTCAAGTACAAGACTCAAATTTAGACAACGTTGGCTGGCTTTCAGGCATTGGAACTGGACATGCTGAACATTAAAGTACTTGTAACAAGCGCCTCCATCGCTGAATGCATGCTTGTATGCAAGCTTTAGCACATGCCCCGTGGTGGTCGAAAGGAATACGGCTTCAGAATTGCATGGGTGGCTGAATGCAAGCATTCAGCATGATGAGCTTGCTGAGCTGCTGGTGGATAAGTGCAGTGCTGCCAGTGACGTACCTCCAAGCTAATATGCATTTATATATATAGACATGTGCATATATGTATATATATATATATATATATGTCTTGTATGCCGCAGTCAAGTGACAGCAGTGCATCATGACATTACATTCCTAACATCTCAAGGGCTATTCTGGTCAACCAGAGGAAACTGGCATATCTCAAGAGTGGAGACCCCCAAACTAATGCGGTTTGCTTTGTTTTGCCTGCACCCCAAGAAGAACAGCTTCAAAACACGCAAACACGCAGGTGAAAACAAATCCAAACGAGACACCGGATTGCTGATGAGCTTGCGCTCTTGCAGGATGTCTCGTTGCTCTTGGGACACCTCCTCCGAGCAGGTGGTGATCTCGATGGATTCGCCTTTCTCCATGCTGCCGATGTACACCTCGTCATGCTTCCTCGGTGAGGCGCAGGGCCGCCATGCGGCCAAACTACTCAAGTTCAATACCAAGAAGAGCCGGTCAACCAGTCAAGGGGGTTGCAAAGAGTCTTGCGGGCTAAGGCATATGGCCGTGGCTCAAAAACCGGTACCAAAATGGAACCCTGGTAAGTGGAAACATGGACCAAAACCTGCGCAACCCCTCCTGAGCCACACCCATATGTTGCGAAGTACCATCTGTCAATGTGGGACTTGCGCCATCTACTTGAGTCACAGGGAGCATCGGGAGCGAGCATTATGGCTGGACAAATGTTTCTCCCGGGGCTTGCATCTTTTAGGGTTTCCAGCGGGCCACAATTACCAGACACCTGGGTATGGGTCAAAATTATACCACCACACAACCGCAAATTTTAGTCCATGTTTCCATTTAGCAGGGCAAGCCATTTTGGGGTTACCCTATTTTTGATCCACAACCACCTGGTCGGGATCTGGCGCCAAAAGATTCCCAATGCTTGCCAAGGTGCCACTGTGGCACGATGCCGCTGCCCAGCGCCACCGCGTGCCTTGCAACGAGGGCAAATCTGATGGCCTCTGGATCCACATGTGATCTATGGCTCGAAATTAAACAGCTGGGGTTCCGCGGGTTTCAGTCTTCGGCTCCATTTGCCAAGGTGCCATTTTGGAATTCCACTTTTTTGAGCCACAGCCAGGTACACCCCAGGTACTTATGAATACTGTTGGAAGGCGAAACGACAGGTCAGCCATATGAGCTAGCAATGAATGTAGATCCGAAACTTGTGATCAACAACTTCGTGAAGAAAAGGTGCAAACCCTCCGCCGAACCAAGGCAGGGGACTTGCCTTGAGGGGCGGGCACGCCAATCGGCTAGGTAGTTGAGGTATTCGGCTTCTACAAATAATGACTTGACAGTTGCTAACGCTCTCCTAAACCATTCTAACATTATGTGACCGAATCAGCCCCCTGGTTTTGCAAGGGGAATAATCTTTACTGGGGGATAATCTGTACTGAAGATGTGGTCAGATCGACGTTGCATTTGCAGTCTGGAGGCATGCCCGCCATGGCTGCTAGACGAGTCTTCAGCGAGCAGACTGACCCTCCCTATTTGGGCAGCCGTTTGTGACAACCGTTGATTGCTAACACTTCGTGCGGCGTTGTGCCAAAATGCAACCTTTCACCTTTGAAAGCCACGTCCACCAACACAATCTCTCAGACCTTTGAGCCCAACACTGCCATCGCGTAAAACGCAGCCAAACCTCACTCAGACTGGTCCGGCTGGGCATGCTGCAGCTTTCATGCTTCAAACGTCGTGCCGAAACGCAAGGCAGGCCATATTACAGGCGGTTGGCAACCTTCGCATCACTTCACGGTTCTGGCCAAATGCATTGAACCACCTTTTTGGGAACCTTTTTAGGTGCTAGGGCCAGGAGATTTGGTGAGTCTTATTTCAAAATTCTTTGGACCAAAGTTATCGAATGGCGTGCCTCGGCTCATTTTGGCCTCGCCGAGAGCCGACCTCCCAGGCGCAGGCCCGTCGGTATCCTCCGGTGGAGGGCTGCGATTCCCATACTCTAGGAAGGGCCTCGGCTGCAAGGCATCCAAAGGACATAGATCGATATCACTACCTTTGTGTCTTGTGTGTGCTTTTCTTTGCGTGCCTGTTTGTCTCCGTGTTTGTCTGCATGTGTATAGTCTGTTCCTGTGCGCCTATAAGCTTGTGTGCCTGTATGTCTGTCTGCTCCGCTACGCGCGTGCAGGTATCTGTGGTAGCCGTTCTTTGTGTTTGCAAGTGCGTGCGTGCTTGCACGCGTGCCGATGCCGTGCCGTGCCGGGAGCGTGGGTGTGCTTTGTTTGTCTGTGTGTGTGTGTCTGTCTCTGTGTGTCTCTCTGTCTCTGTGTGTCTCTGTTTGCGTGTATGCGTGTTGTGTGTCTGTACGTGGATGTGAGCGAATTCTTGTTTGAGTTTTGAAGCATTGTCATTGGTTATTATTGGTTGTTCCCTTGCGCACTCGTTCGGCGCCTCCGGATGCTGCCGCCTGAGCAAGCTTCTCCCTGGAACACTGGGTTTGAGCATGCGCCAGAGCGGCTCCGAACACTAGGCCCATGGCTTCGCATACCTGGGTAGATGCTGGTCGAGCGGCTTCCTCACCTCATCCATTTGCAACGCTCCGCTCACACCATGAATCCGAAGCACCGCAGTTGTCCATACAGTTTGCTAGAAGATTGCTCCCTGCCATCTGGCTTCAAATCGCGTATCCCAGTGTTGCCAAGCAAAGTGCCTTTCTTGCTTGCCGGCTCTTCTATCAGCCAGGCTCGCAATAATGCCGCTGCCGGATACCCGAACAAGTAAAGAATTGCCTTTCAAATGAACACCCTCCCATTCATCAACCAGGGTTCATTAGTCTTGGGGTTCTTAGGAATCGGGGAAAACAAGGAGTTCCACTACTTTGATCTCACAAGGATTGTCAGAACACAGAACGACCCCCCCTTGCCTCATAGGTGTGGTGCGGCCCCGGGGAGCACATGTCCACCGGCAGCAAGGTGCTCGGCAGCTTCCTCTCAGCTTCGCGCGGACGGCATGCCCCCAGCTCCGTCTCTTGTTGCAATTTGCACAAAGCCCAGAACCCCTTTTTACATACCTGCAGTCTTCAGCAAGTCGATATGTCATACGGACGCGGCACGAGCGTCTCACTGCAGCTGGGCTAGAATCCCCATACTTACCGCGAGCGAATCGCGTCCTTCCCAGGCTAGTCTTGCAGTATTCAGGGCCATCCAGCGCTGATGTGCTCTTGGCCTGGCAGCGCCTATCCCGAAAGCGAACTCAATGTCAAGCACAAGGTAATCTATGGTGCCTTAGGTGCGCTTGAAAGGAGGGAATGAACCACAGGCGGCTTTCACATGGCAAATCCAGCCATATGCGTGATGTGCTGTTCATTAACCCAACAGCTTAACGAAGGCTGGTGGAATGGAAAGCGGTCACATCAGCACCCTTCAAGCGAATGCAAAGGGAGAACGTGCTAGAAGTTGAGCTCGGCTAGGCAAGTCGAGAGATCTCCTCCCTGGAAGCACGCTCGTCACAAAACAGCGTAGGAAACTATTAGCAATAGAAAGTCTAGCAAAAACAAACAACTAAGCAATGGTACTTGCCTTTGGTCACCGTGTGTGCCACCATTGTGCCATTCTTTCTGCAAGTCACTGTCTCTTGTAATGTAGGTGCCCGATGAATGAGATTCAACAGGGATACCTAATACAATTGCTTGGTCCAGGACACACGCCTATGATCCAAAGCAGCACAAAGCAAGACAAACCCACAACTGAAACCTGGGCAGGCCAATCTGACCCCAAAACTGTTTTACCACTTTTCTCTATTGGGTCCCCAAAATTGCTTGGGGGAGGCCCGTATTATTCGGTCACCCACAATAAGCGGCAACAAGCCCGTCACTATATACCACAACATCAGAGCACCTTTCTGGAAAAGTGCCGACATGTAGGCCAGTCAAAAATTATGTCCTCAGCAATCCCCCCGGGCAATCACTAAGCCACACGCGGCAGAGGCGATAATCTCATAGCTGCCTGCAAAAAAAAAAGGTCGTCATGTCCACAAGAAACTGTTCAGGCAGGCGGCCGGATGAAGGATCGGGGGGCCGGCTGAGGTCCTGTTTATTTTTTCCTTGGCAGTTCGGCCTCAAGCATGGCGCTCCACACTCGGGCTTGGGTTGCATGGCTTGACACACGCGCCATGTTGACTGCACTGGCTTGTACCAAAGGTGGTGTTCAATACCTGGAAGAGAGCTTCGAGCGCGCAGCGTGCTGCAAAACATTGAACGAACTGCTTTCGGACATGCGCTCGCGCTGCGAATTTGGCAAACGGTGGGTCTGGGCACAGTACACTGATCAGTCGGGGCCGATTGGATAAACCTCGCCGTGGCGCAGTGAAAATCAAACATCCAAGGCAGCTCTCTGGTCCTGGGTTAGCGCTTAGTATTGGATCATTCCCGCTCCGCAGAATCATCAAAACTTCGGCGGATTTTGGTTGGGCTGGATCGCTCTTGCTCAGGCACGGTGAAAAGCTTGACTTTTCCATGCGAGCAAAGAAATGCTCGCAATTGAAGCAGCTCTCTCTCGCACACACCCGAATCACGTGTCCCCGCAAGACGCTTGCTGCGCTGTCTGTGGGTGCTCTCTTTTCGCACAATGTGTTTGTGCAGGCTTCACACACACACACACTCTCTCTCTCTCTCTCTCGCGCGGCGATCTCTGCGAATCTGTGCAATTTCTATGCGCTTCAAAATCAAAGGGCGATCAAACGCGCAAACCAATCAGATTGAAAGGACCATTTTGAGAACAAAAGCAATGGCTGCCATGCTACGGATCAGAATCTATGCACGCTTCACACACCAGGCTTAGGAACGTTGTAATCACCCCACTGGGCTTGTCCTGCAAGTATCCAGGTCACGCAAGCCTCGATGCAGGTCTGTGCTCCCAACAGGCAGCTCGGCCGCGCCTGGTCCCACTTTCGAAGGCACCGAGGTGTCGTTGATGTTCTGGCCGGGGGGACGTGCAACCGCAGCCGGGGCTCAAAGTGTTTGTTGTTTTTTTGCGCCCTGGGTCAGTGTCTTGAGGCTCTCGGGCACGCGTCATCTGTACACTAGCCATATGATCATCCAATTTAAGCAAGGGTTGGCTCCTTGAAGTTGATTCGGCCAGCGCATTGTGTTGGCAGTTGTGCTTTGCTGATCCATCCCCATATGAAATCACAAAAAATGGCAACTCACTATATCTTGTTGCAGTGGAATATGAAAATAACTGCGTCTTTTGAAGCCTTGGCTGGCCACTCTGGCCAAAGCTTGCCGTCCATCCCCGCCCAAGCAGCTCTCGATAGGGCACATTGCCACACGTCTTCAGCCTACTTGACTTGGAACAGGTTGCTGATTGCCCGAAGAACTGAGAACGCCGTTGCACGAACGCAGCTATTGAGAATTAGGCCTGTGCCATGTAAGGTTATGCCAGGTTAGGCCTCTCTTTAGCACTCACAGGTCAAGCTTGCCATCTAAAAGTTGCGGGCACTTGCCATTGGCCGACCATACAAACCCTGACAGGGCCAAATCCAAGGAACAACATGGCAACGTGGAACAAGGAAAATGGATTGCGCCTTTCGGCCTCCGTGACCCTGGGTGGTCAGCCGCCCCACCTGGCGCAGCAACCAGATACAAGATGTATCCTGGGCGTTCCATGCTTGAAAAAAATGTAGGCAGGCTCAGTGTGTGTGGCCTTCTGAGATTCTGGCGAGGATAAAACAAAATACATACTATAACTGGTGACTACACGGCTGATGTTGAGCTTGCTTGTGACAGCATTTCGCTCCGTTGAGGTGCAGTACCTCAAATAATCAATAGGAAACCAGCGAACTTGTGGCCTTGAGTTGGCGCCGCTGGGGTCGCAAACCACTTTACATACAGGCCATGAAACATAATGTTGCTGAGCAATCTGTATACTGAAAGCGCGGCTCGCAGCAATAATGTTCTGTAAGCATCAACCCTGGGCCTGGCCACAATGTTTAATATTCTTGCGACACAATATATTGAATCCTGTCATGGTTGGGCGTGTTCCAACACCATACCGCCTATCAAGTCTGACACCATCAGCCTATTTGGCACCCGATTGGAGCAGGGTAGCAGTTGTCTCCAGAGACTGATGGCAGGCTAGATGAGGCTGGCGGCACGAGGGCGCCTCCCACTTCAGCTTCTGCAGGGGGCTATGGGCATAGAACTCTCGGCCAGTGGGCGAGTCCCTGGCGGTGCCATGCCCATATCAAAAAAACCCATCCCAGACAGAAAGAGCGACACAATCCTGGCAAGGCTTGCTGTGCTCCTTTGACATTGTTAGCCGCCGAGTCACCCCCCTCACTTGCACGACAGCTGTTCAGGGGAGCGACGCTTTCGTCAGTTGGCTGGCGTGTGCATCATCAAGAATTTGTCGTAGCGCTTGTCGGCCAAGGCCCACGGAAGGCACTCAGGCAAGAGCATTGGCACGCAGTAACACAATTCGATCACCACATTTTATCATCAAAGTCGCCCCTCATGTGGCAATGGTAAAAAAAAATATAGGAAACCAAGTACCCCACAAAGAACCCCTCAAAAACTGACAAGATAATAAACCCAAACAATCCGGGCAGGGTGCCTTTCTTTTGTGGGCGACGCTAAACCTCCTGGCTCATGATTTCACGAGCCCCGCCTGCCCCTGCCGATGACTTTCTTGCTGGAGCCGAATCCTTGGTGCTTCATGGTGCTTCACTTGGTCCCTTCGCCTTTGGGATCTGAATCCGTCGCGGGAGGTCCCAACTTCCGAACTCGCAACATCCTGAGGCACTTTCCGACTGTCAATCGCTCAAACATCCCAATAAGCATCCCAAAGTTTCAATTGCTTGCCCATCAGATTGTTAGTCATTGAGGGCACTGAAGCCACAGTCTTCCAACATTTCGGCAAGGGCAGTTCGGGAGACCACGTCTGGACAACTCCTTCCCCATCCCATGCTGCCAAAGCCACGGTCTCCAGCTCCGAAGGTGGTTTTTGAAGAGTGCAGGCCCGAACTCAGAACGGGCGCGGACAAGGAACCCCCAAGCCGTTTCTAACCCCAAACCTGCGAAACCTGCTTGTTGACCTCCCTGTCACCTCTTGCTGTGCCAAAAGCAGGTTGGGGGTCGAAGAGACAGGTTGGCAAACTGAAATGTCCCCAACAGCTCATGTTGGCCCAAAGCCAGTGCATGCGTGTTGCTTACGTCTTTTCAGTGTTGAAATCTAGTGACTGGGAAGTGAATACTGGCAAAGTATTGCAAATGCTTATATATATATATATATATATTATAATATGCACATACATATTGTATAGGGCAGGTTTCATTTGGCATCTTCAGCGTGAAAAGACGACGTAAGATTCCAAGCACCCACATTACGCTCAGACTTCAATCTCAAGAGGCACCAGGCGCGACACAAGTGTCGCGTTGTCCAGTCCGGAAAGGACGCGCTTCCAGGCAAACCCCACAGCGCCACGCTCTTCGAACGTGGTTACCACACTCGCAGCCGACTTTGGGCAGCTAAAGCGTCTCAAGGGAGATGTTGTACTGCCGCGGGTTCTCCTCACCTAGGTTTCTCCAGGCAGTCGACTGGATCTCCGCTAAGGGATGACTTGACTAACAATCCGAAGAGGTTAAACGGTATCTGTGCCGTCGAATGCTGAGTTGTCTAAAGTGCGTATAGGATGCAGGGGTTGTCACTTGCAACGGGTGAGAGCTCGACTCATGCTGACCCTGAACACCTTGTTGCCCACACAGTGCCAAGGCTTCAAAGTCGTCAAGTCACCGTTTGCTGTTGTTTGCGTTTACGTTCCCCTATCACAAAGGAAAACATGCTTCTCGAACAATGCAAAGTCCGCAATACTTAATACAGAATTACAGAATAAGCAAATTCTAAGCCAACACCAAGCTTGCCAATTTCTCAAGATTTTCCCCCTGACCAACGAATACTCAATGCACTCTAAACCCATACTCAACTTGCACCAACCCTATAAATTGTCAATGATTTATGGCCCCGCAAAAGACTGCCCTTCCAGCACGGAAGTTGAAATATCCCCACAACACCCAGTCTGATCGAAAGCAAGGCCAAAAATAATGCATCGACTGAAAGGGTGTGGGATGTTGACAATCAACAAGTTGGCCTTCAGATTGAGTTTCCGCACGTGCGAATTGACAGCCGCCAATCCTCTGCCTTGCCAGTCTTTGACTCAACCTATCCACTTGGTGAAGCGGTTCGGAAAAAAAGAAGAAACAAACGCTTTGTGTGATAATTACCAACATGGGTCCCCATGAGTGCTTTTTTTGCAGGGGCTTCCCTGCGAAACCGTGGCACACACACACACACACCGCGGGGCTCCCGCCATGGACCGAGGATCTGAGGCCTCCGCTCTGAGCCATCGTCACCTCGGCGGCCAGCACCTCACCCGCCTCCACCTCCGCAAAGGCGCCGAGGTAGACCACCTGAGCGTCCCGGAACAGGTTCGCCCGCGCTTGGCTGGTGCTCAGGGAGCTAAGGGAATGAACCGTTTTGGAATTCCCTTTGCCTTCACGGAAACCAAAGCGGATGGATGTTTCATGCTTAGGTTCGCTCCGACGCTCGCTCTAAAGCGACCTGTCAAGTGGCAGTTTGCTTCCAGTGGGTCGGCGGTGACCCGGGGTCCGTCTTCAAGACGACGTCATGTCCTAAGCGGCCGCTTGCTCTTGCCAGGTTCCAGTGGTGTCTGTGGGAAGATTCTCCCCTTAAAGCCTTGCCCCCATATGGCCAGATCAATCAACCCCAGTAGTATTGTGTCCCAAATTTTAGTGGGGGATCATCACTTTTGAAGTTTGTTTGGTGGTCATTCCATTTCTTATTCGCTGCCTATCGCACCAAGGCAAGGCGCCGGCCAAATCAAGCTTCCAAGGGAAGGGCAGGTCACTGACAAGCGAATACCCACCGAACACAATGAGTCACAAGCAACCGCGTCGAGACAAGTACACAGCGCTGGTACTTTATACTGCCTGAGCCTTCGGCACCTGGAAAACCCGAAGGCATACGGAACCCCTGGGTTCCCATAACCGACGGGCGCTGACGTTGCCAGGCCACCGAAGCCCACGTCGAACCAGAAGGCGACCGCTGCGGCGAAGCCGCGGCGCCAGCTGCGGAAGGAAAGCTTGGCCTTGCAAGGGCAACCTCCGAACTTCTTGTCGCATGCGAATTCTCCGAGAAACCCAAAAAACCTACAGGAAGATTGCAAAATTGTGTTCAATCATGTTCAATCGGTGAAATTCCAGCTGGCACCAAGCTTCAAGATGTGATTTGGCCTCGGTTGGCGTTGTAGGCCTTGGTGGCCAGCTTAAGCCTTGCTGGCCCTGTCATTCTCGTTTTGCCATAGTCGGCCTTTTTTGTTTTGCCCTACCTTCGCTTCTTGTTGGCCTGCGTTGGATCAAGTTCTCAATAAGTATCAGTAATGTTCATTGAACTCAGGCAACAAGTAGATGCTGGCACGAACTCGTTAGGCCTTATGTTGCCTGAATGCCCTACTTGGTTTGGCGGGGTTCTGCAAAGGCAGGAGTGCGCGGTCGCCCCGCCTCGGGCACTAACCAAGCTTGGTCCGCAGAATGTTGCCCAAGCAACACTGGCCGCAGGATGCATGTCCAAAAGCGTGTCAAAGCCAAATTATGTTGCATCGTCAAACCAGGAAACATGTCAGACTTTGGGCGGCCTGAAATTGCCGGCTGCCGCTTGGAGGCAATGTCCGCAAGTCTGGCAGCTCTGCAAACAGCACCGGCTCCGCTAACAGCCGCCTGACAATGCAAGGTCCTTTGTGTCGTTCTGTGCTGCTTCCGACCTTCTCTCCTCCCTTCCCTCACTGCGGGGCGCCTCCCTCCTTCTCCATGTGGGTCTGTGTCCAAACAGGGTGCTCGGACCGGGAAAGGTGGTTGGCTGGTATGATTCATGATCCGGGGTATGGTTCGCAGATGTTCGCAGGCACTGAAACTCCTGTTGCAACACTAGCTGTGCTGACGATGTGCCGTTGGTGAAACATGTTTTGAGCTTCGCGCGTGTGGTCACAGGGTCACGTGCGCAAGCCACAGGCATGGGTCGAAGTATGGCTATGACCCTCGTGTGATTCGCAAGTAAGGTTGTTCTGCAGTGGTAGTAGCAGTAGTAGTAGTCGTCGTCGTCGTAGCGCGAGCACGGGTAGTAGTAGTAGTAGTAGTAGTAGTAGTAGTAGTAGTAGTAGTAGTAGTAGTAGTAGTAGTAGTAGTAGTAGTAGTAATAGTACGAGAAAAAGAGTTAGCAGTAGTAGTAGTAGCAGTACTAGTAGTACTGGTAGAAGTAGAAGTAGAAGTAGTAGTAGTAGTAGTACCTGGTGTTGTGACGGGGGTATGGTTGGGGGTATGGTTCAGGGGTCTGATTCGCACAGGTCGAACTTCCATGCTCTAGTAACTCTAGTAAACCTTGGGCACCTTGTAAAAACACGCACACCCCAAACCACGACGGCAACCTCACGTAACAAGCTTTCAACATGGGCCCCCAGTCACAAAGGCAATGGGCCACCAAGAAACACTTCCTCCGGCCATTTACCAACGCAACGAGCCGCTTAACATACAATTCTGTGATATATGAGATATGTCACAAGAAAAACAAATACACAAGCAAACCAAACCAAACAAACAAGCACATAAGCACATGAGAACTTAGAAATGGTAACGCGTAGACTCGCAAACAAACGAACAGATAGATATATAAATAGAAAAATGAGTAAATAAATAAGAAGGAAATCAAGAGAGAAAGAAAAATAACAAAAGAAAGAAAGAACGACAAAAGAAACAATTATCGGTACGGGAATGCATGAATGAATGAATGAATGAATGAATGAATGAATGAATGAATGAATGAATGAACGAACGAACGAACGAATGAATTCATAATGCGAACGAATGAATGAATTCATAATGAATGAATGAATGAATGAATGAATGAATGAATGAATGAATGAATGAATGAATGAATGAATGAATGAATCAATGAATGACTGAATGAATGAATGACTGAATGAATGAATGAATGAATGAATGAATGAATGAACGAATGAATGAATGAATGCATGAATGAATGAAAAATGACTGAATGAGTGAATGAGCGAATGAATGAATGAATGAATGACTGAATGAATGAAGGAAGGAAGGAATGAAAGAAGGGTTGAATGAAATAATGAATGAATGAATGAATGAATGAATGAATGAATGAATGAATGAATGAATGAATGAATGAATGAATGAATGAATGAATGAGTGAATGAATGACTTTCATTCCTTCCTTCCTTCCTTCCTTCCTTCATTCATTCATTCAATCCTTCTTTCATTCCTTCCTTCCTTCATTCATTCATTCATGAATGAAGGAATGAAGGCATGAAGGAAGGAAGGAAGGAAGGAAGGAATGAATGAATGAATGCGTGAATGCATCAATGCATGATTTCATGAACGAACAAACAAATGGATGCATGAACGAATGAACGACTGAATAAACGAACGAACTGTGCGCACAGTTCGAACCTATGCATATTCATGCATGCTGAAAAAAGACGCATATCTCCAAACAAACCGAATGCCTACTGTGGATGGACGAAATCCTGCACCACCTAAGAAGCCCTGATTCGCCTGTAAATACCAACCATGAAAGGTTTGTCATGGGCACCACTCATCCACAGTGTGCCACAGCTCGTCAAGTTTGATCCCCGCCTGGGCTCCAAGTTCTCCACCCGTGGCTGCGACGCGTAGCGCTGCAGCTCCAATGAGCTAACGGGCCGCAGGTCCAGGCCCAGCAGATCTTCGTAGGCCGCCTACATGGGGCTTGTCGCTATTGGCGTACGAATACTGTATATGTACGTATATAGATATAGACACAAAATGTGTATGTGTATATATATATATATATATATTATATGTACACATTATGTATATATGTATGTGGGGTTGTACAAAATGACTTTGCCTGGGGACACCCCCATCGCCGGCCAATCGCGATCCAATCGCGATCCCACAAAGCCAATCGCGGAGAAACGTTGGTCATCGCTGCTGTTTCTGTTTCGCTTTTTGCTGTCTTATCTCAAGTGCTGGCCTTCCTCCATCCATACCTGGAAACTGGAAGGAAGTGACATAGCTCGGATGGGCAGGGCCTAACTGGTGAACGCGTCCAATTGCCGTCCAACTGCGGAATTCGTCGGTGAAACTTCGGTTTGCAGCTCCCAGCCTTTGTCAGTACGCAGATTTAGAAAGCACAGCCTGGGCCTGCGCAGGCAGAATCAACATATTCAGCTTTCCAGGAGGAACTTTTGTGCGAGCCCGTGCAGTCAAAAAGGTAAACACCATGCAGCGTCTAAATTCACAATAATTTCGTTGCCCTTTCGCGGTCCAATCGCCGGCCTTTCGCGGCTCGAGTTTTCCCAATCGTGCGGTTCAACAAGTTGCCGCTGTTCATAAGTTTTAGACATGCAATTACGGACGGCCCCCATATGTGTGTGTGGGTGTGTGTTTCTTGGGGGTACCTGTTCTAGGTGGTTTTAAAGGACCAACTGGAAGCCACCGTCCACGCCGCAAGCCCGCAAATTGGCCAACCGAGGCAAAAACGTCAAGAAAATGAATCAAATAGGGGACACATCCAGGAGGGTAAAGCCCTGCAAAGTAAACACAGCACGAAGGGTCGCACACTTCTGCGAACCCACCAGGAGATAATCAGTGCGAACCACCTGGGTAACAGCAGAAAGTCAAAATATGTAAAGGACATATGTGCACGAACCCCAAAGAGCTCCGCGAAGGGAGAGGGAGGGAGGGTTCGATGGTTCTATGAAGTTCTGCAGACTGACGTGCTTCTCTCTCGTTAGCGGTTACCCTCTTGCATTTTCTCCTGATCAAAGACCTCTCGACTTGGCAAACAAAACACAGAATCAAACTACCCATGTTTCTGACAGCCCAAATCCGAGACTCCTGTCACACCTGTACGCCTTGAAGGCCACTGCCAGCTTGCATGAGAAAGATGACACGAAGTGGACCTGTCTTGCTATCGTCTCCAGGGTTCCCCGTACGGATGGTCAAGATTGGCTTGAAAAAAAACGGCCGTGGGCTGTGCAGCCAAACTTACTTTTGGATGTTGAAAGTCAAACAACTGGGTTGACATGTGCTGAACACCATTGTCCATTCTGAGCCGGGCGCGAGGTCTTTGCGCAGCTCCTCCGCTTCCACCAGAGCCGCCCAAATCCGGCCCGAGCTCGGCAGCAGCAAGCCCTCGCGACCAGCAACTCGAGCGGCTCCCACACATTGTGCAAAAATCGGTTTTCCGGTTTCCAGGTGTTGCCAGATGTGGACGAATGCAGCCATTCATCCGAGGTACAGTCTGCAATTTGGCGGATGTTGTTTACTTTATCGCGGAAAGGCCTCATTCACATTAGGGCCGCGTTGTACGGCTTTGTCTATGGGACAAGGTTAACATATGTCCAAGTTCTTGCCACCTCTGCCTAAGTAGGAGAAAGCGCCTTTGTGCACCGTTCGATCAATCGCTCCGCAGCTGCTTCGCCAAAGTACGGCCAAGGCAATCAAGGGCAAGAGCAATCAACAAACACCAAGATTCAAAAGCCCCCGCTAAATCGAGAAAGTCGAATCTGCATCCTGCACACCTGTGGTTTCAGCCAACGGTCTCGTGCCGCAAGCACCGACTCCAGCATGGACTCATGGACCAGGTAGAAGCCCATCCACTCAGAAATGATGATGTCCTAGAGCGCTGAAAAAGACATGTTCGGAAGAAGAAGCTAATTGAGAATACCTCTCAAACTCGGATGCTGGAATACTCTGCCTTGACCCCCTAGTATGTTTGCGAAATGGTGCAGGCAACAGTGGAATGGCCCCTTGCTTCTGAAAAAGAAGCACCGATGCAAGTTGCTTCTTTCCTGCGTTTGTTTGGCAGCATTCCCCTAGGTTAGAGCACCGGTGTCCCCAAACCGTACTCGAGTTGTTTGGGCTTGTCATCACATTGACCGGTCTGCGCTTTCAATCAGTGGACCACCAACTGCTGCCAAGCAAGGAAAACAGGACCGCCGTTGTCAGTGCGCAGTGCGCGGTTCTAGCCAGGCGTCAACCTTACCAGGAAGCTCCACCTCTTCCACCCGTCCCTCGATGATGGTGACCTGGAGCTGGCAAGTTTACTTCCACTCTTGCATCAGGCAGGCCGCCTCACATGTGACTTCACTCCCTTGATCCAACTTCCCCCAGGCCTCCACAATCCTCCCAGAACAGCACCAGGGAGGAAAAACCATACCAACCATTGAACCCTCTCCGCCTTTCCTTTGCATTTCCGGAGCCCCCCGCCCGCCCGCATCGGGTGGGACGCCGCCCGCCTTCTGCTGCATGGCGTTGATCTCCACCAGCCGGCGCGCCACCGAGGCCATGCCCGGCGAGGCCTCCACCGCGAAGACGTGCCCGGCCTTCCCGTGCAGCACGCAAAGCCTCCGCGGGCGTCGCTTTGCGTCCCTCCGGACAAGAGATAAAATACAGGTAAGCTATGGTACATTGGAAGGTGTTCTGATACTTAGCAAAACCAATATGCCTTGACATTCGCATTTCCATCCTTTAATAACCCAAGCTCAGCGGCTTTACGGGAATGCCAAGGTACATGCTCAGCACAGCGCTGCCAGCGCCTACGTCTAGCACCAGCTTGCCCTCAGGGGCGGCTGGTGAGGGTGTCAACCACCCTACTTTCCCAGTGGCCATGCCAATCAAAGCGTCTAGAATCTAGAATCCTTGCACCAACAGAAAACTGCAATGGATACGACTGGAGAGCTTCTTTGAACTCGCCTGTACCATTGAACATGTCACCCGCGTCATATATCTCAGCCTGTCGTATGTTTGAGGAAAGCGCGCAATCCTGACTGGTTTGCCACGGCCTAATGTCGGCCGTGCAGTTCAGCATGTGTCCTCCGTGCATTTTAGCATCTGCAGTTGCTGATGCTTGGCGGCCAAAGTTCAATCGCAGGAAGGTCGTCAATCAAACCTGAATGCGCGTTTGAGTTGTTCAAACTTGGCAGGAAACAAGTGCCACAACAGGTTCCTAACCGTCACGAACCCTCTAACAACCACCTCTTTTGAACAGGAGATGCTCCGGGTCAGCAAAGAGAATCCTCGCAGAACCCTTTGCCGTGGACTCTGGGCCGTATAAGCCATAAAAATGCAGCCCTCACTCGCTTCCGAAACTCTTTAGCCCGTGCCACAGGGTGCTGCCCTTTGCAACGAGCCGCCACAAGTCATGCCTCGTCGAACCTGTTGAGGAGTTCCAATTCACAAGGTACGTTTCTGTCAAACTCGATGTGCCCATACTGCCCGTGAAGGCCAATGTCGACCTCCCGCTCATCAAACAGCGCCAACTGTCCAAGCAGTACAAACAATAAACAATACACAGCTACCGAAGGAACATCAAATTGTACCTGTGCTACACTTTTCCCGGGATCTCACCGGAAATCTCCGGCCCAAACCTTTTTTCTTTTCTTTTTTTCCGGATGGACATCCACTTTGAACAGCTCGACCTCTGCTTCTGGTGGTGCCTGGAAATATGTTCTACCCAGCGTGGGATTTTTGTCCACCGTGGTTTTGGTCTAGGGCTGCTTTGGGGTGGCTTAGGGTGGATGTCTTGGCCTGGGGTTGGTTTAGTGTTGGTTTAGGGTTTGGGGTTGGGCTTGGGTGGGTCTAGAGTGGGGCTCGGGAGGGTTCAGGAGGGTCGGTTTGGGGTTGGTTTTGGTTGGTAAAGTTGGTCTCAGGCTGACTTGGATTTGGGCTGGTTTGGGGTTTGTGGTTTAGGGTTGGATTGAAATTGGGCTTAGAATCCCCGAGCAAGCCTACACCAACTCCAAAGCAACCCTAAAACGACCCAAAGCCAACCCCATACCCAACCCCAAAACAACTCCAAGCCAACCGCAAGCAAGCAAGCAAGAAAACAAGCGACCCAAACCAACCTAAAGCAAGCCAAACCCACCCCTCCAACCCAAAAGCAACCCTAAACCACCTCAACCAACTCCAAGCCGCCCAAAGCCACCCGCCTAAACCACAAAAAGACTCCCCGTAAGATAGCTCACCCCGCCCGGTTCCTTGCGGCAACTTTAACAAATATTCCTGGCCTCCATGGCACCGCGGTGGCAGCGAATCGCAGCCAGGTAGGATCCCAGCCGCTGCGTATCCCCAAGCATCAGCGCGTGGATCTCCGGATTGTCGTAGGCCTCCCCGAACTCAATGCAGTCAATCCCTTCAGCAGTGCGTTTGCCGGCGTGTTGCTTCTACAAAGCACTTGGCAATGTGCTGGCAGCAAAAATGCCAAGAGCCGCGCCTCAAAATAAGCCTCATCGAAGTCCGCAGGAAGCTCTTCCTGTGCTTCCGGCGCCTCAGCCTGCCAGCATGCGCTGCGTTGACCTGGAATTCCACATTCATATGATATGGACTCTGCAACTCGACGATTTTCCTGTGACTACGTCACCTGGAAACACCACCCCACCTACATAAACCTTCCTTGACATTGCCACCCCCCCCCCAAAACTGACAGCGGATGCTTGCTAGCACCGAAGGGATGTTTGATGCTGGCTGCGGTCGCACAATGTCGCACGCAAGCAATCTGACTTCAAGCATGACTACGTGCACGTGAAAACGGAGGGCTTCTTTTAATGCCCCATGAACGCTCACTTCTTGAAACCAGCCATCCCCACCGCCTTGCCTCGCGCTGCCGCTTTGTGGACATGGCGCTTTCAGGGGCGGCGCGGCCGGCAGAAAGTTTGATGGCTCCAGTCTTGTTGAGAACCACGAGTATTTCTTTCTAAGCTTGGTCTTCCGGACGCAGGCTCAGCGAGCCTGCCCTGGTGTCAACGATGCGCGCTTGATGGCATACTATAGGTTCTACAAAAACACGTGACCTGCGCTTAAACAGGAATACTAATTGCAGGGGGAAAGCTGGCTCGAACATTGTATACATATACATACCAAGAACTGCCCTGCGCCCTTTCTTGTTTTTTCCCCCGGAAAGCACTGCAAGGAGCCCTTGCGGCAAAACCGCCAGCCAGCTCTCACGGCTCTCACTACAGTGGCGCCCACACGAGCAAACTTGCACGAGCACGCTTGCATGAACGCACTTGCGCAAGCCCGCTTGCCGAGCGCACTTGCACGAGCACGCCTTGAAGCACACTTGCACGTTCAATTGCACGAGAGCAAACTCGCAGGAGCACACTGCACGAGCACACTTGCACGAGAAAACTCAACTGTTGGATTTGCAAATGGCTTATCCGGGCGGCCTGCTGATCAGAAAGGATATAAACCGTGCTTAAAAAGCAAACCACGTGAAGAATTGCACTGCATGACCCAAATATGGAAATACGTGAGCTCCAACAGTACCACACCTTTAGAACCAGGCTGCAACCTCCAAACGACCACCGCCAACCAATTTCCGACCGCCTTCCGACCACGCTCCGACCACCTTCCGACGACTCTCCGACCACTCTCCGACCACCCTCCGACCACCTCCGACCACCTCCCGACCACCTCCCGACCACCTCCCGACCACCTTCCAACCATCCCCGACCGGCCTTCAACCACGCAAGGCCACAGTGACAGGAACAGGCCCAAAACAGGCCAAGTTCGCCGTTTGGGGCTACATTTAAGGAAAAGTTGGATTGAGCTTCATAATAAGAAATTTTGGATATCCAACAAACTCAACAGGGCGCCGTGTGGGGCCGAGCCCACTCTGCGAAAATGACACCCTCTGCGGGGATCGGCGTGGCCAATGCGCCAAAACTGAGGACTTGCGCTACTATTGTCTTTTGAGATGACGCAACGACGGATTTTGTCCGACCTGACCACACTCACCACCTTGTTGTCCTCAAAGAACATGAAGTGATTTATACGGATGTTGTTTTGCTGTTTCGTGACTTCGTTGCTGTACATGATCAAGCCATCTGAACAGCTCAGCTCAGTGTTTTCATCCTCAGCAGTCTCTCGTCACCAATCAATTGCTCACTTCGCCGTGCAGCCGCCGTAGCATGCCGAGCTTGCCGAAAAGACGCAGTTGCCAGCGACCACCTTGCATTGGTAGTGGACGCCCCCTGCTTCAACGAACCTCGCGCCACACACCTCGAGAGGCACCGTGGCGCAGGAGTCAGCAAAATGCTGGCTTCCTGCGCACTCGCCCGGCAGCGCTCGGCAACCGCCAAATTTGGCCCATACCAGCGTGCTGTGCTGACCCGCCCAATGACCACCGGTGCTGCAGTCTGCCGGGCGGCCTCCGCCACAAATCTCCGCACTCAAGCCGATGCCAGCGCTGATGTCATTTTGCCAATCTCCTGCTTGCATACAAAAGACGCACGCCTTGCCACAGCCGAGCGGGCCAGCCTGAGGATTTGTGCGGCTTTCCGGCGCGGGGTCTGCCACAAACTTGTCTGCGCGCATAAAGGCGGGAGCACCGTCGCGATCGCTCCCAAATGTGGACTTCCATGAGTTCCAGTAGCTCCGGGTGTTGAAGCCACCGTGCCTCGAAATCTTGGCGTTGTTGGTGGTGATCAGCTTCTCGGGCGTGTCTGATCTTTCAAAATGCACCTCAGAGGTGCCAGTGCTTGTCTGCAATCGGATTGCAGTGACGCTTGGGAGTTTGTGAAAGGCGATGCTCTTGGCATCATACTCCTGGAAATTCGGCACGCTGTCGTCCAGCATCTTGTCAGGGTTGAAGGCCTGACCATCCGTCCACCTGGGGCTCCCGTGGCAGAAGTCGTTCTTGCTCAGCTTCATGACCAGCACCCACATGTCGCCACTATCGTCTTTTTGCATGTACACCTGCCCAATACCCCTGATGTTCATCAAAGGACTGGTCTGAGCGCCTTCCAGGATGATCGAATTCGTTGGTTGGGAACTGGTTGGGTGGGTGGGGGGGGGGCCTGGGGGCGGGGGTTTGTTGGGAACTGGCCGTGCATCCGATCACAATGAACAAGACAGCTGCATGAACAAACTTCGCTTCCAACGATACAGCCAAGGACAACCACACTAGCACCACGTTGTTCCTGCAAAGGGGTTGCTTTGCACAAATGCGGGCAGCAAGTATGTGACACGACGACGACGACGACGACGACCACGACCACGGCAACGGCAACGGCAACGGCAACGGCAACGGCAACGGCAACGACAACCACAACAACAACAACAACAACAACAACAACAACAACAACAACAACAACAACAACAACAACAACGACAACGACAACGACAACGACAACGACAACGACAACGACAACGACAACGACAACGACAACGACAACGACAACGACAGCAGCAGCAGCAACAACAACACCAACAACACCAACACCAACACCAACACCAACACCAACACCAACACGAACACCAACACCAACACTAACACCAACACCCCCAACACCAACAACAACACCCCCAACATCAACACCAACACCACCACCACCAACAACAACAACAACACCAACAAAACCAACAACACTGCCAGGAGGCGAGCCAACCACGTTGTCAATGACAAGGCAGTTGGGGTTAGAATCCCGTGGGGTGACCAATACCCTCGACAATGGAGTCGTATAGTAGTGGTCGTTGTAAAAGGGGGTTGTAAGGTAAATTATCTGCGCTGTCTCACGACTCGATGCGACGGCGGAATACGGACCTTTTGCTTTGCTTCGCAGCTGTATATTGGATGTTTGCCTCGAATCTATTATCAAGGTCTTGAGCCAAATGCATACGCATGTACATGTCGGTTGCACACAAAACACCATTTCCCCAAAGGTTTGAAGGATCTTAAACAAGGGGAAATAATAACAGGGTGACCTGCCCTTAGGATGTTTTAGCCTGCGGCTCGGAGATTCTTAGCATCCCCATCCCGGGCTTGGGTTCATCCCTGGGTCGGGAACAAATCACAAACGCATGCCGGCACGCATGGACGCACGGCTTCCCTTTTTCAATTCAGTGAAACGTCTCTGCACGAGTTTGACCAGGTTCTGTAAACTGAACAGGAAATGAGAATGCTACAGGTCACGTGCCGGACCTCATGTGCAATGGTGCACATGCAGCAAGCTATCTATAAGGCAATTGTACAGATCCAGAGCAGGCAGCAGAAAACGAATATCCATGACTAGCATAGTCCATCACCAATTTGTAACCAGTAATAATTGTAGCATCTCATAATCATTGACCACCAAATACCTGGCATCTCCAGAATAGTACTCGCCGATGACGATACTGTACGGAAACAAGAAAACATTCTGTGGTGATAAATGCAAGTCTCATGCAAATACTTTTGGGTTTGCCCAGGGTACCGTGCACGACGAGTACAACAAGGGCTGGCCATGATACCATGCACGATGAGTATCACGATCCCATTGTGTAAGAAAGATGCGAATCCCAGTTGATCCCCCACATAGAAAAATCGCAGTGGAAATGCTTGATCACCAGTGTGATGATTCAGCAATGGCCTTTCTACTCGCCCTCCGCCGGAACCTTTCGAGCAGAGAATGTGGTGTCTCCTCGGCCCGATTGATCTTCTTGATGTAGCGCGAGGGCAGATGTATATATTGCGAGTAAAGCACCATTGAATAAGAGGAGTGTCGACCTCTTTGACGCTTTGAACGCAAATGATGGCACCAAGTTCAACTTTCAAGAACTTGCGTCCAATGAGCACATCTGTTCGGTAGAAGGTCATGTTGTCGCAATTGAGGCCAAGGGCAATGCATCGGAATATCGTGTCGCTAACGAAGGCAATGTCCTTCTGGTGGCTGACACCTCTGAACTGCTCTGCTTTGATACCAAGTATATTGCAGGCGGTCCAAATCCGGTACATAATGTATAGCCCTTTCAGCTTCAGGAACCAAAAGAACAGCTCTTCGTCCCTGTGGTTCGTACTTTTGATTCTCACATTTCTAAATTTAGGAGCGGCAACGACTTCGTCATAGGTGGGCGGGACTGGAATGTTCTGTTCGTCGACTTCATTGAAAATCCAATCGCCCCTCCCATTGATTGCGATGTAGGGACAATAGAGTCCGCCACCCTTGCCAGCTTCCTTGACCACATCTGCCTCGTTGTTGGCGAATACCTTCCACACTTTGAAAGAACGATGCCAATGAAGCCAGAGAGGCAGGTCGTTCTTCCTCGGCGACGATGCGCTCAGCATCTTCCTTTGCTTCTCGCTGAGCTTGCTTCACTTGCTCCGTCACGTTTGCGGTGTCGGATGGTTTGGGCTCGTCGTCATCCACATGGATCACGAACTTGCCGGTGGAAATGAGCTCACATTCACATGCCGTGCAGTAGCAAAATCCCCTTGGAATGATGACAGCGCACGCTGGGCATACTCTGTTGGAAATACTTGATGGATCGTCCTCGCGGTAGACGATGAATCTGCTGAGCAAATCCCTGATCTCTACCAACGACTTGTTCAAGGTCTCGGGCACTCCAATGTTGACGCACGCCGCGACGACCATCTTCTTCAGGATGTCGGCGTCCGCAGAGTCTTCATCGTCCAGGAAACTGTTGAGGTTTCCAAGAAAGTCCGCTGGGGTCACGCACACAGCGTCTTTGAATCCTGGACAGATCTCGCTCTCGACGACGCGGGAGTAGATCTTATAACCTCTTTGACAGGTCCTTTCTTCACGGACTTGGATGTCCAGATTGCCCTGATCTCTTTGAAGGGAATGGTCTCGAAGGCGACGATCGTTTTATTCCATGTGATTCCTGACTGGTACGCGGACCATTTCCCTGTTGGCACGTAGATGGCGGTGAGGTCATCTCCCTCTTTGACATCGTGCGTTGCAGTCTTGGTCGAGATGTTCTCGCTGTCCCAAGGTGCAAATACTCCGAAGTGTCCCACCAATCTTCGCGCACTGTCATTACCGCCAGGAACGATACCTCTCAAGATGATACCTTCCAAGGCTGATGGCTTTGTCACGTGGAATGCTCCGCCCAAGCGATCGGACATGTTCGGGAACAATATGTTGCAAAGTTCAGCAGGGCGAGCGAATCGCCCTGATGACGCTCGAATGCACCATGGTTGCCACCATCCGCCATGCTCGCGACGAACCCAGTCGATGTCGTTCTTCGTCCATCCAGCCGCTATATCGAATTTCGCAGCGAGGATCTGCAGTCTCGGCTTCCGTGCTCTACGATCCTCCGATCTGATGCACTCAGCGATGATTTGTGCACCGATCCTGCGGGAACGCGTCCTCACGGCTCAGGATGTGGTCGATGTTCACCCATACCCATCCTTTACTATTGTAAGGAATAGGGTTCCCCCACTTTTAGGATCTTCACCAGTGCTTTTGATGTGACCTCCAAGTGTAATCCCTTTTGCAGCGTGTGGGTCATACATGAATACTCTTGTACACCTTCGCATACTGCCTCATCACCGGGTTGAGGAATCACAGAGGCTTGCTCCACCAAACGAATCGAGCATGTGGTTGTACTCCTTCATGCTTGGATGTTCGGCGGTGTTACTATGTACATGGCTTACTTGGCTGGCTTGCAAAGTGTAGTTGGCAAACATAGCAGCATACGCTGTAAGTATGCGTTGGTGAACTTATGTAACTGTATTTGGCTCACTTAGCGTAACTCAGTTAACTTCGATGGTGGACTTAGTATGTGCCCCTTGGCGTACTTGCTATGTAGGCCACGGCGTACTTAGCGGACATGTATTTTATTTGTTTTTATGTTGTTGGCGTTGTGCGGAAAATGCCATAGAGCTTTCGTCCGGTCAAGCAGCTTGCTGGCGTTTTGCAAAAAACACTTGGTGCAGCGTATCCTGCAGACTCGTTGTGTGTTTTCCAGGTTCGGGTTTCCGACGTGTTCTTTTTTGCTTTTGCGCACATGCGGTGTAGCAAAAATGTTATTTTGGAAAATGTTGTGGTTTAGGCGATCTCTATATAGTTTGCAGCCCCAGCAGGGCGTTCGCGGCCAAAATAGCGGATTGACAAAAACACCGGCAACCTTCAGGGTGCTTGATAGGCCAAAAATCGCTGAATTTGTTGCTGCCTGCGCATGCTCATGCGCAAATCGAGGCAAAGACAAAGCATGGCCCTGGATCTATCTCTCTGATGGATATGATATCCCCTGGATCTATCTCTGTGATGGATATGATGTCTCAGAGGCTTTAATAGAATATACGACTGAGAACGCAACACGCTGACACAGCGCTACGTTTTGGGGGGAGAGGGGCGGCGAGGCGAGGTTGCACAAGGGAATGTTGTGGCAAGATTGTGTTGGCAAGACAACCCTTTTTTCGCCGGGCACTTAAACCTATATAATATATGTATATATACCTCAACATGCACGCATGTGTGTCACACAGCGGGCCTTGACTCATTTAAGCAACGATAACCGGATCCCTTTAAAACAATGTTTTCAATGATACGCGGCCCTCACATTTAGGGCTTCTGGGGGAAAATGTTATTGCCCGTGTAGGGTTTGCTACAGAACACATGAAATTATTGTTTCAAGGGGCTTTGACAGGCGCACCTGCATTGTGATCCCACAGATTAATTAAACCCCAAAGGGTCAACTAAACATAAACTCAGGAATATAACACTATAGACATCGATTAGGAGTTTCCAAGTTACACCTTATAACTTCTACCCATCTGTTGGAAACACAAAACCTCTAGGGGAACCAGGCAACCACACCACCAGAGTGAATGACATCAACCCCAAATAAACATCTCCATGTCAACCAGCTATCAACCCAGTTAGGCAACGTCACACCAAACTCCCCCGACCACAAAACACACAATCACACACACACACACACCCCGCGGGCACTGCAGCCCGCAGCCGACTGCCATGCCTGGCATGGCTGCCAGCGGGCCGCCTGCGCGTGGAAAAGTCTGGTGGCGAAGGTTGAGTGGCACAAGGGCCTACAAAGAAAGGGTTCCCTTTATCCGACCCGAAACCTCAACACCACTGAACAACGTGGGACATGGTGGCATGGCCCCTTAAAAGTGCGTTTGTGATCGGTTCGTTACAATTGTTTTGGCTTATAGAATATCTGGGTGAACGTGCTGGCCCAAAACTGATACAATAATGAAGGTCTAAAGAGGACCAACGTTAGCAATAAAATGTTAAAGAAAGTTATATGCACCTACAGGGTCAATATCCTGTGTTGAACGAAAGCTTACTGTGTGAAAGTTTTTGACGGGAAATAAGACCTCCAGAGCACAATCAGCCATTGCAACGTAATGCTGAAAGAATTTGACTGCAAAAAACACACCGGCAAACAATATAAATGGGCCCTATGAAAAAGGGGTTTGCAATCTATGTTGATTATACCCTTGCCCAAGTTCGGGGCCGCTGGCACCTCACTGTTTTCTATTCGTTCCAGCAAGAGTTTGGCACCACGGCGATCTTCTCACCACGGCTCGCATGCACACATGTGTCCTGTATGCATGTAAGTTCACAGGCCAAGGCCCGTCCACTTTTGGACGCATGCCCATGGTTGCCCAACTGAGATTTCAGCAAAAAATGATTTGGCCCACGTGCTGTCTCCCTTCAAGAGATAGCAAACAGACGTCCCCAATAGAACACGAAGCCCCGGGAGCAAAAAACGCATCGCGAGCCACTTTGGCTTGGCCAGTCTGCCCCAAGGCCCCGTGCAAAATTAAAGACATGACTTCACTTGGTTCGGATGGACTACGCAGGCCGTAAGTCCAAGGCTCACCCTCTCGATCATTCATGTCCTGGAGTTGGAAGATCAGCGCATCCGACAGGACGCCCTTGTCCCACCCAGTGGATATGTTCGTTGCAATGCCAGCATACCGTTTTATGAAACGATGCTTCCGCTCTAAAGAAAAACATGAGCACAGCAGCTGATGTTGGTTCAGCATGCGTCCCAAGTGGGTCGAATAGTGGTGCTTGGGCAATCGTTGTACGCTACAAGGTACGACTGCAAATGTGTCAAAATTGCGGCTTCCAGAGTTGAGGCACGAGTAGCTCCTTTCTTGATGTTTTGCAAAAGGTCCAATACCCTGCAAAGATTGATGTACGATGTGATTGCCGGCTTCGCCTTACGAAGCTGCCCATTCTTAATCCGATCAAGCAGAATGAACCTCAAAACGGAATACAAAGACAAAGCTTCGCTTGCGCTGCAGGTTACATCGCCAACCTGTTCTTTGTTCGAGGCCACCTAAATGATTGCAATTCGTTGCGTAGATCCCTCGAGGTAAAGCCAGCTGCTCGCAATTGGCTCAGCAGTAGGCCCACTTCAGCGTTCCAAATCCCACAGGATACAAATGCATCCAGTCCCACATGAGGCTTGACGCTGGCTTCAAATCCAGCTCTTGGCAAAGAAGTGCACCGTCTTCATTGTAGTTAAACCCCATGAACTGTTGCATGCGTTTAAATGCTGCTTTGCTGGCAGTGGGGCGGTTTTCTTTCAGAAATCTCATTATGTCAAGGATAGATTCATGAGTATGAAACTCCACACGGGACAAATCCAAATTTGTGGATGGAAGCGATGTGCCAGTGTCGTGAAAGGATGCCAACTGCCCCTTGTGGTCCGTGATGTTTCGGCACAGTGGACATGGCACTGTCCCTGCAGCCCCCTTCATGTCGAGGATCTCTTTTAACGCTCCCGTCCCCCAAGAGAACGCCCTCCCTCGTCCCCCAAGAGAACGCCCAGCTCCCCAAATATGATCGTGCGTTCGGATCCTGGAAGCATGATTACCACGCCCTGCCTGATGTTGGTGGGACGAAAAAAATGCCATTTTGAAGAACTGAGACATTTTCCCTGGCAACCTCTTCGCAATGTCCGACCGGGCCACCCCCAAAACAAACCACAAACGTTCATGAGCCAGCTGCTGTATCCCATGCTGCTTCCACGACCAATATATGACCTGAATTTTCCGTTGGTTGCCACTCCGCAGTACGGTTCCGGGCGTGACTTCGTCGGCATAACACATCAGCTGCCAGGGTTCATGCAACGTCGGCCCTTGGGCCGCGCCTGGAACATGTTCTTCACAAGGTCGGCATACTGGGTACAGGTGGCACAAAGGTGGTACATCCAGGCCAATGGGTTCACAAAGGTAAACTCGAACGATTCTTCTGTCCCGCCAGCCGTCGTTGGGGCCAATGGAGCTAGCTGTGAAAGTAGGAGTGTTCCAAACGGAGTGTTGATGTCCAAGGCATCATCTCTAGAGCGCTTGATGGTTGGTCGGGACCTGGCGGCAGGCAGCTCGGGCACCCCAGCGAATGCAGCATGGCTACAGACCATGTGGCGAGCAAAATGCCCAGCCAACAGCGAGCACCGTGGCGCCCAGCCCCTTTGTTTGACTCCCCTGTGATGTTGCCGTGCGGTGATTCGCTTGTTTCTGCTTCAACAAACTTGATGATGAGGATTTGCGTGTTTTGTTGCCGATGTTTCTATATTCCTGCTGGCTATGGGAAGCACTGCCTGCAGCGTGTCAATGCACAAATCAGATCAAGTCGAATGCTCGTCGACCAGCTAATGCGTTGCAAACATTAACACAGCAGCCACTTTAGCTCTGCCTGCTTCGCGGTACCTTTCGGTCGCTTCTTGCGCTGATCCGGTCAGCGCCAAGCTTTACCCCTTGCAGCTGATATAGGAATCCACTGAACACTCAAATCAAACAATGTCAAGGACCACAGTTCGGGAGACACACTTATAACCTGGCAAAGAATGGAAGCTGAGCGGTTTGAACTAGATTTGGCTGAAAGCAGTGGTTCCTTGAGCAGCTGTGAGCCCCCGTGATCATGGCCATTAGCTCTGATCATTTGCCCCCCTCTATCAATCGCAGGGCTTGATGGAACGAAGCAACTTCATCGCCATGCCAGGGGACTCGTTTATCCACCCGGTCCCCCTTGCATACAAAAACACGCCAGCTCATCAGGCGGTCGCTCCTATGGATTTTCCCGCCTTTCCAAAAGAAGGCGCCCTTCCTTGGGCGGTGTCACCTTGAGATTGGGCTTGGCGACCTTTTTCGGGGTGGATACCACTTTGGCAACCGCGCTCCCCTTCTTGGCAGCAGCCTTTGTGGAAGCAGCCTTTGCAAAAGCCTTAGCAGAAGCCTTAGCAGAAGCCTTAGCAAAGGCCTTGGCACTAGCTTTGGCCTTTGCCTTGGCCTTCGCCTTTGGCGCTGGGGCGGTGTCGCCCTCAGCCTCAAGATCTTCAGCAGGCTTTTCAGCAGCCCTCCGGCTGTAGGCGGCGCTCATCACCTGGCACTGCTGCTCCGCCCTCATGTTGCCCTGCTTGGAAGGCGTGATCACATCCAAGTCGAACAGCGACTGGGAGCCGCCACGGCTCACGTTGTCCTGCTTAAGCGGCGCCATTGCCTCCGGCTTCTCCGGCTGCTGGGGTTCCGCGGGAGTGTTGGAGCGCCATTGCTTGCATCATGTTCATGAACTGCTGCATCATTGGCATAGCCTGCTGAAACTCCCCAATGTTGCTGTTTCCTCTGAGCATCTTGGAGCTCTTCCGGGCTGGGATGGAGGAAGTGGACGTTCCCGTGTCTCCACCACTTCTCCTCGGACACTCGCCCTCACCTTGTGTCGGGCGACAGGGAACCTGTAGCTGGGCAAAAAGGAAAACATGCTCGTTCTGCTGCGCTTGGATGGCTGGGCATATTGGTTGGCAATGCGCTGCGATGGCTGGGCAAAGTGCTCGCCGCGCGAACTGTGATGGCTGCTCAAAGTGCTCGCTGTGCGTGCGGAAATGGACCCCGAGCGCGTTGCAATGGCTGGGCGAAGTGCTCGCCGCGCGTGCTGGAATGGCTGGGCAAAACGCTCGCCGCGTGCGCTGTAATGGCTGGGCAAAGCACTCGCCCCGCGCGCTGCAATGTCTGGACGGGAGGCTTGCGATGTATGCGTGCTGTGATGGCTGGGCATGGTGCTCGCCGTGCGCATGCTTTGGCCAGAGGCATACTCACGTGCTGCGATGCCTGAATGCAACCCTCGATGCGCATACGGCGATTGCTGCAAGCTTGTTAAAGGAACATGTCTGCATACCTGTGTCAAATCAAAAGTTGATTGCCCTTGGGTGTTGAGTCTGCAATTTGCTACTGCTGTGCGCGTCCTCATCCTGTAGCATGAGGACGTCTGCCTCAGTAAGGTAGGCAGAGAAGCCCTGCAGCGTTTGCAGCGGGCCGCTGTGCCTTCTGGACCTTTGCATGGGCGATCGCCTCACTCAGCATGTTGCCAAGCATCTCTTGTTTTTCCTCTCAAAATGTTGTTGAGTCGCCTTTTCCAGTTGAAATCAATGAATACCCTTAGTGATTGGGGGCGCCCCGGCCTCTGAAACCTCAGCCACAGAGAGCCCCCCCGCCAGTGTTCCCAGCCGAATGCAGAATTGAGCCACGTGGTGCTCTTGCATCTTGGCCAAAGCCTCTTCGCCCACAGCAACCGAAGCCAGGAAACTGTTAATGTGGCGCAGGTCACCCGCAAGCTGCGCGCCCGGTGTGGCCATGCTTTTCCACGCAACGTAACTAGCCCCGAGGCAAGCAAACAAGAGCCTCCTGCATGCAGAGACGCAACAAGCAGCAAAGCAATGCATGTGGCGAGCCGCATAACCAGCCCAGCCGTGGTGAGCCAGTAAGAAGCCCAGCCATGCACAACTCTGAGTGCCTCAAGCGTGACAGCATGTGACCAATCCCAATGCAATGCATCAAGCGTTTTTGTGCCAGGAATCATGCGTGCACTCCAGCAGAGAATCCTACGATCCGCCCCGAAGCTGGACAGCCCGAATGCTTGTCCCCACCTGAACACACAAATGAACTGCTCAGTGCATGCAAAGCTACAGGGGCCTGAGGCCGGACCCAAAGCAAACAGGGGGTATACGCAGTGTTGTTTGTTCCCAAATGGTACCGGATATGCAGGAACAGGCGTTTCACTGCAATCGCTTATAAATGTCCTGCTGATGATGAGGCTTAGCTTATTCAAACCCCTAATTTGCAAGGTGGAGCTTTCTTGCCGGATGGAAAACATATGTAAACAAACTACAGTGCAATCCAAGACCTGAGTTGACAAATTCAACACATGCTCTGGTATACACATGCTAGGGCAGTTCATGGAGCTGCCTCTGTGGGTCGTTCCACTCAACATGCTTGCGTTGAGTGGGGTCCAAATCAAACGAAGTTACCAGTGACATCAATCAACTCCTGCATGTGCGATGGACCGTCCCCGCCACACCTTTTTTATGGATGTCCACGTGTTGGGAGAAGAAAATACCATTGACACGCATGCACGTGTGCTATATAAGGGGCCCGTGGTGTCATGGCTTTGACCCTTCCTTTTAAGATTCCATACAGGAAGCAAACACATTTGCTATACCGCAGGCCAAATGTCTCCAGATCAACCATCAATGCCGCCATGGATTGCACTATGGACCCATGATGTGGGTTTCAATCTTTTCACACAGCTCGGGTGTGATCATTTCGCTGCGCACCTATCCTATAGGAGCTACCAAAATGAAAGCTTGTCCCAAATAGCTGCAGTGCCTTCACAATGGCTTGCGCGCACGCAAGCCATTTAGCCTGCCAAATGGCGGGTCCAGAAAGCGTTGTCTGATCTGATTAGACCTTCATGTTCCAACTGGCAAATGCTTTGTGTTCAGCCCCCTGGCCACAGACTTGCTTGAAGCGATTGCGTTTGACAGCATCTGCTGTGACTGATGACACTCTTTTCCCTTTTTACCCCATTCTGCGAATCATGCGTGAAGGCGAAGATGAGGCATTTCAGATCCAAGTCTGGTGCATTTCAACGTGAAGTCAAGACGTTCGGTGACTTGATAACTTTCGATCTGGTTGAAGCCGCAGGAGATGCCGAGAACAATGACAAGTGCGTCATGATCATTCGAGATATATACACTAGCATCATCATGGGCTATCCAATTGGTCGCAGGAATACCATCACGGTGATCAACAGCATAAAGCATTTTGCTGGCAGACGGAAGATCAAGTCTACTCGGACGATGCGCCGGAGTTCATCAACGCATGTTCTGAACTGAAGATACCTCATGATTTATCGCTTCCGGGCAAGAAGCAGAACAACTCGCTTGCCAAACGCACGAACCAGTTCATCGTGGACCAAACGACTGCATGTCTAGTACATGCTGGACTTCCAACATGCTATTGGATATACGCTATCACTGCGTTGTGCCACTTGATGAATGTCGAGGAGATTCACGGTTCGAGCGCATGGTTTCGATTGCATGGAGAACATTTCAAGGGTGAGAAGATCCCCTTTGGCCGTTGGTTGAATTCCCCCCTCCGAGCGTGCGAGAGGAGACAAGAGAGAGAAATTTGAACCGAAAGGGGAAACTGGTATCTTTGCTGGTTACAACCTGAGCTCTGGTCTTCACTGGGCACGCAAGTATTGAGCCTGGACTCTCACAAGCTTCGCCGGCGCCGACCTTTCCATAAGGAAAGCGAAAATTCCACCTCGACTACGCCAGCCACCTCAGACCGAGAGGATCGTTTGAAGATACAAATTTCTTTTTCCCGTTCAAGAGAAATACAAGAAGAGGAATGAGACTCTTGAAGGTGTTGAGGAGATCAGAGGGGAAGATGATAGAGGCGTTCATTTAGAGCAACCGGTCAAGGATGAGGACCCCGAGCCTACTCTCTTGCAGGATGTAGATCAGAGACAACTCGATGAGGTCGAGGAGATCGCTGGGATCGTGCGCGACGAGACAGGAGAGGACGTCGAAGTCGTCGAGCCGGGGAGTGCGGAAGACAAAGATTCTGTTGATGATGTCGCTGACCTACCACATGTGTCAACAGGGAAAGCAAAAGATGGTATCATTTAGGAACGACCTTGGCAAAACGGTCAAGCTTGATGCTCGTGGGAGACCCTATCCAGTCGGTGAAGATGGATTCAGGACGATGAAGACAACACAACCGGCAGGGTTCACACCTGAAGAATGGGCAACATTACGGAATGCAATTGATGTCGATGAGGAAAGATTCATCCAAAGAAGAAGGATGGCACCAGTAGCTCGAAGGATGCCGCACCTGCAGAAAGTACAGAGGTCAACGCTCCAAGAGTGAAAAGGATAACAGCAATGCTCAAAGAACGATGGGGTGGCGATCAATGGATGTACAACTGGGGCATACAGAAGAATACAAACAAGGTCAAGAACCCGGTTGAGGGAAAGTTCTTGGCGGACCTGGATTGGATGAGGATCATTGTCAATCTGGTCGATGGGTCAGGTTTTTGCACGGACTCCAAACGTCTTCAAGATCTTGGTGCAAGCAATGTGACGTTGGACGAGATCTACGGAATTCTGGTAGTGATCTACGCATGCAAGCTTACTCCACGGGAGGGTCTTGCATCTATCCCAGAGAACGACCATGATGGGGGACTGTCGGAGAACATGGATGACACTTGTTCGGAAAGCACCATGACAGGAGGAAATGTATCCGAATGCACGGATGAACTGGCATACATGTATGAGTGGGAAGATACGGCAGCGCGTGATTTGGGTTTGCGAACCTGCGCGGCATCGCCAACGGTGGGTTGCACAAAGGGCGATTATCCCAAGATGCCTTGTGTTCCGGCCGAAGAACATCATCGTGCGAAAGTCGTCAAGGTGGCCAAGTTCATCAATGCAATGGTATCACGTAGGGCCGAGATGCTTAGCAACACCAAAGCGATGGACTCCATGAAAAAGGAATGGAAAGGTCTCATTGACCAAGGAGTATTTGATCTATCTGCAATCCGTGAGTACTATGATGTCGCTCGCGAGGCAAAACAGAAGAACGAAGAAGTGCACATGGCCAGGGCGCATGGTATTATAGTTGAGAAACATTCCCAACTATCGGAAGAAGACCCACGCAGAAAATACAAAGGTCAAGAACCAGACGTCGGGCGCGGCATTGTTTCAAGATCTGGGGAATTCTCCTGCAACTTTCGAAGCACCCAGATGGTCTGACTTTTTGGGTTGCCTTTACGGATGGGATGTGCAGATGGCTGATGCAGCGCAGGCATATATCCAAGCTACACTACGGGGTACACGTTGTTGGATCGAGCTTCCATCCGAAGCCGTTCCTGAGGATGACAAAGAACGATGGAATCAGTTCAAAAAGACCTGTGGTTCGTCTGGTGAAGGCTTTGTACGGTCATCTTGATGCTGGTACGTTTTGGGAACAGCGCTGCGATGAGTCGGTGCGTTCAATGGGTTTTCAGCCAGTTGGTGAAGAATGGCCTTCTGTCTATACCCATCCTGAACTACAATTAGTTCTTGTGGTCTATGTGGACGACTTTAAGATGGCTGGTCCAAAGAACAACCTTAAAAAGGGTTGGGAGCTGCTTTGCGAGAAGCTGATCATGAGCCGGAAACCGGCCTGGATTTATATCTGGGATGCAATCAGTCCAAAGGTACTGTGGTTCTCGGCAACGGCCATAAGGTCACCACTGCGACGTACGACATGGAGCAGTTCCTGCGCTCTTGTGTCGATCGCTACCTCGAAGTAGCGGGCAAAGTTGAGTTGAAGAAAGTTCCTACACCTGGTCCCCGTGAAGAGACCAAGGATCACCCGTCGAGGGCTCCGATCCACACTGGACCGTCGGTCGAATGCAAAGTGGTGTGGAAACAGAGTTCCGGCGAATGGTTATGAAACTCCATCATGCCAAGCAGGAGGGACTTCGGAAGGAGGGAGCCTGTTAATGGACAACTCGCGCCTCATGCACCAAGTGTGCTCATTGTGCTAGAATACCACGCTTTGACTTGCTCAGGCAGGTCAACCGTCTGGCGAGGAACATCACCAGGTGGACAACTGACGACGACAAGAAACTTCATCACTAGATGTGTTACATTCATCACACCAAGCACTGGAGGATGATTGGCTGGGTCGGAGATTCAGTCGAAGATACCCTGAGCATCGGCTATTGATTGTAATCAATAACTTTTCATTGCTAGTGAAGAGCGGTTTTTTGCAATATATTATAATTGATTATTCAGCATGCCGAATCAATAGCAAATTCAATAGTGAAATCAATTATAAAAACACTCATTTAGTCAAGGTATAATCAAGAATAAAATCAATAGAAAGGCCGGTCTGAACTTTATGCTTTTTTGCTTTGAACATGCGGGCCTTTTTGCAAGGGATAGGTGCAACAGGGAGCTAAACTCAAATCCCTTTCAACAAGGGCTTTCCCTTTTATCAAGGGTGG